AGCTCACAACCAATTCGGGTCGGTTGCGAGCCGCTCGCTCGCTCGCTCCACCGCCGAACTCACTTGGGGCTGTCGCTCGCCACCAGGCTACGGCAACACACTGCCACTGCAACAACAACAGCAACAACAACATCATCATCAGCAACCAACAGCAGCAGCAACCAACAGCAACCAATAGCAACCAACAGCGGCATCCTCGCAACGCCGTTGGGATTTTGCCTGTTGCCCCGGGTGCTGGCGGCGTTTTGCTCGAGAGAGAGAAAGAAAGAGAGGGGGGCTCTGGGCACCGGGGTCGGTCTCTTGGAGAGAGTTCGGCCCTGCTGGGTGAGATACAAACGTGGGGAGGAGGAGATTTGTGTGTGTAGGAATATCAAACCGCGTCACCGCCACCACCACCACAACTCAACACATCCGTCGATAACGACACAACTGTGTGTGGTCTTACAACAAAAAACCGGATACGTGACGTTTCGGGCAGTGGCCCTGATTGATAGTACATTGAGAATGTGTGTGGGGGGGGGTTGTCACTAGAAATTAATGGGGCATCTGTAAATTGATCGCTCCGTCAACGTTATGACTACCAGTAGGGAAAAAAATTATCAGAAATGTGCGATCGAAAAGGGCCGTTGCCCGAAACGTCGCCCGTTATATATACGTATTTTTAAGGCAGTGGAATGAGTAGGAAACTACTTTGAACTTTGTCTGTAATGTGGAACATGCGTGGAGTGCGTGCACTGCATGTATGTTCCCGATACATACATGCAGTAAGTACACTTACGTGCAAGTGCATGTACTACCACACGATCCCACCCACTGTGCCAATGATACTTAATGTTCGTCGCATGATAGTCAAAGTAAAACATTTTTATTGATCGAATTCTCAAGTAAATAACCAAATGAATGCGTTTAGTTTGTTGTGTGCAGTCACTGCTCACCGGGCTGATACCATCAACTCGCTCACTTCGCTTGAGAACGCAGGTTAAGCACAGCCCAGTCTATGCCAGGCTATGGGTCTCTATGTGGAAGTCTATGGGTCTCTATGTGGAAGTCTATGGGTCTCTATGTGGAAGTTTATGGGTCTCTATGTGGAAGTCTATGGGTCTCTATGTGGAAGTCTATGGGTCTCTATGTGGAAGTCTATGGGTCTCTATGTGGAAGTCTATGGGTCTCTATGTGGAAGTCTATGGGTCTCTATGTGGAAGTCTATGGGTCTCTATTTGGAAGTCTATGGGTCTCTATGTGGAAGTCTATGGGTCTCTATGTGGAAGTCTATGGGTCTCTATGTGGAAGTCTATGGGTCTCTATGTGGAAGTCTATGGGTCTCTATGTGGAAGTCTATGGGTCTCTGTGGAAGTCATTGGTGGCTGAGCTGGGACCATCAGCTCACTTTGGAACACGGCGTAATCATGGGCAGTGGCCGAAACCCGAATCCGAACCCAGATCCACGGCGTTGTCGGCTCAGCACCTGTGACGACCACTGAGCCACTCCCTGGCCTCCAAAGACAAAACAATGTCTGTCGCTGTTGCTTGGGTGATGCCAAAAAGTAAATGTTTAAACGTCCTGGCACAGGTATCGTTCAAACAACGCAGGTGAAGCGACGCGGCACATTGCTAGGGCGAGCGCGGAGTCGTGGACGCGTCTTTTAGGTGGCCACGTGGCCCACGGGTCGGCAGCCCGTGGCTCCAGAGCCGCGTGCGGCTCTTGAAGGACGACTGCTTCGTGGCGTTGTTCATTAATGGACCGCCGTCTCCGATTGGCGTGCACCGCGGCTCTTGAAATATTGAGTTTTTTTTGTTGCTGAATTCGAAAAAAATGGCTCTAATTGTTATTTTGGTTGCAGACCCCCCTGGTCTAGCCGAAGCCCTGAGGGCTGCCCCCCCCCCTCCTCCTCTACCCCCCCTCCTCTACCCCCACCCCCCCTCCTCTACCCCCCTCCTCTACCCCCACCCCCCCTCCTCTACCCCCCCTCCTCTACCCCCACCCCTCCTCTACCCCCCCCTCCTCTACCCCCACCCCCCCTCCTCGACCCCCCCCCCCTCCTCTACCCCCCTCCTCTACCCCCCCCGAGGTCTCTAAGCGACTGGCCGAGTGAGATGGTGTCAGCCTGGAACTCCCCATTGCTGAGCAGGCCTCTCCCATCCTGCCCCATTCCTTCCATTCCCTTACGTGTCGCTGTTCAGTCGTTGCCTCTGCGATGTCGTCTCTCCATTATCTCTCCCCCTGTCTCCCTTCCCTTCTCTCCCGCGTCTCCGCTCCAGAGTTCATTTTGTCTCTCGTCAGCGGCTCTGACGACACGCGTTTTTCCTTTGCTTCAACAGCAGCAGCATCATCAGCATCAGTGCGACTTCCCGTGTTATTTTCTTGAGGTCTTCATTTCTTAACCTGTGTCTTCGATCCACTCTGTAAATATTCATTCCCAGAGATGTTTGGTCAAATTGTAACTCATCCTAGGCCATCTCCACCTCGTGCCATGACTCAGTGTGGTCTCCTTACCCAGATAGGACCTTCACATCTGTTCCATGGCCATGCGTTTGCGTGGGTGGATGACAATCACCCTATGGCGCGAGGGCTTTTTGACCATACTTCACCACCCTGGTAGGGGCCCAGGACCAGTGAATATATCACGATCTACTCGAGTTAGTTGGCCATGGCTAGGAATTAAACTCGGGTAAACTTTTATTCTGATTCTCCGCATCAAACTACAATATATATTTTAATCTCATCATCATCAGATAATATCTACCCACTACTGCCAGCCGATGTGGTGGAGGCTGTTAGCCTCAATAGGCTCCACAGCCTTGACTTATTGTTACTGAATTGACTTCATTAGCCAGGAGAGCCGCACTGAGTCCTGACACTCTTATTCAGGAGGGTGGTGCTTCTGCATTGGGCTTGTATTTGTAAGATGCTTTTCAGCCAATTAACGATGAGTTGTGTTAATTATATCACGTGGGAGGAAACCGGAGCAGCCGCAGAATACCCACGTCTTGCGCAAGGGGGCAACGCTCTATCCCCGTACTGATGGAATAAACAGACGACGATTTAGTCTACTTGCTGTACTGCCTTCTCCTGGCGAGGCCAGCGTTTGGCACTTCCTGGACACACACGGGAAGGGAGTTCCACAGCCCATCTGGGCGGTGATCCACCAACCCTTGCTGCTGCTGTCTCCACACCACCGCCACCACCACCATTGCCACCACCACCACCACCACCATCGCCACCACCACCATCACCACCATCGCCACCACCACCATCGTCACCACCACCATTGCCACCACCACCACCACCACCATCGCCACCACCGCCATCGCCACCACCACCATTGCCACCACCACCATCGCCACCACCACCATTGCCACCACCACCATCGCCACCACCACCATTGCCACCACCACCATCGTCACCACCACCACCACCACCGCCATCGCCACCACCACCATTGCCACCACCGCCGCCACCATCGCCGCCACCATCGCCACCACCATCGTCACCACCACCATCGTCGCCACCACCACCATCGCCACCACCACCATTGCCACCACCACCATTGCCACCACCATTGCCACCACCACCGCCACCACCACCACCATTGCCACCAACACCACCGCCATCGCCACCACCACCACCGCCATTGCCATCACCACCACCACCCAGCTACACACACTGTCCAGCGCACTGTCTTTGCAAGTCATTTTCTATATTCGTAACTGGTCGTGTTTTGGCCTCGGTTGGCCAACATACTAAAAATAAACACCCTTTATTTTTACGTGGAGATGCACGGCGTGGAGATGCGTATTTATTTATTAACTCCAGCGTTCTCCCGGTGGGAGATTCTTCACCGATTACCTCTTCGATAATAACGGTCATTGTTTTTTTTCCCTCCTGTGAACTGGCACACAATGCGGTCTGTTGCCTGGCAAATAGGGAGATGGACGTTGGCGAGCCCTGCCGTGGTCAACGACTCGCTCCCGAATCGGTGCTTCACCAGCATTCGCTTTTATAATTCGTGCAAACTGCCGTGCCTGTACGGACGTACGTCGAACTTCTTTCGCGCCGTACGTGGCCAACCGCTGCGAATCGGAGGTGCGGCGTGGGGGGGTGAAGGACAACAAACGCGACGCAAGAAGCAGTTTTCAAGAAATTAGTTTTCAATAATCTGGGTGATTTAAAAGTGCACGGCTCCCGGACGGCCGCAGAAGCGCATCGGAAAGCGCCACGCGATGCGGTGACCCCACCGTCGTTGTTCAAGTTCTTGTCAGCCAAGCGTCGCATCGACCCACAAGGGGGCTCATTGCTACCCTTCTAAGCGTTGCCATTTGCACGCGGCAGAGCAAGGGAGAGGCTCTGGAACATGACAATAGCGGTCAGCTCCGATGGACGCCCGTACTTTGTTGGGGGCAAGGGATTCGCGTAGATTTGTGAAATTCCCAAACCCCATTGCGCTGTGAAGGTGGCAGTACAGCAAGTGGGTTGAAAATGGGCCACCCCCTCCCCTCTCCAAATTTGAAAGCTTATGCCGTAAAAGACTCGTTAGGAATCTGCACGTAGCGACCATTGATTGCTCTCCCGTGGCAGGACTCTGCCGACCCAGGCCGTATTGAGGCTAAGGCTGATGCAAGGGAAGGGCCTAAGTATGTATATGGCAACAAACGTTATGCAATCATCGAAAATTTATGTATTCAGCCGTGTAAAATTAACAAGTGTATTCGACTCGAGGTACATTCATTAAGCATAAATCATTCTCTGCACTAATTTCTTCAAGCATTTTTTTTTCTCCGAGCTTTAGACGCTGTGGCAAAGTGCACGCATCACGTCTCCGTAATTCAACAACAGCTCAAAAAATTATCCGCTGGCCGCGCCGTCGCCGCCGCTCGGCTCTTACGGAACGGGAGGCATCGAAAGCACAAGCCTCACAAACCACGAGGGCCCGAGGCCTGGCTTATCCTGTGGGTGGCCCTAATCCGGTCCTGGTCCTGACCCCGGTGCCCCTTTTCCCCAGACGGACTCGCAGGCCGGGCGTGCCAGCGTGCGCTCTCGCACGTTCAAGAGCCGCATCCTGCAGCGCTTCCGCGACAAGTGGAAGCTGCTGGGGCTGTTTGAGATCGAGCTGTCGCACGAGTTCTACTGGCTCACCTGCTGCCTCAAGAGCGGCCTCTCGGCCGCGCTCCAGCACGGCCGTGCCAGCCCGCCGCCAGTACGTGCCACGCACACGCCACTCATACGCCACGCACGCTCCACGCACGCTTCACGCACACCCCGCTGCTCTCACTGCTGGAACAAGTGTGATGTACAGGGTGGCATAGAGGTTATTATACAAGGTGGCTCAACAGTCAGGACGCATAGAGGTTATTATAGAGGGTGGCCCAATTGTCAGGACACATGGTTATTATGCAGGGTGGCCCAAAATTCAGGACACATAGGTTTATGATACACGCGTAACCTTTGAACATTGATCAATTATGTTTCATCTCATTTCATTCAGGGTTCTTCTTGGTCAAGTTTTGTAAACGAGGGATTTGAGGTCACTCCAAAGAAAGACGAAAAAATTGATATGAATAATGATAATACATCAAATATTAACTTCACGAATAAACAATTAAAATGTTAATGCCAGTGTTAACATTAATTAAATAACCCGATGTGTCAAAATAAAAAAAAAACCTTACCCCCAAGTTTAGCCCGATTGTCCCACCGGTGTCACATCACGAGATAAAGGATCCATTCTGACATCTCTGGGGCCTTGCGCTTAGAGAGTGGCCCACAGAAGCAGACACTACAGAACAACATTTGTCGGGATGCCTTCAACTGACCTGGGCTGCGATTTCCCCACCCCGCTCTGTCATGCGATAGTCACGCTCCGGTCATGTTGACGGTCAACGCGTGCGTTTTTGACACTCTGAGAGCTGGAATTTAGACAACTTGAGTGGTGAACGAATAGTGCAAGGGTCAATGTTTGTGTGTGTGTGTGTCGGTGCTTGCTAACAGCACTTGACCCTAAAGTCTGTGACGGCTATACGGGGGAATCTGTGTCTTTGTGGACAGGTGGAGCTGCGGGACGCTGATTACGAGGCGGTTTTGACTCAGACGCACCAGGTAGGTAAACGCCACTCGGTAGCACCCCATCACACTCCCCTTGGCGCCGGTGAAAGGGCCTCCACTTCTACCTGGGCTCGCTCGCCACTAGAGGGAGCGCTCTTTTCTTCCACGCCGGTCAGACAGCCTGGAAAACTTTGGAGTACCCACACTTTCTAGATTTGAAGTTTTCGTGACTGCAAGGATCCATAGTCTTTGTTTTTTTTTGGTAAAGTCACGTAGATGAAAACAAAATAAAATAACTAAATTAACGTCGTGATTTAATTTAGTTGTTTTATTTTATTTTGTTTTTACCTACGTGACTTTACCGAAAAAAAACAAAGAGTATCGATCCTTGCAGTCACGAAAACTTAAAATCTGAAAACAAAATAAAATAAAATAACTAAATTAAGAGTATCGATCCTTGCAGTCACGAAACTTAAATCTGAAAACAAAATAAAATAAAATAACTAAATTAACGTCGTGATTTAATGTAGTTGTTTTATTTTATTTTGTTTTTACCTACGTGACTTTACCGAAAAAACCAAAGAGTATCGATCCTTGCAGTCACGAAAACTTAAAATCTGAAAACAAAATAAAATAAAACAACTAAATGAACGTCGTGATTTTATTTAGTTGTTTTATTTTATTTCGTTTTCACCTACGTGACTTTACCGTGCAAAACCTGTCGCTGCCACAGTTCCGCCTGCATATACCCCCCCCTCCCGTTCCGCCTTCCCGCCGTGCAGGACTTTGTGCTGGAGACGTTTGCGGGACCCGTGTTTGCCTCGTTCCGTCAGCTGCTGGGCCTGAAGGAGGACGACTACGTGGGCTCCCTCGCCAGCCCGGGCTGCTACCTGCAGTTCATCAGCAACTCCAAGAGCAAGGCCGACTTCTTCCTCACGTCAGTGCGCTTTCAGGAGGCCAAACGGCCCGGCACGTGGAACATACCGTTGCTGTGACATCAGAGGGCCAGCACCCCCATAAACTCAAGTGGAGGCCCCAGAGACTTGCACGTAAAATCAGACTCACACAGAGACCCATAGAGTCACATAGATACCCGTAAATAAACGGAGAGATTTTTACCTCTTTTTAAATTCTTTATATTAAGTTCGCTTGCTTGCGTGCTTGCTTGCTTGCTTGCGTGCTTGCTTGCTTATGACCGTGCAAATCTTTCGGTCGTTTTTTAACCCACTTCCCATGATCCAATCGAGCTGACATTTTCCACACAGACTCGTTGTGCGAGACAATTAATGTTCGTGAAAGAAAAATTCCCAAAATTTTACACTTTTTAGGCAAAAAAAAAAGATTTTACATATATTCAAATAGAACTCATTTATGGCTTTGGCTGAACGTCACAGTGTAAGAGCCCAGAGCATAACCCTTCCACAGGCCGTGGCAGAGTAGCGCAGTTGGTAGCGCCCTCGCTTCCCATGCCAAAGGTCGCGGGATCGATCCCCGCGTCCTCTACAGGCGAATATATTTTTAAATCCTTTATATTAAGTTCGCTTGCTTGCTTAGGACCGTGCAAATCTTTCTCTCGTTTTTTAACCCACTTCCCGTGATCCAATCGAGCTGACATTTTCCACACAGACTCGTTGTGTGTGACAATTAAGTTCATGAAAAAAATTCCTAAATTTTACACTGTTTAGGGAAAACAAATTAAATATTTAATTACCAATTGCTTAATGGTGGCAGACAATCATCTGACCCATAGGTGGCAGCCATCTCAAGCCAGAGGACGAGAGGACTCTAGCCGCCATGCATATAAAGGATTTATAGTGAAAAACTTTGTTTTTACGGGTTTACTTGTTAGCGTCAAATTGTACACGATTGGCAAAGCGGTTTGCGCAACATAGCAAATGTTATTTAAAAAATTGCTAACTACATTTGTTCGACCGTGGAGATGGAGCGATGATTAATTCAATTCGCGTGCAGGTCCTTGGTGAATTACATTATTCCAAAGCAGGATCGAGAAAGACAGCTTGGTAAGGCCACCATCCCGCAGTGGATTGATCATGGGTGATGATGCTGCTGATGCTGCTAAGGAGGATGACGGTTACGAATCTGTTCGCGATTTCCCTTCGCAGGAACGACAAGAGATTTTTCCTTAAAACTCAGAACAAGCGGGAGTACCGATTCCTCCTGCGCAACCTGCGCAAGTACGTGCAGCACTTTGAGAAGTACCCTCACACGCTGCTCGTCAAGATCCTGGGTGAGGGGCGCGGCGGGCACCGTGGGCGTGCGTTCCCGTGACGCTGGACCAGAGGTCGCAAACGGGTTTTGATTCCTTACCCGTACCCGGCCGCACCAGGGTCGCAAATGGGTACCCGTACCCGTACCCGGCCGGGTACGGGTAGGGTACGGGTATTGGGTACTTGATTGCGACCTCTGGGATGAAGCCATGTTGCAGGCGCGACCAATTTTATTCATAATAAAGGTTTTTTGGCATTCTTGCCCGATGAAGCTGATTGTAATTATCAGCGAAACGTCGTACTACTCAAATTTTAAAATGCTGTTGATTCTCTCTTCAGCACACCGGTGGGCTAAAGAAGTGAATTATTTTGTCCTTTGAAAAACGTGACAAATTTTTTACTGTTTGGCCGTGTCAGGTGGTGGAGGGTTACGACACATTTATAAATAACGCAATCTGACCCAAAAACCTATATTGTGAATAGTGCTTATTTTATCGACCCCGGTGGGAGGGAAGATGAACCGAGTCACCCCCCCAAAGCAGGATTTGATCCGGCAGCCTTCCGCTTGCAAGCAGCTCGCCCTACCGCTGGGGCCGCGTGCCCGGCTAGGTTGACGACACGCGAGCTGCGTAGCTCTCCGTCGCGTGCTGTCGGGTTTGCACGCGCGTGCTGTTCGGCACGATGTCCAACGCCTCGGTCGATGAAGAAGCTCTTGGCTAGTGGGGGGAAATGTCGCGTGCGGGCAACGCGTGGGAGAGACGCGGCGGCATCACTCAATTTCATCACTGGAATTGTCTCCACATACAATTACTGCCGTATCATAACATGCTGTCATTGCACGTGCTTATCTCTCGACAGGACTGCACAGAATATCTCTCTCCAACGAGCCAAAGGTTTGTGAGCGACGGCTGTGCTTCTGCAGTGATAGCCCCTACGCGCGTTGAAAATGGATTCCTATGGTCAATGATATTGTTTCGGATGAGAAGCGATCGCTCACGATTTCTGAAAATGAAGGCACGGACGCTGCGCTTAGTCTGATCGCGCTGACTGTACAAGTGAGACGGTAGAGGTACGAGAATGCACGGCATCTCCGATTCTGTTCGGTGCGATCCTGCGTACAGCCTCTGCTCGTAGTTCTGTTGAATTCCACTTTGCAGCCTTAATTTATGTTGTTCTGTCGTTCACTGTAGTTTGTTCTATGGGAGACGGAGCGTTCCGCAGCCAGGCTCAGCGTTTGTGGAATCTCCTTTGTTTTAAATCACGTCTTATAAATCACCCATTTGTACTACAGGCTTTCCCTGTAAGTAAACATTTTAAATAACAATTTCGTTGTCCGATTGGGTTACTCCATAACTATTAGTATTCGCTTTTATCAAAGCTCTTAATTTTATTGGAATTTGGATATTGTTAATATCAGTTTTCTGTTTCGCTTAGATTGTACATGTACTTGCGAGTGTAGTTACATTTTTACGTACAACGCTTTCGGATACTTCAACGTGACAGGCGCGTATAAAATAGAGGTTATCATTATTGTTGTAGCGATGATACAGGGCGATCCAATTATAGATGCCCCCACTGATTTCCAATGGACCTCCCCCCCTCCTAATGTGCTCAGGGCCATTGCTTGAAACGTCGCCTATTCCATAATGGGCCGCCAGGCTGATCCGTATACGGATACCCAACAGATTTCTATGACCCCCACCCCGTGACCATCGTCTCACCACCTGTTTGGCTCCGTGTCCTGCGGAGAGATTTGGAACTCGCGGATCGAGTAGTGGCGGTGGTTGTCGTCGTCGGTAGCCGCGGTCGATCCACTGCTGGATGGGGCAGCCCTCTTGCACGTGTAATACGTTACGGAGCAGGAGTGCAAATAGATTTAATAAGTGGGCAGCGTCGAGAGTGGTGCCAAGGCGTTGATTTCCCTGTTGTTCGTGATTCTAGCGGGGAATCTATAGCCGGATCGTTCTGTGTTGTAAATGCACATTGCGTGTGCGTGCACATGCACGCATGCACGAGCGTGTGAACATTTCACATTTTTCTTGCAAACGGCCAGAACCCTTGGAAGTGCAACTGGCGCAGTTTAAATGTTACGTTTCGCGTCCTGTCCCCTTTTTATTCCCAGAAATACTTCATTGTGATGCAGAGTGTGTTTTATCCGGACGAGAGGATCGCAGTCAGGTATTCAAAGTTCTCCCGCGAGTGCCACACGGAGCTTTCTCGCATGCACGCAGCCCCACTCACATGCGCACAAAGACAAAGATCCCCCGTATAGCCTTAACAGGCTGTTGGGGCAAGTGCTGTTAGCGAGCACCTATGAAGGGTGCCAAGGCACACGAAGGGGGTGGGGGACCAGCACCATGCCCAGCCGCCTTTGTCTTCCCAGTGGCGATGTTTACACCTGACCAGGTACTCATTTGAGGCTGAGTCGACCTCACTCGCACACAGCCCCACTAACACACACGCACAGCCTCGCTCGCTCGCTTGCACGCACGCAGCACCACTCGCTCGCACACAGCCCCACTAACACATACACACATCTTCTTGGTTCTTTCGGTAAAGGCACGTAGAATGTAAATAATAAAATAATAAAAATAATAAATAAACGTAATAAAATAAAATTAAATAATAATATTATAAATTAAATTATATAATATACTATAATAATATAATATAAAAATATAATAAAATAATATTATATGATATAATATAATAAAATAATATGATATAATATAATAAAATAATAACATACACACACAGGAATTATAATCTAATTAATTAATCTAATTAGTCATTTTTATTTTCCCGTGACATCATCATTAATTCCCCCTCGCATTGGAATGATGCACTGCCAGATGGCCGTGAGACCCGCGGGTTGTGTAATATTAATGATTTATGTTTGTGCACCGTTTTCGATTTGCGGTCGTTTTTACCCTCGTTTCTATTTCATTCGTCGTTGTTGCCGCACCTGTGTCGGCTATTTCTACCATTGCCTCTGTCACGACGGTGGCCCAGGTCACTCTGAGCAAATGGGACTCCCATCCCGGTGACGAAAAACAATCCTGAGACCTGATCCCATCGTTCCACGTCCCCTCCGGGACGCCCTTCTGTTCCTCGGGCCTCGTGACGTCTCCACTCGGCACATATTCCCCCGCCGCAGGTACGACATCAAGGGCTGCGAACTGGGCCGCTGGACTCAGCCTGCGCCGGAGGGGAGCCCCGTCATCGTGGTGCTCAAGGACAACAACTTCGGAGCGAGTTCCGTCCGACTCGGTAAGGCTGCCATTCACTCTCTCATCTCCTTCCACGTCGCCTCTTCGCTCCCAATCTTCTCTCTCTCTGTCCCTCCTTCTCCCTCCTTGCACCCCTCCACTGGAATCAACTGCCCCTGTACCTTGAGCAGCACTGTCCATAGACTCAACACTGCACCATAGACTCAGCACTGCACCATAGACTCAGCATTGTACCATAGACTCAACATTGCACCATAGACTCAACATTGTACCATAGACTCAGCACTGCACCATAGACTCAGCATTGTACCATAGACTCAACATTGCACCATAGACTCAACATTGTACCATAGACTCAGCACTGCACCATAGACTCAACATTGCACCATAGACTCAACACTGCCCATAGACTCAACACTGCACCATAGACTCATCACGGCCCATAGACTAAACATTGTACCATAGACTCGACACTGCCCATTGACGTACATTTCCCATAGAATGAACACTTCTCCTGTACTTTAAGCAGTCTCCCTGCATAACCTCCTTCTGTTCCTCTCTTAAAGCCTCACCTCTTCTCTCTTACCCATTCTCTTCCTCTTCCACTCCTTCCCGTCCTTTCCCATAACCTTTCGTGACCCCTAAGTCCGCCTCTATCGCTGTCACTCATCCCTCAATCCTTGTAGCCACGCCCCTGACAACCGCATCGTTCCATTCTGTGTCAGCGCTGTGTAAGCTAGGTCAAGTGCCTTGAGTGAAGAAGGCGCTCTATGCAAATATTCATTAGATCAGCTTGCGGAAGAATCACGTCGCCACTGTGTTTTGTCTGGCGAGTTTATTTTCACCGCTGGACGGGCGCTGGTCGATGTTGCTGTGTTATCCTATTTGAGTGATTCGCAGGATTTGTAGCAGTAGTGGGATGTTTGGTCAATACCAATTATATTGTGTTATATACCTCCGATTTTAGCACGGTTGGCAACGTACGGTGCGAAAGAAGTTCAACGTACACCATTGGAACCTCATTTGCCAGTAAAAAATATGATAATTGTTTTTTTACCCTTCTATCTGGCAACAAAACTGACACCTTTTTTTTACAAGGAGTCATGTTTACATAGACCACAATACCTGCAGTCAGGTGAAGAACAGGTCTGTCAGAAAGACAGTGTCTGAATTCAAGTGAAGAACAGGTCTGTCGGAAAGACAGTGTCTGAATTCAGGTGAAGAACAGGTCTGTCAGAAAGACAGTGTCTGAATTCAGGAGAAGAACAGGTCTATCGGAAAGACAGTGTCTGAATTCAGGTGAAGAACAGGTCTGTCAGAAAGACAGTGTCTGAATTCAGGTGAAGAACAGGTCTGTCGGAAAGACAGTGTCTGAATTCAGGAGAAGAACAGGTCTGTCGGAAAGACAGTGTCTGAATTCAGGTGAAGAACAGGTCTGTCAGAAAGACAGTGTCTGAATTCAGGTGAAGAACAGGTCTGTCGGAAAGACAGTGTCTGAATTCAGGTGAAGAACAGGTCTGTCAGAAAGACAGTGTCTGAATTCAGACGCTGTCTTTCCGACAGACCTGTTCTTCACCTGAGGACGGCTGCTTGCGTTGTGGCCGAAACGTCGTGAGAATTATTTTATTATGTTTTATTTGTATTATTTTATTATTTCCCTTCTACGTAACTTTACCGAAACAGGGGGAGAACTTGAAAACTCCACACGGCACTAACGGCTGTCGAGTCGGGACTCAGAACCCAGGCGCTTTTGGCCGTGAGGCTTGAATGTTACCACTACACGTGCCTCCCTGCTGCCACTAATCTCATACTGTAAAGCAAATGTTTGATTTAAGAGCTTTCGTGAACCTTGCAAGGCCTGCCATCCACTGCATGCATTCCAGAAACTCGAACATCAAACAATTCCAACTTGGCAGCAACCTCCTGGCCTGTAAGGGTCTAATCTGTCTTTGTGGATTGTATATTGACTTATTCCACAAGATAAGTAAAGTTTTCTCATGCTACCTAGGCATAGGCATGCTACCTTCAAAGTGGCACCCCTTGTGTAAAGTGAGGATGGTTTACAAATGGCGGCTGTCTTCTTATTCCTCTTCCTGGCATCTTCCTGCTCCTCTTCCTCCACTCGCTTCTCTGTCCTGGGCCATCATCTCTATGCCCGCTCCACACCCCTTCACGTCCTAGCTCACCGCTTCGAATGACAATTCCCCCAGGTGTACCTAAACTAAACTATTTTATTTTTTACCAGGTAAGGTCCATTGAGCTTATACAGCTCTTTTTCAGAAGCGACCTGCCCACAAATGATAGCTCAACGAAGTGGCTTATCACGTGTAAATGTACAGCAGCCACATACTCTAAAATACTATCTCTCCACCTCCACCCTGGTTGCTTCCATGTTCATCCCTCGACGTCTTCGCACGCGGCCTCTCTCTCGCTCTACAACATGTCCCTGCCATCTCCACGTCCACTCCACAGTCCTTCACATCCTGGCTCAGCACTGCGAATGGTGGCAGATCCATAGGGGGGGGGGGATGTGGGCGATTTCTCTCCCCCCTGCCCAATTTGAGACCCCGAAAATTGGGATACTATGGATAATTGGCAGAGAAAAAAAGGTGATAAAAATTATTAATTTAGGGCCCTGTTTAAAAAAAAACTTGAAAGTCAGGGATCAACCCCGACTTGGAATGTTTCTAGACCCACCTCTGACCTTGAACGTCCTCTTTACAATTTACCAAAATAATAAAATAGTTTCAATTTGTCGCTGCCACTGCCACATTATTCACTTCTTGCTCTCAATGAGACTAAGAGAGGACGACTTGGAGGCACGAGGAGGAACCACAGACGAGCGGAAAAGGGCAGCAGCCAGGTAATGAGCTGGCACCAAATTCCTCACATCTCCAAGCTCTGCGGTCCTCTATATATGAAGGTGTTCTCGGCCAGTTAACGAGTGTTCACACGTGGAAGGAAACCAGAGCACCCGGAGAAATATTCTTGGGTTTTTTTTGATAAAGTCACGTAGGTAAAAAATTAAAATTACAATTTATAAAAGTAAAATAAAAATCACAACGTTTCGGAGGCAACACAAGCTTCCATCTTCAGGTGGAACCGTCACAGCACGCTTGCTGTATCAAGGAAATGAAATGAAATTTTTTATTTTACTTCTATTAATTTTATTTTGTATTTTTTACCTACGTGACTTTACCGAAAAAACCCAAGAATATGAATCCTTGCAGTCACGAAGGCTTCAAATCTAGAATTAACACCCAGAGAAACCCCATGCGTGCGAGGGGACAACGCTCCATCCCGCACGCGTGGGACAGGCGGAGTCTGCATTTTCTTTCTGCGCCTGCCGCTGGGTGTCCGTGCCGTCGCCTCCACATTCCCCGCCTCTCCCCTCCCCGCGCGTTCTCTCTCCACGTCCGTGCCGCGCAGGCCCCGAGCACCCATGGTTCCTGCGGCAGTTGGAGCTGGACACGGCGTTCCTGCGTGGGCTGAGCGTGCTCGACTACAGCCTGCTGCTCGCCAGCCAGGACCTGCACAGCGACGAGCAGATGCAGAACCACTCGTTCGCCAACCTCATCATCCGCACAAAGAGGTGCTCCCACAACAGTCCCCTGCGGTTTCAGAAAGTCTATCCTGGTGTCAGTCCCCACGCCGCCCCACACCCCCTGCCACTCCACACCCCCCTGCCACATGCAGCTGTTGTGAGAATCTGGATGTGTTTTGTCGCCGATTTAAAATGTTCTGGCTTCATGCTCAACTTGTGATGTGGGTAGAGGTGCGTGGGCAGTGGGCGGAGTAGCGGTGGAGTGGGGATGATCATGTAAAAGTGGGCGAGCCTGATTGAGCAAAAGGGGCTGCAAGTTCGACCGTGTGTCGCGGTTGATTCTCCCAGAAATTTGGTAGGCCTTACCGATACCGAAGGCGCCGGGATTAATCTTGACCCTATTTGTCGGAAGGCCATTCCACTAACGCTCGTCTCGGCCGTGGCTGCGGTTTCGCCCCACAGGTCGGTCGCGCTACGCACGTCGGACAACGGCGGTCTCACGCGAGCACCGATTCCCGGCAGCGTCCAGGACCAGGACACGGGTGAAATCCACGAGGGTGGAGACAGCGATGACGGCGACGACGGCGACGGTGGCAGTAACAGCACCAACGATGGCAGCATCCCAGGCACCAACAGCCCGGGCGCCAATATCCCGGGCGCCAACAGAACCGGCGCCGACTCAGAAAACGTGGTGGGCTTCCCGTACGACAAGTCGGTGAGCGTGGAGACGTTCGCCCGGCAGAACCGGCGGCTGCTGCCGGCATGCCGCAACGCGCTGCACGTGCTGGATGGGCCGTGCACGCGCTACTACGTGGGCATCATCGACATCTTCACGGTGTTCAGCGTGCGCAAGCGCCTCGAGGCCGCGTGGAAGAGCGTGCGTCACTGCGGCACCACCTTCTCCACCGTGAGCCCCGACCACTACGCGGCGCGGCTCAGCGCGTGGGCGCGCAGCCACGTGGAGTGACGCTGCCGCCGCTGCCTCCACCGCCGATATTGCCGAGTGGCCGTGCTATTGCTGAGTGACGCCCCCGCAGCCATCACAGATTTTGCTGAGTCACTGCTCGTGCTGAGTGACAGCCGAGTGATAGCTGAGTGACTCTGCTATTGCCGAGTGACTCTGAGTCACCCTGTTTTCGACGAGCGACAGATATTGCCGAGTCACTCTGCTGTTGCTGAGTGCTGAATGACGCTGCTATTGCTCAGTGATTCTGCTGTTGTTGAGTGACAGTCGAGTGACTGCTATTTCTGAGTGGTGAATTAATGTTCAGGTTAGAAGCTGCCAAGTCACCCGTGGTTCTGTGTTTTTGGAAATTGCCGTCTCGCGAGCAGCGACCGCAGTGGCAGCTGATTGTTGGGCACCGCTTTTGTCAGAAGCACCACTGGAAGCGCGTGCTCACCTTGGTAGGCCCAGGCTTGGTGCAGCTGAGCTTGCGTTTAAAACGTTTGTGTTTGGCTGAACTCACTTAACCACACCTAGCGTGGGCCAAAATAGACAAATACAGACCGGAGAGCAATGCGTCTTCAAACCATGATCCTAGTCCTTAGCTGCTCTTGGCCTCTGCCATATATTTGTGAAGTTTATCCAGTCACAGGTGAACAATAATAGTTTTTTTCTGCGTACTACCTCAACCGACGTTACGATTGTTTACCTATCAACAGCGGAGCAGAGTGGCTTCTCGCAGGTCTGTAGCGCCCTGATTCAACACTGAGATCTGCTTTTGCTGTCATCATCATCATAATCATCAGCCACGATCATCAATCCACTGCTGGATAAAAGCCTCCCCAAGTCGTCGTGAGCTCTCACGGTCCTGCGATGTAACAATCCGCGCAGCATCTGTGCACGGACCACTATCTTAAATGATAAACTTCAGGAATGGCGACGGATATCGTATACAGTGCTTTACTTAAAGATTGCCACGATGATAAAAGTTAAAATGCCACAGCTCAACTGCTGTATTTTAATTTTGTGCATGATCGATGTGGCAATATATGCATACCGTTAAGATATTGCTCTTTGGTTCTTTCTGTAAAGTCACGCAGGTATAAAATAAAGTGAATTAAATCACGACGTTTCGATCGCAACACAAGTAACCGTCATCAGGTGGAACAGATACAGCAGGAGAACTGCTGACATGATGACGGACGCTTGTGTTGCGATCAAAACGTCGTGATTTCATTTATTTATTTTCTACCTACGTGACTTTACCGAAAGAACCAAAGGGTAAGGATCCCTGCAGTCACGAAAACTTTAAATCTAGATTTGTTAAGATATTGGTTAGAAACACGTTTATAATAAAATATTAATTTCTGATGATGCCCATAATCAAGGATTTCCATCCGTCAAATTATTGATTTCCCAAAATGCCGTACGGCCATGTGAACTGAGTGGACTATGTCATGAAGTACCGCTTACATCACGTTTCCATGAGACACGGGGCTCTAGTACTCACAATGGAATCTGTATTCGTAGTCAAGTCTGGTTGGCCGTGAATTTGGGCTACAGCCCAAATATTCTGGGGTTGATTTCGCCGCACGGACTAGCCTGAATTCCCTCCGTTAGAGTTTGGGCAGAGCAGAAACGCATCGCTAAACACGTTACAATTACAAACGTCGTAGGCGGCAGGAACGTTCAACTTTTAACATTTTTATCTGTCATTGAACAGTTGTCAGCAATGCAGTCTCGACATTTTACTTGCAAGTGTTGCTGGGAAAGTTTTACTCGGAAAATATTTCTGGGAAAAATCTGCTCAACTTGCGCAGTAATTCAAGTAACTCGGGGAATTGAGGAAATACCACTTTTTTTTTTACCGACTGGAGTTGCACCTCATCAACTCGAGTTCGGAGGTAAAGCAAGGCAACTAAAGCCCACTCTAGTCAACTTGAGTTGTCTGTCCATGGAAACAAGGTACTGTACTAGATAACTTGCACGCATGCTTTGTGCCAAGCGGTTTATGATGATGGCATGAATTTGGACGAAAGTCACATGGGGGGCACATCATCCACGTGTGGACACAAACGCGGTGTCTGCCGACGTTTCTCTCTGCTTGCAGGGGGCTTCTTCAGGAACTATTAATCGAAAAACCCGAAAAACACTACAGGGCTACACAGAAAAACCGATGCACCATTACATACCAGCTAATTACAACCCACGAGGTTGGAAGGTTTTCTTTCACCAAAGATTTACAGAAGCACCTCTTTCACTAACGGACGAGTTCATTGCATGCGCTTTAACCTCAGAACATTTATTTTAAGAACCCTTACACATCACGTTGCTTGGTGTGTATTACATCCATTAATGAAGTTAACGGAATAGGAAGGGACTTGGATTTCCCCCCATGAAATCTTTAGTCTATTTAGGCCAGAACATAAATTGGTACCACACCGTCTAAGGTATGAGATCTCGAGCCGCACAGATTTACTTTACACGGCTAACACGAGAGAATTGCCCGATAACCTCCTCCGCCGCCCGCCTGCCCGCCCGTTTCAAATGGCAATCGCCGTGATTTACCGTTGCCGGCCAGGCCACATCAAGATGTCGTGGTCTGGCCGGCCGGCAACCTGCGGCTCCTTTGGTTGCCCCCAAGCAGCTCTTTGGCTTCGCCCCTTTTTGGGTAGCCGTTTTTTTTTTATTTGACTGAAATCTTCAAAAACATAATTTGACGTAAAGATAATTCTTCTTGGTTCTTTCGGTAAAGTCACGTAGAAGGGAAATAATAAAATAATAAGAATTAAACATAATAAAATAATTCTCACGACGTTTCGGCCACAACGCAAGCAGCCGTCCTCAGGTGAAGAACAGGACTGTCGGGAAGACAGCGTCTGAATGAAACACCCCAGGCTTGGTGCGTATATTTAAGCTGGGTTGGAGGGGAAGAGCGCCTTGACAAAATAATTTGCATATCAAGAGGAATTTAGCATATTTATGGGAAATGCAGATATGGGATTAGTACTACTTGTGTAGGAGGTGGGCGGGGGGTTTCAAAGTCATATTATGCCCGTGCATTATGCAGGATTAGCAGCACAAAGGGAGGGGATACGTGACTTTACCGAGAGAACCAAGAAGATGAATCCCTGCAGTCACGAAAGCTTTAAATCGAAATGCAAAGACAATTTATTAAATACGGCAGGGAATGCGGTCACGATGAAGTGTCTTGTTGACAACGAAATGTTCAACAGTTAAACTGTGTTGTTAAACAATTACTCGGGGGGAGGGACGCACTAAACACAGTTTATTCCATCACCTATTTTGTTTATTTAAGTCAGAATGTGATTGGTTATATGCTGTATCTACGCTGCCGTGTTTGTGTACAAGTAGCTCTGCGCATGATGCGGCTCACGAACTATATTTGCACAAGACAAAATAACAATGGCTCTTCTCCAGAGATTGACGACCCATGCACTAAAGCGATGCCACTCCACGTGGTGCCCAATTATTTCTGCTCCTGGGCCAGAGGTCGCAAACGGGTTTTGATTCCTTACCCGTACCCGGCCGCACCAGGGTCGCAATCGGGTACGGGTAGCCGGGTATCGGGTAGGGTACGGGTATCGGGTACCCGATTGCGACCTCTATCCTGGGCTCAATTGCCGTCTCCTTCTGCTGCGTCGCACTTTCGCGGACAAGGCTGCCACAAAGTGGCATGGCAACCCCAACCTTAGGACTGATGAGTTTGTTGTGGCCTTGCGTTAAGAACGAATAACGGGACCCCCCCTCCCACTCACCCACTCCTTCCCACGTGCGCTGTTATCGCTGTGAATATCTGAACGCTTTCTTTTTTGGCCGTGCAATTAAAATGGAATGTCATTTGATAATTGTCGCATGTCAGTGAATGTGTTTTTTTTTATGCACCGTTTTATCCTGGAATATGAGACGTTGCGGAAATTAAGACGCACCCCAAACTTGTGGCTGGGTGACAAGAAAGTTATAGGTACCATTCGGGTCGCAACACAACAACAACCGCCACTAAGTGGCGGTGATGTCACCGTTGTCATTCATGACTTTAACCCACAACGACCTGATTACAGACCTTATTGATCACCCCGTGCCCTTATAGATCTCAACGTTCATCCTACAAATCCCATCACAAGGGAGACACACAAACAAATCGACAACACATTTTTATTTTGCCCGTATTGAAACTCAATTTCCCGCACAAGAATACGTGGTAAACCGTCTGGGTTCACAGGTAACCTTGCCCCCCCCCACTCCCCCCATTTACAATCTCGCTTCAACGTGTGCGGACGAGGGGTGGCAGCTGGAGTGAGCGCTCGCCGCTTGCTAGGTTTCCGATCACGGACGCGAGCGCTCGCCTATTGCTACGTTTCCGATTACGGACGCGAGCGCTCGCCGCTTGCTAGGTTTCCGATTACGGACGCGAGCGCTCGCTGCTTGCTAGGTTTCCGATCACGGACGCGAGCGCTCGCTGCTTGCTAGGTTTCCGATTACGGACGCGAGCGCTCGCTGCTTGCTAGGTTTCCGATTACGGACGCGAGCGCTCGCCGCTTGCTAAGTTTCCGATCACGGTCGCGCGCGCGCGGCGTTGGGGCGGGTGAGGGGGGTCCGTTTGTGTTTTGAAGAATTCAAGGACGAGGCTCGCTCCGCTATTGGCCGAAGCGCGGGCGCGTGACGCGAGCGGCGCGTTCCCATTGGCCGGACGGATCGTCGTCCCTCCCCACCCCCTAAACTCGTAATTCACTTTGCGGGGGGGGGGGGGGGCTGTGAGGGGGAGGGGTCCTGCGAGGGGGTGGGGGCCTGTGAGGGGGGGGATTCGAGGGGGTGGGGCCTGAGAGGGGTGGGGCCTGCGAGGGGAAGGACTGCGAGGGGGAGGGGCCTGGGGGGGGGCTTGCGAGGGGTGGGGCCTGAGAGGGATGGGGCCTGAGAGGGGAGGGGCGTGGAGGGGGATGGGAGGAGCCTGTGAGGGGGGTGGGAGGAGTCTGGGGGGGATGGGAGGAGCCTGTGAGGGGGATGGGAGGGGCCTGTGAGGGGGGTGGGAGGAGTCTGGGGGGGATGGGAGGAGCCTGTGAGGGGGATGGGAGGAGTCTGGGGGGGATGGGAGGGGCCTGGGAGGGGGATGGGAGGAGTCTGGGGGGGATGGGAGGAGCCTATGAGGGGGATGGGAGGAGCCTGAGAGGGGGATGGGAGGAGCCTGAGAGGGGGATGGGAGGAGCCTGAGAGGGGGATGGGAGGAGTCTGAGAGGGGGATGGGAGGAGCCTCAGAGGGGGATGGGAGGGGCTTGAGAGGGGGGTGGGAGGAGCCTGAGAGGGGGATGGGAGGGGCCTGAGAGGGGGATGGGAGGGGCCTGAGAGGGGGATGGGAGGGGCCTGGGAGGGGGATGGGAGGAGCCTGAGAGGGGAATGGGAGGGGCCTGAGAGGGGGATGGGAGGGGCCTGGGGGGAGCCTGGGAGGGGCCTGGGGGGGAGATGGGAGGGGCCTGAGAGAGGGGATGGGAGGGGCCTGGGGGGGAATGGGAGGGGCCTGAGAGGGGGATGGGAGGGGCCTGAGAGGGGGATGGGAGGGGCCTGGGGGGAGCCTGGGAGGGGCCTGGGGGGGAGATGGGAGGGGCCTGAGAGAGGGGATGGGAGGGGCCTGGGGGGGAATGGGAGGGGCCTGGGGGGGAGGGGAATGGGAGGAGCCTGGGGGAGGGGGATGGGAGGGGCCTGGGGGGGGCTGCTGCGAGGGGGGAAGCGACCGCCGCTCAACTTCGGCCGGGTACGAAGGCGACGAGTCGAGGACGACTCCCAACGCGTCGCGATGTCGGCCTCATTAGAACCAACTGCGCGATAACTTCGCCGCGGCGTCGTGAGGTGAGAGGAGGGTGAGAGGAGGAGGAGAGGGGAGGGGGGTGTTCGGCAACGGTCGACGTGCAAAAGCCAAGAGAGGCAGCGGCCGCTTCGGCTTCGATCTCCGGGCGCGGCAGTCGCGACGCGGGTGCCAAGTTCTTGTAGGAGAAGCGCTTCGCTCGCTGCCCGCGACTGTGTCGACGCGAGAGTGAGTAACAGTGCAAGTGTTTATACACCGCGGGTAGACGGGCGGCGATGGGGTAAAGTGTTGGTAACTCCTTACCCCACCACCACCAGCACCTCTTGTAAAGTCGTGGAAGAGTAGGCCAAGGGCCATTCGACGAGAGCGGCCTCGAGTTGGAAGGCCCCTCTGAGCGGGAAATCGCAGGGCCCCCGCGGCGCCTTTGCTATCACGAAAATAAACTTCGCTTTTTTTAAAATAACATTTAATTAAATCGTTACAGTCTTTAAGCACTCAGAACTGACGCTACGAGAGCGACTGTCGATTAGAGCGACAACTACGACGACGTTAACGATTGCGGCATCTGCTGCGAGGTCTCTAACTTTACTCACCACGTGCTTCGGTGATTAAAGTCTCGACCGGTCCGCCGTCTCGCAACAAAGAGAGAAGATCGTCTACACACCCCATCCCCATTTAGCCTGAAGACTCTTCTTGTTGGAGCCGAGTGATGTTGAAGAACGCAGCGGCATCAACACGAGGGCAGGCCGAGTTTTTCCTCCCTTCGTGGGCGATTGTTTTATTTTAGGCCGAGTCAACCTAGGGGAGGGCCCCGCGTGGGACCGCTTTCAAGACGATCATGTGCGGGAATCGAACTCGTGTGCGCCGGGTTCGTGGTTGCAGTGCCACCGCCAGTTCACAACAACAACAACAACCACCACCGTGTTCACCAAGTGGCGAGGACGTCACCACCAGGGCGCCTGTGCCATGCTAGGTGCACTTTGAGGCCACACAAACAAAGATTTCCCCATCCCCCCCTATAGCCTGTAGCAGACTGTAGGGGCAAGTGCTGTTCGCGATCAGCTATGAAGGCCGGCGATGTTTTTACACACCGCCCCGGGTACTCAAATTGAGGCTGAGTCGACTTAGGGGAGGTCCAGGACCGGTTCAGATATTCGTCACCGGTATTGGCCGTGGGCGGAAATCGAACTCGGGTTGCTACAACTACCGCTTTGAGGCCACAACAACATTCGCTATTAAGTTGAGGTGACGTCACCACGACGCTTGTGCCAGGCTACGTGCACGTTCAGGCCACGTGGAGTGGTCGAACGCCCGCTGGCAAGGAGGTCACGGGGGCGCAGACCCAGGTGCCATGTGTAGACTGACTGAGATGACTGGCCGATGCACCCCTTGCTGTGCCCTTTGCTGTGTGCCAACCCCTTTGAGGCCGCGAACACACGGACACAGGCACCTAGCCGGATTATAAGACGCACCTTTACAATGGGGATAATAGAGTGCGTCTTATAAACGGGAGCGTGCAGTGCTTTCGTGGACAAGCCGGTTCGGTGTTAATGCCCTGTGCTGTTCAGTGTCTACCAGTGTCATCGCTTGAATGATTTGTCTATGAAGCGGACGAGGAGGGATACACCTCATGCTGCTGTTAGATGTCTCAACGTCACATCGGTGGAGTTGCGGTGTGAGGGCTTGGATAGAGGTGCAGCCCCGCAAGTGCCGTCGCAAACCACCGCTGGCAGAAGGGCGCTTGATACAGAAGCCCCCTCTTCTTGGAGGAGGTGTTTTGACCAAATCTTCGACGCTGGCCAGAGGTCTTGGAAGAAAATAGTGGGAGTCACCCACGCTTTACGACTAACAGTGGTGCACCCATGTACAATAATACTGCTCCTGGGTTGGCAAGGGAGCACGCTTTAAAACACGCGCTTGCGATGGATTTACTTGTGGCTTTGTGAAAATGTGGCCACTTTTTAAATCCTTTATATTAAGTTCACTTGCTTGCGCGCTTACGACCGTGCACATCTTTCGGTCGTTTTTTAACCCACTTCACGTGATCCAATCGAGCTGACATTTTGCACACAGACTCGTTGCGTGACAATTTATTGTCGTGAGAATTTTTTTCCATAACTTTACACTTTTTAGGGAAATTTTTTTTATATTTAATCACCAATTGCTTAATGGTGGCAGGCAATCATCTGACCCATAGGTGGCAGCCATCTCAAGCCAGAGGACGAGAGGACTCTAGCCGCCACGCATATAAAGGATTTATAGTGAAAAACTTTGTTTTTACGGGTTAATTTTTGCAAACCGGTTTCGTGGATTTTCACCGCGTCCCCTAGATGGCGATTGAGCTACAACATGCTAGTTAAAGTGGGTACAAGTGGAGAACGCGTGAGCAATGCCCTGTGGCAGAAGAGGCCATGCAAACACAACGCTCTTCCTTGAACGCGGGACTTTTAGTCGCCATGGTTTCAAAGCTGTTTAGATATTTCATGCATTTTAAAGTCTGTCTCCTATCGTTATCATCAGCCACAATTTATCCACTGCTAATTGAAGACTGCCCCCAAGTCACAATCTCTCGTGGTCCAGCGATGCAACAGTGCGCCTGCTGATGAGTTGATTTCACCGCTCCATCTCTGCCGATGGACGTCCACTTGGGCGAGTTTCCTCTCACCGCCTGCCACGGAGTTAGTCTCGACCACCACCCATCATTCCCTCTCGCGAGGTGCCCAATCCAAACCCCACTTGTGTTAACAGGCAACAGGATGTATCTCGATTGTGTATATACCCTAATTCATGGATTCCTCGTTATGTCTCATTGTAATTATAAGCTTATAAACGTAGCTGATCAACTCCCCACCATACAAAATAAACACTTTAAGCGTGCACCTCTAATGTGCCTTGGTGCAGTTTTCAGTCTTTGTTCCATACTCTGACCCATGTGTTTCTGACCCATATGTTACTCACCCATGTGTTTCTGAACCATGTTACTCACTCATGTGTTTCTGACCCATATGTTACTCACCCATATGTTTCTGACCCACATGTTACTCACCCATATGTTTCTGACCCATATGTTACTCACCCATATGTTTCTGACCCATATGTTACTCACCCATGTGTTTCTGACCCATATATGACTCACCCATGTGTTTCTGACCCATATGTTACTCACCCATATGTTTCTGACCCATATGTTACTCACCCATGTGTTTCTGGCCCATATATTACTCACCCATGTGTTTCTGACCCATATGTTACAGCAGGTAATTGAGAAAGTGGTTGTATGGGGAAGGGAATTACTAGATTTTCTGTATGTTAGTATCTGATGCATCGCGTGGACAGAGCTAAATGGAAGGCCATGATCGCCAACGCCTTTGAGATACGACGTGGCACAAAGAGCCAAGTTAGAGTGGTGGGGCAGCCCCCTGTGTTTGCGAGCGCCTATTAAAGCGGACTAAAGTGGTTTACAATATGGTCAATAGTTTGGGTTGCATGGCCACTGTCGCACTGTGGCTTGGTCTTTAATGTTCAAATTTACGAGGTAGGTGTGCGCATCGGCCAGTTGATGTTCTCATGCAGTTCACAGTTTTGTCGTGGGTTGTCTGGAGACAGAGTCTTCTTAGGAGGCAACACGAATTTATTTAACAATAACGTGAACACACGGGGTCCCTAACACGGAAGGGGTAATGGCCCCTTCTACCCGACGTCCTGAGGAGGTATAGCCTCCGGGCTAACGTGCCCTGGTCACTGGGACAACCTCATCTTAGCCCTCCGGCTAACGAGACTTAGGGGAGGCTGACCTGACCCAGCCAAGGCCCTCGGGTCTTGACCACTGGCCCACTCAGACCGGGCCCTGATAAGCACGTCGTGTCCGGGGATCTTCAGGGTCCTAGTCTTCAGGCGAGCTCTTCGATCTTCGGCTTGACGCCGACTGCCGGCGCCGCTCTGGGGGTCCGGCTTTTACGGGGCTCCCACGGTCACTCCGCCCCTGGTCACGCCCACTCTCTGGAACCTTCTTGAGGGACCTAGATTGTTGCACAATCCCCCAGCCCCTACTGGGGACCTGGGGTGTCCACCTCCGTTCTAGATTTGAAGCTTTCGTGACTGCAAGGATTCATACTCTTAGTTCTTTCGGTAAAGTCACGTAGGTAAAAAATTCAATTAAAATTAATAAAAAACAATGATTTTTTTTTAATTTTAATTTCATTTTTTACCTACGTGACTTTACCGAAAGAACTAAGAGTATGTCCACCTCCGGTTTGTAACCGCCCTCCAGATTGCCTGCCCCACCAGTTCTACTTGGTACAGGACGGACCCGCTATTGCACCCTGTTGGGCCCTAGCTGGAGCTGCAATATTTCCAGTAGCGGTGACGGCGTTTCACGCCTGACAATTACTCACCACAGTTACACCACCAGTGTCTTCGGGGAATGTCAGAGCCAGGAGGTGTGCGACGTTTTGGTCTCGAACGAGTTGTTTCTTTTGGACTTCCGCCTTGTTCCACTCTGTTCGTCAGCAGAGTTGTTTTTTCCCCGGATCTGGGTGAGATTCTGGGATGGTGACAGCGTGACACCAGAAGGGGCAATCGGGAATTTGAGTCGGCAGCCGGTTACATTGTTGAGGTATTATTGGCTGATGATGGGTAGGTGGTTGTCATTGGCAAGAAAACGTGGATGCTCCTTTGCAGTTTGCCAGGACAGAGCGCCATGGGATTCTTGTCGGTCTCAAGTGCTCTGGTTACGATGCGCATCGCGTTATTCAATCGTTCATCTAGCGGTTTTGTGCACGATCGCCCGGACCAGGCTGGAGTGCAGTGACTCTGCCTCCGAGTAGTTCAGTGAGAGAGGGGCGCCATTTCGTATCACTTCAGCTCGGGCGCCCCATGCGATGAAGGGATGGGACGTGACTTTGTTGCCCGGGAGGTGGGCACAGATTACTTGGCGAACGACCGTGCTCATTACACCGCCCTTCAGGGGGCCCAGCAATTAACACTACCCAGTCGCGTTTTAGAAGTCGAATATCTCTCGCTAACATCGTCCAAATGAAACGGTTGATGGTCAGACGGTGACGTTAATAACATTTCGATGTACCACCAGCACTGTCGTCGTCGTCATCGGCAGCCGTGATTTATCCGCTTGGTGGTGGGGCGATCTGTCTAGCTCCCGCACATGAGCGGATTTTGTCGCTGTGTCTCGGCGGCAGACATCCTCCTGGGCTGGTCTCACTGGACATTTGTGACAAAAGAGCTTTACAGCTCATTGGATTTATAAAGTATAAATAAATATTCTGATTTTTCACGTGACTAAAATATATATACGTATGTTGTTGAGCTCAAACTAGTGGTACATCTTGGTTTGTATCATGAGGACAAATCCCTAGTGTGGCTTTCATAAACTACACCGATGTGGCAGGATATTTGTGCAACCTCCAGTAAAACCTTGGATTGCGAGTAACTTGTTCTGCGAGTGTTTTGCAAGACGAGACATTTTGAAACTAAATATTAATTTGATAAACGAGCGAGGTATTGCAATACGAGTAGTACGTGTACACGCTTTGTCTGCCGAGCGTCACGTGATCACAACTGATATACGAGTGCTTTGATTATACGAGTGCTTTGGATTACAAACACGTTTCCGGAACGAATTATGCTCGCAATCCAAGGTTTTACCGTATATGCAAAGCGATCAAATACCCTCTCGTGGGGCTCTCTAGAGCTCCCTCTAGTGGAGGCCCTTCTGCCAGTGCGTGGCGTTAGCAAGCAATTGCAGGACTGCTCTGCCTTGAGCTGTCATGTTTACAAAACACTTCAAATTCTCACTGTTAATTGCAACGTCGTGGTCTGTGAGACATGCACTGTGGTGGCTATTGTGGAGACTAATTGCCTCGTTATTGTTTTTCATGGCGAAGAGCCTTTGAGTGTAAACAACGTTGCCCGTTTGGGGAGTTTTTATTTTGCACACAGATTTGGAGGCGAATTGTGTACCTTTCCTAATACGGTGCGTCTCTCTCTCTCTCTGTCTGTCCTGCAGCATGCTCCAGGACAACTGTAGTGTGTCCGCTTTGAGGAGGTAAGACGCCGTCGATGTTTATGGTCATAACAGCATAGAACGCAATTGCGGAGTGTCATGAGTGGGGCATATCGGGACTGTACTCATGACCTTGAAAGGTTGCTGTGTGCAGCAGCAGCAGGCAAAAATGAAACGGATGAACGTGTAGGTTCATACCTGAGCTGCGTTGTCTCCGGGCTGTCCTGTCTGACTGCCACAGGTGAATCGGAGCGCTGAGCTTGGCTCTGCTGAGATGCTGGGTTCGAATCTGGGCAGCCGCCTGTGATTAAACCAGGGGTCCGTTGGAAAAAGACAAATCGAGTACAAGATTCACTTTGGTAACCATTTAAATCAAGGACCCGTATCTCACAGAGAGGACGCTAGCCTGTAAATAACTGGCACTTGGCCAGCATTATTGTAAGAAAGACTGACTGCTGATGAGGAACTGAATGTTGAAACCAGTCTAGAGTTTTACTCGTATTAAACCGATACTTAAAAAAAAATGCACTCCAAGAAGGCCGTGTGATTGATGGAAGGGTACCAAATATGAACTCTTGTTTTAATACATCGCGCGTGGTCCCAACGCTGCCAAACTTTGCGTTGATTATTCCGCATTCACGCAATCACTGAAACAAAGCGCGGTGCGGAAAGACGTCGATCGCAAGCCGATCCACGTCAAAAAACGCACGGCTAAGAACCGATTTTTAAAGCCCCACGCCACAAACGTGGAGACAGAACACGCACTTTTTCCACTGGGCACCCCGCACTCAATCTCTCCATGAAACCCATCTGCTCGACTGCGGGAGCCCAGCTGCTGCGTTCCCAGCGACCGTTGGAGTTTTTTTTCTCTCCCCCTCTCCTCTTTTCATACATCTGCTTTCACGAGGGTCTCAATTTGACAGCGCCACTTCCCGCCCCACTGCGTAGGGCCCTTGCGGCGGGAGGGGTGGTGGAGGCGGAGCCCGGCTGGAAAGTATTACGTCGCGCTGAAGCACCGCCAAACTCTGTTTTCACAGCTGCCGATAGGTTCTCGGGGCAGGGGCGTGAACTTGTCGCGAGCGCAGGTGATTACTTTCAAATGTTTTCCGCTGGGATGAGTGGTGGTGGCGGCAGCGGGAGCGGCGGGCGCAGTCTGTAATGTCAGCGTTATGTACTTTAGCACTCGCACGGGACTTTGTGGTTTACGGAGCTGTGAAAACAAAGCGGGGTTGTTTTGGAAGCGTTCCCGCGACGGCACTAGATGCTCGGTTAAAGCGGCCGGCGCGGGGTGCGGCGAGCCGAGTTGAGCGACGACGAGCTCGGTCCGATCGGAGCGCCGAAGCCGGTTTCATCTTTCGCCGCCACGTGCTCGCCAAAGGACACCCAACTGATTTGACCGAGGCCTCGCAAAGAGAGAAGTGAGCATCGTGGCTTTTTTGAGAGAGAGAGAGAGATCGAGCGGTCATGCAGACGGGAGGGAATGCGCTGGGGCTGTCTGGGCTGGAAGAGCAACATTGTTGCTTGCGATACAGGTACGCACACGCTGGAAAGAGATCCGCGAGGCCTTGTAATGCGAGTGTGCAAAAAGCCAGGGAGGTCGGGTACTGTTACGCCCTTTGTTTGGCGCGCCCCGGAACGAGCGAGCAAGGCGATGATACAGTTTCGGCGTGCGCGAGTGTTACGTCGAATTCGTTTTGTAAAAACGCGTGTGTTTTTAAGTTAGTTGAGTTACTATGTTCTCGTTTCCTCCCTCCCCCTCTTTCTCTTCACCCTCCCCTGCGCTCTCTCGCCCCCCTGGACCACACAGCGGGGGGAACGCTGTGGGTAGTTACGTGCAGTGTGGGTCAATTGTTGACGGTGCACTCCGGTCGTGTTGTTGAATATTGTAAAAACGGGTTGTGTTGATCCGTTTTGAGGCTTTGTTAGGGTGACGTGCAATTGACTCGGGTGAAGTTGGCCAGAAAGGTTGTGTGTGTGGTCGGGGGTTGGGGCGTTCAAGTTTGTACCATGAGATTCTAGATTTGAAGGTTTCGTGACTGCAAGGATTCATATTCTTAGGTTTTTTCGGTAAAGTCACGTAGGTACAACATTAAAATTAATAAAAGTACATTTTATTATTTTATTTTACTTTTATTAATTTTAATGTTTTACCTACGTGACTTTACCGAAAAAACCTAAGAATATTGTACCATGAGAGTTGTGAATGCACGTATGAATATATTATTTAGTCTTAAGTCGGAAATATAAAATGTTAACCAGGCCACGTTCTTCAATTGCAGCAGTTTCATTTGCGCTACTGGCCGAGTGGGGGGGGGGGGGGGGATATGACATGTGTAGACCCTCATAGCAGTACCGTCACGCGACCTCTTCGTTATTTAAACTGCTGGCACCGAGATGATTTGTGCCATCAAATTCGCTTGAAAACGTAGCCTGTGTGTGTTTTTGGTGAGAAGTCCGCCGTACATTTTCATGTTTTGTCCGTGAAATTAACTCTGCTGTCTTGCACCGCTGTCCAATTGGGGTCTACATAAACTTGTGCCATGTTGACATTTCCTCTTAATTATTAAGGTCGTTGCTGTGTACACAGGTCAACCACGTATGCCGCTCGCTCGCTGCCCGTGACTCTTCGTCAAGACGGGTCTGCGTTTGTTATGATATTTATAAGAATTGGTTTTACCCTTTCTGGCAATAAAACATGAGGTGTTAAGATGTTCAAACACCAAATAGAAACCTTTTGCCAAGGAGTCTTGTCTGCATTAACCACACAGAGTACTTGTGGTGAACATGAAAACAACAAAAACATGCTCTGGTAGTAAATGATGGTCCATACCACAGACAGCTTTCTTTAGAGCCTCGTCTCAAACAGCGTTAGACCAGAGGACGCCAAAAGGCAAACAGCACAAAGACAATGCCACTATCAGGGCATTTATAGTTGGGGTGAGCAGCTACATTATGGAACCTTTTTTGTTTGCATGTTCACCACAAGTATGTGTGGTTAATGCAGACATCATTCCTTGCAAAAGGTTTCTGTTTTGGTGTTTTAACATCTTAACACCTCCTGTTTTATTGCCAGAAAGGGTAAAACCAATTCTTTAATTTTGATACTGGCAAGAAAGGTCCCATTATTATGATATGTCTCTGTTGTAGAAGGAACTTTTGAGGTGAGGTTGACCCAGATGTGCAAAGGCTAGGGTTCTGTTTAAAATTGGCCCAGTTTGGTAACCATTGGATACGTAAACGTTCCACGAAATCATTTCCAAATTGCCGAAACGACGTCGATTATGATTGGTGGATATTCGTGCGTTAACAGCCCGGACAGTTCTCGAATGAGGACCAACAGTAAGTAGTGCACCACAAGTTGTGCTTGTTGATGTCGCTAACGCCGAGGAGAGGAGAGCGAGTAGGGCAGCATGCTGGCTCGGGGCCTGCGGACGTGTTTGTTTTAGGCAGAGTTACTACCCAGGGAAACCAATTCAAGTTTTAGTTTTCATATCGGTGGCGCTGCCCGTACTCCCAATAATAAATCCAATTCATGGAGAAAACTTCGCACTCAGTCACTGTCCTCTTTGGCTTTTGGCGAAGGATTCGGGTGGAAACAAGGAGTGCCTCCCTGGCCTGTCTCGAGAGCTCTTTGTGAGAGGCGTCTCAAAAGTGGGGAAACCGGATTTCGCAATTGTAAACTGTGAGCAAGCAGGATAAATAAAATGTAACTTTGACCTCACCGCAGGCGTTTGTCCTGTTTAATCATAGAAGAAGCGGCGATGTTCTCTTTATTTTAATTTCAAATGTTGGCAGTTGCCCAACCTTGTTGGAGTTCCCCAATTGGTCTCAAATTTCAAGAGCTTGATCCATACGAGTGGCGGAGTGGTGGCGGAGTGGTTAGTGCGTTGCGCTTTGAACCCGGCGGTCCGACTTCAATTTACAGCCGTAGCGAACATCATAGGCGAGCAATATTTGGATCGGTCCTGGGCTCCCCTTTTACCAACCCGCACTGATCATCGTGGTGAAGTATGGTCAAACAACTCCCATGTCTCGAACACGGCACAAGGAGGCCTTCATCCAGCAGTGGATTGACAAAGGGCTGCAAACTAACGAGCGAAGCGAATGTTTCTTTGGTGTCATTCACTCTGTCTTCGTGGTGTAAACATCTCACCAGCACTGGGAGAGACAAAGGTGGTCGGGCATGGTGTTGGCCGTCTTTTGTAGGTGCTTGCTAACAGCACTTGCTCCAACAATCCGTTATAGGGAGATCTTTCTTTTTGGTTCTTTCGTTAAAGTCACGTAGAATGGAAATAATAAAATAATAAAAATAAAACATAATAAAATAATCTTCTTGGTTCTTTCGGTAAAGTCACGTAGAATGGAAATAATAAAATAATAAAAATAAAACATAATAAAATAATCTTCTTGGTTCTTTCGGTAAAGTCACGTAGAATGGAAATAATAAAATAATAAAAATAAAACATAATAAAATAATTCTCACGACGTTTCGGCCACAACGCAAGCAGCCGTCCTCAGGTAAAGAACAGGTCTGTCGAGAAGACAGAGCGGGGTCTGTTCCTCACCTGAGGACAGCTGCTTGCGTTGTGGCCGAAACGTCGTGAGAATTATTTTATTATGTTTTATTTGTATTATTTTATTATTTCCATTCTACGTGACTTTACTGAAAGAACCAAGAAGATGAATCCCTACAGTCACAAGAGCTTTAAATAGGGAGATCTTTGTCTTTGTAGCGGATTTTCGATCATCATATGTGCTGGTTCCTGTGGTGTGTCCTGTGCGTCTTATAGGGCAAGGGTTTACCTTAATGTGCCGTGATGCAGTGTTTTCCAGTGCAATCCGTTTACCTTCGCACAAATGCCCAAGCTTGCCAGATGTGACTCATTCTAGCTCAAACAAACCACAGATCCACACCCTTGACATTAGTACAGAGAGATTGAAATATATGATGCCTCAGTGGTTCAATATGTATCATGATCTTTCAATACAGCCATAATGAATGCTGGATGAAGGCCCTCTCCAAGCCATCACTATCTCTGACGGTCCTGCGATATATAAATCCACCCAGCACCTGCACAGGAACTGATTTCATCATGCTAGCAGTGGATTGATCGTGACTGCTGATGATGATGATGATGAATATTAATAATTGACATAAGTGTTTCATAAATATTACATGGTGCAGCTATTCTTACGGCCTCTATGGTTTCCATTGCTATGAGCGTCTCCTGTTGCAGCGTCTGAAACCATTCTTAAATATATAATAAACATGCAACGCCGCTCTTTGCTCGTGTAATATAGCCAACACATTGCCTGCCAGTCTCCTAGAAACATTAACTTCGTAAAAACGCAGTACATTAGGAACTCGTGGAGACGCTGCTTCGGCGGTGTAATGGGGAAGTACGCTCGATGCGCAATCCGGAGGTTGAAGGTTCGATCATCTCTATCGGCTCAGCGGCTGTTGGAACAATGTTGCACGTTGCTTTAATTCGCCCTGTCGCCTCTGTCCACCCGGCAGTATAAAATCAGAGCTCCACAGTTGGGCTACGATCGGCAGGTCGCATGTGATGGGCTAAAATGTGGGTACTACCGCCTGTTTCCTCCGAGACGTACTGGTTAGCCTGGAAGAGTAGGCCAACGTATGCTCCTAGATCTCCCTCTTAGTGGAGACGCTTCCCGTGTTAGCCGAGCTGTACCTCGGCCTTTTCCTAACTCATGCGCACGGGGCGTTTCACCTGCCTCGCTCTTCACTGCGATTCCCATTTGGCTGCTTGTGAAAAATGAACTGAATTTTGTTTTGGTGCCCTATTTAAAAAAAATTTATAATATAAAAATATATTCTACTCGGTACAAAATGAGAAAAAATTATTTTGGCTCGCTTACTGCCTGGATTCCTGTCTGCCTGGCTGGCTGGCATGCAGGTGAACGTGCGCGGTGGTGACGACGTCACTGCGCACATCTGCGTATGTGATGACGTCACCCGCAGCACTGAGAAACGGTCAGTGCATTGCGCTGATGTCATCACGCCTCCTGTCATCCACCCTGGATGTGGATCCCATGCAAATGTACAGCATACACTATCATACTTTAATAGAAAAAAGTTTTGCTGGAGGGACGGACAGACGGATGGATGGTCACGTGCAGGCTGCTAGTTTTCTTGAAGTACGCACTCGGGGACAATGGCGTTACTTGATGTCTCGTGAGACGGGCGAGGACACCCTTAGGGGAGAGCCACTGTTGTGGGTCTCTGCACATGACTGGGCTTGCTGCAGCCAGAAGCTGTGGCATCTTAATACGCACTGGAACATGCCAACATGAAACCGGAGTGGAAACCTCGCATCCATCTGCGAGACGGTGGCACCTGCGTACTTTGATTTTGCGTTTTCTTTCATCTTCACGGTGAGGTTGCCATTTCATTGGAAGCGTTTGTGTCACGCTGGTATTTTTGTGGGGGAATTAATTCTATTACATTCACCGCGTGGGTTTACTGCGGTTCATGGTGCCGCGTAGCTGTCCGTTGCGTTTTCGGGTTGGGCCGCCGGCGTCCGGCGTTCCGCTCCCCCCATGGAGTGGCAGCTCCTCGTGGCGCTGAGTTGGAGTTCCCGGCACGCGGAGCGAAACGTCGGACATCGTGCCGAACAACACGCGGTACAACCTGAACACGCATCGGACTGCTTTTGTAATTGTGAGGTTATTTTTCTAAAATCAATTGTCAGATTGTGCTTAAAGGCCACGATACAAAAAATAAATCTATCGCTCGTTAATTTTCCAGAGGCCTCGGTTTCATTTCCGTAGCGAGGTGGGGATTTGCTTTCGGGTCTTGCTCTCAACTCAATACTTTGAAAGCAGCAACAACAACAAAAGTCGCCTTCTTTTTACAAATTCCTGTTGCCATGACATTCGTTTACATCACTCAACCAGGAATAGCTCCGTCCCATCAATTCTAAATACCACTTCCTCCTGTATGGCCAAATTCACAGAGCCGATGGCTGTCACGATGACAGGGGGTGCGAGTGGATGGTTACAAATCTGCTCACCTGCCCTTGGTTTTTCCCTGTGTTGATGTTTTAAATGTCATTGATTCTTCGCGAGGGTGATGGATGGCGTAGGTAACCGTTGGTTCACGGTATGGATACGGGAATGTGAAAATAAGATTAAAATCTCCTGCATTTGACGGAGGGCCTGGGCAGGACCTGGCAGCTAAGAAGGGGGTGATGGGCAACGGTCAAGAATAGCGCGACGGACCTGCAGCCGAGGAGTTGATCACGTCCGACAGGAGACAGACCTTGGAAATCGGTGTATGTGCATAGGCTAGGTGGATGATGATGTTGCAGGATGAAGGCTTTGCCTGGCCTGCATCCAGCAGTGGGATTGTTTATTGAGTCCGGGACTACATTCTAGCTGATTGCAGGGTGGGGGCGATCCCCGGGTACTGATCGGCAGCTTGGCTGATGATGATGGTGAGAATTGATGATGGTTACCGCACCGTGGTGGTTGATAAGATCGGTGAACGAAGCACATTCTGGATGCGTGCGGCAGGACATCTCTGTCAGCAGGTCATGAATACTTCAGTGGACACGCGTCACACACACACACACACAAGAACGCCGTATGCTTATAATGTGTAATTTAAAAGGTGAAAAGTGCATCTACGACGAAAAATGTGGCACATTTCCCAGTGTAAAATTTGTTGATCCATTAAGTTTGAGCTGTCTAATTACTACATTTAGTTGTTAGAATAGTTTTTTTTTTTACTGGTGAGCCGAAAAAAATTCAATTGGCACGTTCAACACTTCTACACGGGACAGTTGTCAGATGGTGGAGGGTTTTACGACATATATTTGGCCAGTTTATTACGTGGCCCAACCCAAACATCAATTAATTGATTGAGACATTGTCAGCCAAAACCCACGTGTTAAAATTACCATCTTGCTTTGTGAGACTTCTTAACGTACCCCACTAGTACTCTTTAATCACCACCTGCCGATCCCCCCTATTCCTTCCTCCCCCCCCTTCCCCCCTCTCCTCCGCTGTTCCCCGCAGGATGGAGGCGTCCTGCCTGGAGTTGGCGCTGGAGGGCGAGCGCCTGTGCAAGGCGGGCGACTTCTGGGCGGGCGTCTCGTTCTTCGAGGCGGCCGTGCAGGTGGGCACGGAGGACCTGCGCACGCTCAGCGCCATCTACAGCCAGCTGGGCAATGCCTACTTTTACCTGGGAGAGCTGGGGAAGGCGCTCGAGTACCACCGGCACGACCTCACGCTCGCACGGTACGTCTGCCGACACTCACCATAATCATTCCTTGTTACGTGATGGCAGCGATGTGTGCCCAGGGGCTCGATGCCAATCAGAGGTCGCAACCGGGTACCCGATACCCGTACCCTACCCGATACCCGGCCAACCCGTACCCGAGTACGGGTAGCCGTTTGCGACCCTGGTGCGGCCGGGTACGGGCACAGGTAGGCCGTGAGTTACTGGTGAGTAACCGTTTGTCGCTCATTTCGGGTAGGGTACGGGTAGGTAATGGGAACCCGTACCCGGCCGGGTATGTGTACCCATTTACGACCTTGGTGCGGCCGGGTACGGGTAAGGAATCAAAACCCGTTTGCGACCTCTGATGCCAATGCCAAGGTCTGCTGCTTGCCACGACAAGAGGACTTCGGCAGAGAGTTTGTGTAGTTTACGCTGCTCCTCCGTTCAAGGAGCGCAGACAACAGTGGTTTACTTTGTGGGTTGCAAGGCTACAATCGCACGACTGTGGCTGGGTCTTCGGTTTTCCATTTATGAAGGAGACATGCGCATCGACCTGTTGACGTTCCGACGCGATCGCTGGTTACGCCACTCGTGTCTTCGAGGAATGCCGAAGACAGGAGGTGCGATGTCTGGGTCTCGAATGAGGTGTTTATTTTGGACGTACGTGTTTTTCCACTCCGTTCACCAGCATTTTTTTCTGGGTCTGGGTGAGATTCTAGGATGATGTCAGTGTGACCGTGGAAAGGGGTCGGGGGGGGTGTGGTGACATTGTAGCGGCCTTGGTCAATGGATTGGTTGTTGTTCTTGGCAAGAAAACGTGTCAACTCCCTTGCAGTTTGTGCGATGTCTCTGTATATATTTGGAGGCAGAACGTTCGCCAGAAAGGGGAGCCAGGGGATTGGTGGCGGTCTCAAGTGTTCCGGTTGTGATGCGCATCGCGTTATCCAATTGTGCGTCAAGCGTTTTTTGTGTACGAGCGCCTGGAGCAATACTCTGCGACCGATAATTATGATTCCGTGCATTTGGCTTGAGCTCGTGCTTTTGATCAATGTTTGGTCACTGGGTTGATGATGGCATTAGTCGTGGAGGCTGCCATCTTCCACTCCACGCAAATAATCCGGCTCATTAACCACCTCAATGTAAAATTATATTTGTGGCTCTACATCAGCATCAGTCATACGAAGAAGTACATTTGGTATTGGCGCCATCATTCTTGTAATTGGCAAGGCGATCGTCGGGAAGGAAGGCGCCGCTGTGTTTCACAGGCTGCTGTAGTTTCACACTGGTGCGATGTTGCTGCTGTGTGTGATCTCAATCGAGTAGTTTGGAGCGTAATGTTTAAAAGTTGGAAAATTTCGGACCATGACGCCGACACACAATGGCCTACCCGTTACAAATAACGTCACGGAATCTTTTGTGAGTGGAGCAGACGCCGCGTGTTTTTCCGGTTAGTACGCACGACTGCAGTAATAACCAGGGTGGCCTGCCGGATTCGAACCGGCAACTTGTACAACAAGCGGTGAAGACCCTCCAGCTGGGCCGTGTCGTACTCACCGGTATCCTGCCCCCTCGCGTACAGTTCAAAGCGCTTCTTAAAGTGGACTGGGCCAAACATCACGTTATAACTCGCTCCTCATAAAGAGTCTTGAGAGTAACATTTTGATTAAAAGCTTTCGTGACTGCAGGAGATTCATATTCTTGGTTATTTCGGTAAAGTCACGTAGAAGGGATACAATAAAATAATGAAAATATAAAACAATAAAGTTCTCACGACGTTTCGACTACACTGTTTTTTCACACCTGATGATGATTGCTTGTGTTGCAGTTGAAACGTCGTGAGAATTTCATTGTTTTATATTTTTCTTATTTTATTGTTTCCCTTCTGCGTGAATTTACCGAAAGAACCAAGAATATATTCTTGACAGTGTTTGTGCGCCTGCCATATTGACTCTTTGCGTACAGGGAGGAAACTGGAGTGTCCGATGAACAGTTGCACGTTCGAATGTACTTGAAAATGCACAACTCTCAAAATCCTACTCCAGTTAACCTTCTTGCTCTTCCGCCTTCTAGATCCATCCTGTTGATTTTCTGACGAAAAGTTTTCAGTGTATTGTTTCCGCCGTGTGGCGAGGTTCATCCACGGCGGCCGTGTTTTAAATCCACATCTTTAGCGGCCGTTTTTTTTTTCCTTTTACACAAAATGCTCCAGCGCTGCAGCGCTCGAAGTCACCCACCGCACTTGGTGCGATGCGCAGGTTACAAACGCGGGACGGAATGCAGTGAAGCAGAGCGACGCACAAATCTCCGTACAAAAACACCCAGAGGAAGCGAAATTAACAGTACGCGGTTAATTATGCCGGGGGAAAATACGGATATTGCGCTTGCCGCTCTTCAGGCTTTTCTAAACAGGTTTTCGCGCTACCAACGTGCGTTTGTGATAATTGCGTTAATTATAAAAGCGCAACTCTGCCCCGACAGCTGCGAGCTAGCAATTTGCAAATCCCCACAGTCGATGCTTGTCTGACCCCAGCGATTAAGTTCACGACGGCTCAATTCATTCGCGCCCTGGTGAACAGAGACGGTTTTGTCAGCGCCGGGTAGATTCCGCGGGCGGCGTCGAGGAAATGCGCGTGAGCGCCGTCAATTCCGTTTCTTGTTGTCGTAACGAGAAGGCCTCCGATAACGAATGCCGCTGACAATAGCATCGCCGCCCCCCCCCGGGGCAGTTATTCCGCGACACTGCAGAGGCGTAAATGAATCTCAATTTGCATTAATGACATCCACTGATGACTATTATTATTAGATATTTCACCGAAGTGCCGGGTGCGTGCCGCGGAGCTGGCACGTCGAGACGTGCGCAGATTCGCGACCGCCAGCCCCTGGGGCTACATGCAGACCTCCTCCCCCCGTTGTCCTCCGCGGGTGGCGGTGTTAATTAATCCAATTAGGGCCTTGCGAAACACGTGCCCAAGCGCGCACACAGTAACGTTGCTGTGGGGCGCAGCGAGCAGCAGCAGACGGCTTGCCAGTGACTGCAGAGTTTGTTGTCTGTGCCGGTTGGCCGCTGCTTGGGGTTTGCAGCTCGGTCTGCTGAGTGGGTTTGTGGCGTAAAATGTATTCCGTCGTGCGTTTGTCTTGGAATGGGAAATGTCTCGCGTTTTTCTTCTCTCTGCCATAAGCTAAAAACATCCATTGTAACCGGTATTCGCCAACATCCCCAAACTGAAATATGACCTTCCAATGACTCAATTGGGATGAGATACCGCAAGATCTCGTACCCTAACTGCAAAAACTTGGCAGGGGCCCTCTTGGAAAAAAACTCACTTTCTTGAGGCTCAGTGGGGCTTTCCTGGAGGCTACGGTGAAAAACGTATCCATGACACACTCGCTATGTTGACGTACCCTATAAAGGACTGTGCGTTTGAATGTATTCCTTGTTGAATGCAGTGTTTACTGCTCGATTCATTACATTCACCGGGCGGGCCACCTGTTCACGGCACAAGACTCGTCCACTCGTGCGCGTAATCCCAATGGGACCAAGTCCAAAAATGCTCTGCTTTCTGCGACCGACGTTCCAACTGCTTCGCAGCACGCGGGCTCACCTGTATTATGGCCGTGAGACTGCGGATGAAATTCAGTTGTGAGTGGCCGATAAAGCATCTAACTCGGTTCATAAGCAGATTATCTGGCTGGGTGGCATCGTGGCGGCAAGATTGACTTACGGTTAAAAGATGAGAAGTTCGAATCGCGGTTGGGGGGTCAACTCTGTACTTAACGCTAGCACACCGGTGTGTTGGAGAGCCAAGCCACCTGAGTTCTCCAATGCACCGGTGTGCTGTACTAGTGACGAATTGGCACGTTTTGTTCACGTGACAAACATTACTAATTGGCTGTGTCGGGTGGTGGCGGGTTTAACGGCACATTCATATATTTACGCGAATAATGGGGAAGCTCGCAGCCCTGCAGCGAAAGCGCCACACGCGGTAACCACAGGCGGATGGTGCGGCGTGCAGGACGGTGGCGGACCAGGTCGGCGAGGCGAAGGCGAGCGGGAACCTGGGGAACACACTCAAGGCGCTGGGGCGATACGACGAGGCGGCCGCCTGCTGCCAGCGACAGCTCGACATCTCGCGCGAGTCCGGCGACAAGGTGAGAGGCCCGCGATGCTGCTGCTGCTGCTGCTGCTGCTACCTCGGGGGTGCCACGACTCCAAAGTCAAGTTGGTTATTTTCAGTGTCTCGCCTCGTGGGTTTTATCCGTTCGCCGGATAAACAGAAGCCGCCACCGGGAGGTTAGAGGCGTAGCCCTTCCGTGAGTACCGCGTACTCGACGGAGTGCAACACTTATAATGGTCAATACAGCAGGCTCCAGGTGAATCTGTGAGAAAGAGCTTCATGGCTCATCGGATTCCTCCAGCGTCAATAAATATTGTGATTCTGGGTGTCGCCGTTGGTCAACTCTCTGGACAATGGTGGAGTTCTTCGTTTTCCAGTATTCCTGACGATGCCCATATTATATATGGATGAAAAAAGGAACATATGTACTGTTGCATTACTGTCATTGCATGGTCATTGTAAAGGCACCGATGTAGTAAAGAAGAGAGGGGATCCTGAGTAGCCTGTAATCATGAACAGATCAGAATGTCCACCGGCAACCACCACGGGCACGAGCGACGGTCTCGCACAGCTGATGCGGGAGGCCGTCCACGCGTTTGTCTGCACAGGTGGGGGAAGCCAAGGCGCTGTATAACCTGGGGAACGTGTACCACACGCGGGGCAAGCAGGCGGACGCCGTGGGGGCCCACGAGCCCGGGGATCTCTGCGACGAGGCCAGGAACGCCCTCCTCGCCGCCGCACAGTGCTACGAGTGAGTGCGGGGGCGGAGACGGACGGCGTGTTTCACCGTACTTTTTACCATGCTCCCCCCCCCCCCCCACCCCGCCTGGTCAGCGTCTGCGTGGGCCGTGAAGGGGGCGGACGGCGTCCGGGACAGGTTTTGTGATGTCGCTTGCCGCTGACGTCACCCGTGGCTGGGTATCGAACTCGGCTTGCTGGGTTCGTAGTGCAGTGTGATTACCACTGCACCACTGCTGACCCAGGACCAGTGTGGTTATTACTCGCCACCGATGTTGGCCGCCGCCGGGAATCGAACTGAGGAAGCCAGGTTTTGCACCATCGCTCAACTCCGTTCACCATTTGCTGTGTATAATAAGCGGACAGCCTGCAGGTAAACAAGCGCCTTGTCAGCTCGTGGGGTTTCCCAGCTCTCACTGCGGTCACGCAGAGCTTAACGTAGCTGCCCCCGTATGGCGGCGATCGACAATGACACCACAACCCCTCCCCCGCTTGCAGCGTGAGTGACGGGCTTGCCTCGCGCGAACACGGCGCTCGCCGCATAAACTCTGCCGTTGCGAATGTGCCACAGCGTGTGCTTTTTAGCTAAACCCCTTGTCATTTAGCGAGCAATCTCGCGATGGCCGCTCATAAAAGGAGGCTGTTTTTCATGTCCGTGCGACTACGCAGCATCGGCCCGGTTATTGATTTTACCGCTGAAACGTTTTTGGATCGTGGCTAAACTGCTGGCGTCTGGGGTTTTGCGCTGCAGTGCCAGATTTATGACACTGGCGGTCAGCGCGAGTGCTCTTAGCCGATGAAGGCGCCCCAGTAGAGGCGCAGAGGGAGAGTGTTCGTGCGTGCGGCGTGTGCGTAGCGGAGGATCCCGCAAGGGCGGCGTGCGATTGAAACAAAAAGCAAATTGAGCAAACACGAAGAAAGTCGCATAACGTTGCCACTAAATTACGAGTAACGATTTGCCTAATGATAACGAGAGCACGGCGGACGGGAACGTTAATGGATTGTACCGTAGCGTAATTTCAAGTGGGAGAAAGTGGATGGGTGAGTGATTATCAATTGTTTACACATGCACATACTCGACATGCGTGTCTGCTGCTATGCGTGCTTGCTTGCAAGCGGCGGGGCAGGTCGTTCTGAGAGTGGAATCTGTCACCCTACGCTTGTTATTTTTTTCACACGCGTGCCCGGATAAGATTTGTGTAACTTAGCCCTGAGTCGTCACGTGCGGCCCCTTTGTCAATCCACTGCTGGATGAGGGCCCTCCCCCACACCGCGTCACTCGTCTGGGTTTATTTTGACCATACTTCACCACGCTGGTCAGTGTGGGCCGGTGAAGGTGGGCAGCCTTGATGTTGGAGTGTAGAAGTAGAGTACAACCATTTGCCAGAATATACTGCAGTGATGAAATTGACAATACTCCAGCAAGATAAGCGGGCTTGAGCCTGGTTAGTGCATGGATGGGTTACCACCATGCACAGACGGGTCAGCTCATGTAATGGAGGGGGGCTGAATGTAATAAGTATTATGCTGCATTGACGGAAGCTAAAACGGTTAATAGCATTTTCTTTAACAAATAATAGCACGTAACGATCTCAGGCTCTGGCAATCTTTGCTTAAATTCATCGTGTGAAACTTCAGCGTGGTTGTACAAAGAAACCCACCACGCCGGTCTTTAGCTCTTTCCTCGAGAGAAAGCGCAATGGGTGGTGTTGTTGACACGGAGCGTGCCGGCTCTCCGATTGTCTGTGCATGTGCACCGCTGCCAACGCAGCAGCGGCACGCATCTCGTTGTTGTTGTTCACTGCAGTACGAACCCCGCTGCCATTGAACCCCGCTGCCATTGAACTCCACTGCGGTTAAACCCCGCTGCAGTTGAACCCCACTGCGGTCGAACCCTAATTCGTGAGATGTAATGGTGCCATACGTATTCACAGTCACAGTAACGTGGATTGTTAATTGCTTTCATTGTATTCCTTGACGTGTTTGATGCCGACTAGTTACATAGATGGGGGGCTCCATACATTCACATTATGCATTACTGGAATCATGTAATTTAGATACAAACTACCATTCGCCCCGAGGTGTGTAAGTTCGATACCACATGCAATGAAATTACGTACACTATTTAAGTCTCACTTAATTTAGTTGCTGGCCATCCGGACCGGTGGCTCAGCGGTGGAGCAAGCGGCTCGTGATCGCAAGGTCTGCCACTTCCAATCCTCGTTGACTCAGCCCATCATCTCTCCAGGGTCTATAAAATAAGTCTCACATTGTGGGGAAGTCAAAAGCGGTTGTCCGATGTCAAGGCTGCATAGATACTCGCTTCCACCATAGGAATGTGGAATTTCCACCACTGACTTTGCAGGGCTGGAAACAGCAGACAAGCTCCAATGCAGGAGGTCTCCAACTTGTTTATTGACACGCTGCCCATCGCCGCTGCTGCCCATGGTCGCTGCCAATCGCCGCTGGCCATTGCCTTCGCTGCCCATCGTCGCCACTGCCCATCGCCACTGCCCTTTGCACTTGACAAGTGTTTCCCTGCGTTTGCAGCGCGAACCTGGAGATCGTGCGCGTGCTGAACGACCGCGCGGCGCTGGGCAGGGCTTTCGGCAACCTCGGCAACACCCAGTACCTCCTCGGCAACTACGACGAGGCTGTGGAATTTCACCAGGAGGTGAGACTGCGAGCCCTTCACAATCGTCCGTCTGTGTCCGTCTGCCCTGGCTGGAAGAGTTCTTTATTGACGGTCAAGTGCAGCACTTGCAATCATTATTAATTGATTTCGTCTGCAAAAAAAAGCTGCTTCTGTGTTCACCATAAATGTATCGCCTCCTTTTCCCCCTTTTTTGACTACTGCCATGTTACTTCTTGTACTGTTCCTCTGAACTTCACTCACCGATTCCACCATTGCTTTCTTTCTGTGAGGGAGCGGGTGAATTGGTGAGTGAGTGAATGAGTAAACGAGCAGGTGAGTGGGCGATTGAGTGGGTGATTGGGTGGGTGGGTGATGAAGTGGGTGAGTGATTGGGTGGGTGGGTGATGAAGTGGGTGAGTGATTGAGTGGGTGGGTGATGAAGTGGGTGAGTGAGCGTGTGAGTGGATGAGTGGGTGAGTGAGCGACTTCCTTTTTCTCCTTGCCTTGCTGCTCGCTCCCTCCCGTTCCCTCCCGCTCTTCGCGCGCGGTTCCGCGCTCTGAGACGCTTGTTACCTTACGGGCGCATTACCCACGCACGCTGCCGCCGCTGTCGTGTGGCGCGTGGAAAACGAACACGGGGGTCTCCCTTTTGCCCTCCGCAACAGAGGCTGAAAATCGCCAAGGAGTTTGGGGACAAAGCGGCGGAGAAGAGGGCCTACACCAACCTGGGGAACACGTACGTGCGCCTGGAAGACTTTCCGCAAGCCGTCGAGTACTACAAGTGAGCGGCCTTCCCTCCCGACGACGCGTACAGCACCATTGGAACCTCATTTGCCAGTAAAAAATATGATAATTGTTTTTTTACCCTTCTATCTGGCAACAAAACTGACACCTTTTTTTTTTGCGTACAGCGTCGCGGATTTGCGATGAACGTTGCAGACTGATAATGTGTGACGGGGATGTAAGGGCGTTATAATTTTATTTTCCCATTGTCAGAGTGGTGTTGAGTGATAGCATCAGGGCACTAGCATTTTATTGATATTGTTCAGAGTGATATTGTGTGATTGTGTCAGGCAGGGCATTAGACTGATAATGTGTATATCGTACCAGAGATGCAGAGGAGGAAAGTGCCATGATCAAATTATGAACCAATACAACGTTTCTTTCCTAATAATTGGTAATTGATTACAATGTAATGTGCATAATGCTAGTACCTATGCCTGAGCAATGACCCAACTTTGCTTAAATCCTGTGGTTAAATCAGGTGGTTTGATTAAGTTTTTGATATTGATGTATTTTGTGGTCTACATTGACCAAAGAAAACATTCCAATAATAGTTTATTTCTCGTCATCATCATCATCCGTGATCAGTCCACTGCTGGATGAAAGCCCCCTGATGCTCCCCCCAATATCTCATCCTATTGCCTGTTGAGAAAAGTAAGTGGGCTTGGGCAGGACATGTCGCTGGAAGGAATGACAGCCGATTGTTCAGACTCATGACAGCCTGCCAGCCGGGGAAGGGGGGGAGGGTACACACGCAGATGCTCGATCAGTTTATTGTTTAGGCTTTCGGGACCAATATCCATAATAGAGGTTTATTTTTTTAATATTCTGGCTGTCGCCTGATGATGCTGGTTGTAATCACCGGCAAAACGTCGTGATATAACCCAAAAAGAAACCCCCCGTTAAGGTGCTCGATCAATCGTCGCATCTCGAGACCCGGAGCGATGGCAGAGCGGCTTGCCGAGGCCTTCATCCAGAGCTGGATTGATTATGGCCGACGACGACGATGACGACGGCGGTGGCGCAAACGGACGTCGTTGCTCATTCACATTGCTCTATGCTGCTTGTCCTGCCGCTCGGGCAGAGGTCGCAAACGGGTTTTGATTCCTTACCCGTACCCGGCCGCATCAGGGTCGCAAACGGGTACCCGTACTCGGCCGGGTACCCGTCCCTACCCGTACCCTACCCGAAATGAGTGACAAACAGTTACTCACCAGTGACTCACGGCCGACCCGTACCCGTACCCGGCCGCACCAGGGTCGCAAACGGCTACCCGTACCCGGCTGGGTACGGGTAGTCGGGTATCGGGTAGGGTACGGGTATCGGGTACCCGATTGCGACCTCTGCGCTCGGGTCTCTGACGATTGCTCGTGGTGGTGACGGTGGCGGTGGTGGCGGTGGCAGGAAAGCGCTGCAGCTGGCGCGACAGCTGCGGGAGCGAGCGGCCGAAGCACAGGCGTGCTACAGCCTGGGCAACACCTATACGCTGCTCAGGGACTTCCCGCTCGCCATCCAGTTCTTCCTCAAGCACCTGGCCATCGCGCAGGACCTCAGCGACAGGTGCGCACACGTGCGGCGGGTGGGCAGGCATTCATTAACTCCTTTCAACTAAGGTTGACTTGTGTATTTGTAACGGAGGGAGGGGGGCGGGCGGGGGGCTCACGATAACTTGTGAGGCCCCTTGTTTTAACAGAACTCCACCGTGCAGTTGTGTTGCCGTTAGCGACTTGCCCGAGACAAAACCGGCCACATTGATCACAGCATTGTCCAAACCGTGGAGATGAAAACCAAAGCGAAAAGGATTCACAATACCAGTGCAATCATAATAATAATTGTTATTTCAACTTGTAACACGCTACCATTGTACAGTAGAGAGAGAACAACTCAGAGGTGCGAGGAGGAGCCACAGATGAGCAAGAAAGGCAGCAACATGTGAGGAGGCACTACCAACAATTGCCGAAGCTCTGCAATCCTTTTTATATAAAGGTGTTATCGGCCAATTAACGAGTGTTTTTACTATATGTTAGTGCACGCCGCCCTTCCCATGCCGATGTCTGTATTCCAATTGTGCTGTCAGCATCCTATCATGAGATGTAGTATCCACCTGCATCTCTCGCAGAGTAGTGCAACCCTTCGTGCTAGAGAACGGCCCACGGAGTCGGATACGACAGAGCTACCTCTGAGATAAGCTTCAGGCTTCCCGTGGTCCAGACAGTAGGGGGCAGCACTTTCCCTCTTGATCCGCCACTGAGAATAACGACCATTGCGTGACGGCCAAGCCAACGTGCAGATTCTCAGAGTTGGAATGTAGACAAATTAAGTGCAGAGCCAAATTTTAGGTGATGTGTTTTTTGTGCATTCAACGGCGATGGCGCTGTGACCATCGACTCGCACGTGAGCACCCGGTTTAATTACGGGCAGTTGAAGCCTCGGATTAAAACCCAGAGTATCAGAGGTGCCCACATCAGGCACTGTGACCTCCGTACCACCCCGTCAACCTCTTGCAAAAGCACTTCTTATGAGACGTCCAGCAAGACGACAGGAGGAGGAGAATGGAGGAGGCTTAGGGTTACGATATTTCACTGATAACCATAACTAAAATGACTTGAGTAGATCACGCTGCCTCCTCCCAGTTCAAAGTGAATCACTGAGGTTGATTAAAAGATGTCTTTAAGGGAGCCGGTGTCGCAGCTTGGCTCGCTGAGCGTGGCCATTAAGGTGAATGTCTGATAGTTATTATGTGCGTGGCGCGTGGACTCCACTAAACCAGAGGGGGCTCTTTTAAAAAATACGGGTCAGATCGTTTGACTCCGCGCTATTCAATGTCAGCGTTTACGTTGTGCGTAGCGCTCAGTGCAAATTTGTTTAAGCTTGAATGCATTAGCTCTGCGCCGTCTGTCCGTCCGTCTGTAACTTGGGATGGCCATGGTAACTTGCGTAAAGATGTCCCACTGTAAATAACTTGTTTGTCTAAAGTTGTGTTGCTATAAGGGAATTACCTTGTAGATAATCAGCCAAATTGATGAAAGGGTTGGGCCAGAACTTGTCGGTAAAAATCTGGCACTAAAGGGGGTTAGCATTTTCTTCGTGGTTCTTTCGGTAAAGTCACGTAGAAGGGAAGTAATAAAATAATAAAAATAAAACATAATAAAATAATTCTCACGACGTTTCGGCCACAACGCAAGCAGCCGTCCTCAGGTGAAGACCAGGTCTGTCGGGGAGACAACGTCTGAATGAAACACCACCACGCTTGGAGCGTATATTTAAGCTGGGTTGGAAGGGGGGGGAAGGGCGCCTTGACAAAATAATTTGCATATCAAGAGGAATTTAGCATATTTATGGGAAATGCAGGAATGTGATTACTACTACTTGTGAAATGCGTAGGACACCATGGGCCACGATAACTCTCATAAACAAAAACTACATTCCGAGCATGTTGGACAGCAAGACAGAATTGATGCGTTTGCATTATTTTTTTTCTTCTTCGTTTGGTCCATCGCAACGCGACGTCCAGCATTGTAGGGCGGCAGGTTGGCGCAGTGGTAGCACCCGTGTCTCACAGCGAGATGGGCCCTGAGTTTGAATCCAGACTTGGGTGCCTTTTAGTGTGCCGTTTGGCACGTTCTCCACCTGTTCTGCATGGGTTTCCTCCGGGTTTTCCGGTTTCCTCCTCCCACAGCTAAACAAATACACGCTGTAACGGGTTCATATTCTTAGTTCTTTCGGTAAAGTCACGTAGGTAAAAAATGAAATAAAAAATAATAAAAATAACATAAAAATCACGACGTTTCGGAGGCAACACAAGTCTCCGTCATCAGGTGACTTGTGTTGCCTCCGAAACGTCGTGATTTTTATTTTATTTTCTTGGTTCTTTCGGTAAAGTCACGTAGAAGAAGCAGACGGCTGCTTGCATTGTGGCCGAAACGTCGTGAGAATTATTTTATTATGTTTTATTTTTATTATTTTATTACTTCCCTTCTACGTGACTTTACCGAAAGAACTAAGAAGATGAATCCCTGCAGTCACGAAAGCTTTAAATCGAAATTTAATTTTATTTTTATTAATTTTAATATCATTTTTTACCTACGTGACTTTACCGAAAGAACTAAGAATATGAATCCTTGCAGTCACGAAAGCTTCAAATCTAGAAGCTGTAACGGGTGTTTGACAAACATCCCAATGGAGCAGGACCCTTTCTATGTAAATAATAAACGGTTAATATTGTATGTATGTGCGTTGTAAGCATGTGAAACTTATTTCACGCCATACATAACCAACCATGCTCTTGTGGTCTACAAAAACGAGGCGCGGTAATTTTGCTTGGAAATGTCAACGTTGCCGAGTAAAACGATGCCGGGCCCCTTGAAATCATCGACGCTGCCGTTTCTTCTTCTCGCCTCGAAAGGCCGACGAGTCAAAAGCAAACCGGCCCCCGGCCGCCTTTGATGTCGGTAAAGATAGCTCCGTCGAGGCCTCGCGGCAAATCAAATTGGGCGAGTGTCTGGAACTCGACGCCACTGTAATAATTTGATCTTCTCTGCGCTTGTTTGCTGGAAAAGGCAAATCGGATTTCCAGGAAATTGCTTTTTTTCATTTAATACCATTAGTTGCCGGGTCAGTTGCGCCGCGTGGAAAGTGTCTTACTCGCCAGCTCGAGCGGCTGTGCAGAGAAGTCGCAGATAGTGAAACATATGCGTAAGATGTACATGCGCAATCCACTGCTGGATGAGGGTCTACGCGGGGGTGCGGCGTTGGGTCATTTTCATCCTCGAAGCGTTTACAAAATTAAATCTGCTGCTAAATATCTTCGAGATCATTTAATCTGCCAGAAGCTCCTCTTCTCAGTTGCTGCTCACAGTCCCTCCCATGTGGGACCCAAAAGTGGTTTACATTCCTTCTGTGTGGCGGCTGATAATCTCTGGGATAACCGAGCGAGAACATCTGGGATCAAAACCTCACCATCCTCGTCCCACTCTACATCAGATTTTCATCGCGCGTGCACGTGCAATTGATCGCTCTGCTTCACAGGCCTTCAAGTTATAAATGTTTGTTTGATTTTGTACGGGGTGTAATCTGTTAGCCTTGTGTTCTTTGTGCTGGTTTTACCGTGTTGATCCACGACTTTGCCACTCGGTACTTGACCCTGTGCAGTTGTTTGTGGATTGTTTTGTTCGAGTTTTGTTGTTGTTGCTGTAACCAGGTTTCTGTAATCAGATCCCCAAGGAAAATGAGTGTTCATTATTACCCAGTGCGTTTTGCCCATTGCCACAATAAACCGAGCCTAACCCCCACGCAGTGCGGGTCACCGTTGGGTTATTTGACCTCGGCACGCTGGTCAGTACGGGTCGGTGAAGGTGGGGAGGGTGAACACGGAAGCATAGCAAGTGTGGTACAACGGTGGATTGTGTTGCATTGGCCCACAGACGGTAGCCGTCTTTGGGAGCCTGGCACACGTGTGAGCGCACATCTAAGCGCTGTCCAGGCTCAAATCCCTGCTTGGCTTCTGAGATACTGATGAGATCGTACGTTTCCCACCCGGTCTGGTCATAGGCGAAAATTAATTGACGTCTTTTAAAAATGCGTCAAATGTCAATGCGATTCCCTGCTCAAACGAGCCACATTGAAGCAATGGTGCTCATCTCCTGTTTACAGCGCTGCAGATCCAGTGGTGGTAATTCCATAGGACAACCACTTTACTTCCCCACAAAGTGGTACCCATTTTTATCGACCCTGGATGGATGATTGATGGGCCAAGTCAACCGCCGACGCCCCCCTCTAACTCGGATTTGAAGTCACGACCTTGTGATTGCGAGCCGCTCGCCCGCCGCTCGCCCCACCTCCGAAGCCACCGGGCCACAATAACCAACTGGCAGCAGCGTCGGTCACTTTATAATTTTAGTTTTAGACACAGGGCGAGATGCGTTTGTCAAACGGATGTCAACTCGGGGGAAAAACATCGCCCGATTCCTCACTCCTCGTGCCGCTGACGAATGCCTCCCCATGTCACTTTCTCACAGCCAAGGGCGTTTTCATCATCAATTCCGGAATGACCGATTCATTCTGTTGCCATGTTCCGTTACATTAAATCCTTGTGCTGCTCGGCAGTGCCATTAGGCAATTTCATTAGCTGCCGCTGCAAAGTCGGTGGGCGGTGTCACAGCAGCCTGTGTCAGCATCAAGATGAATCTCCTATCGTCCTGTCCTGCGGCGTATTTAGGTCATTTTTTTGCACAGGTCTTGAGAAGCCGTTTCGCATAAGTACAGTGCCAAGGGTAAGGGTCTAAGAAAATGTAATTTGAAGGACTCTTGAGATTCGAGACCCACAGACTCACACAGAGACCCACAGCCTCAGACAGACGCATATATTCAAATAATTATTAGCATCGTAGTGGAGAATACAAAGAATAAAATAAATCATGCAGACAATACATCTTCCCATTTCCGTCTCTCCAAATTCAAAAACAAAGCTATTTTTGTACACATCCCATCAGCCGGACAGCCTTCCGGGAGTGCGCATACTGTCACGGATGTGTGAAGGAAACTTTGGTTATTTATTTAGTTATTTATATGTTGCACAACGATGATAAGATTTTTGTGAGTTGTGTATTGTTACATTTTGTGTTGAACTAGGACGCACATCGTAAAGAGAGGGTCACTGCCCGTAAGATGGGCAGTTCACCAGCATTGATCCAGGCAAGCCTGACTGAAAGTATGCGCTCGCAGAAGGCCAAGCGGCTGATGGTTTGTCTAAGAAATACTCGCAGATCAGAAGGGCTACGGAGAGATGCCTCTGGTGCAGGGCAGGAGGAGTAGGGGGAGACCGAGGCCGAGATGGGAGGATGCGGTGGAGCGAGAGGCGAGGGACATCCGAGTTGTGACGAGAGAAGAGGCGCAGAAAGAGAAGATCACCGTGGGAGAAAATGCGAGCAGCCGGACCACATGGGGATACGGGATTCTTGGCGTGGAATCGTGGAGAATAGGACCCCGGTCTCGTTAGAACCGTTGTGAATTGTGAAGCCATGTCAGTTTGCCCTTCCGTGGGAAACGTGAGGTCGTGCCAGTCGGTCAATTGCGAGGGGAGGGCTGCGTCCCCGAGTCCTTGAGCAGAGGGCATCGCTAAATCTGTGAACCCCACGGATTGTGAGCGCTGCCGGTCGAGAGCCCCTGCAAAGAGCTGGGAGAGTGGGCGGCGCTGTCTCAGCGGAAATCCCGGCCACCGCTTCATTCCAATCCTGTCCCGCACCTGAAGAAACTGACGCAAGCGGCAACTTCGCTAGCATAGACCCAGATCCCCCGTGTAACCCGCGCAGGCTGTCGGGGCAAGTGCACTTGGCGAAGTGGCACTTATTCAGGCCGGAACGGCGCGTGAGGGAGCGGTGTGGCCGGTTACCACGTCCGGCCGCCTTTGTATCCCAAGAAAGTCGGTCACGTGTCTGTCCCTCCACGTTAACATATTGATAAGGGTGTTCTTTTACACGTACCATCAGCCGCACGACCTTCTGGCAATGCATACTTTCACCAGCATTGGTTCGGTACAAACAAACTGGACCGGTTTTGACGCGTGGCGTCGCATCAGCAGTCGGGCTCGCTCGAACCAATGTCGTCCACCCAGCAGTTTTAACAAGGTACAACTAAGTTGATCGGCAGGTCGCAAATGTGGTGGGGTAAAGTATGGGTGCGCCCACATTTGACCAAATACCCTGAAGAGGGGCCTCATGGAGCGCCGTCTATATTTGAGACTCATCCGTCAGCGGTGGCCTGAGCGAGGACTTTTCAGGGTTGCGCCTCTGCCTGTTACAAACGCGTACAGGACTCATCGCCGTGCCTGCGCGTTCGCTCGCCGCAGCCGCTGCGTTTGGCGCGAGTCGTTTTGGCGGCTGCTCGGCTGTTGCCGCTTCCACCTCCTCCCCCCGGTGTTTGTTTCCTGCGATGACTTCACCCCCCAGCCGTGCGAAGCCTCCCGTGGGGTGGCCAGCTTGAACGGCGCAAGTGGCCTCCTCGAGGAAGGAAGCGAGCGAGCGAGGGCGCGATCGAGAGGGCCCGCTGATGTCCTGTCCCCTTTTGTGCGTTGCGTTTGCCGTCAGGGTGGGCGAGGGGCGTGCGTGTTGGAGCCTGGGCAATGCGTACGCGTCCCTGGGAAACCACCAGCAAGCGCTGTCCTTCGTCACAAAGCACCTGGCCATATCCAAGGAGGTACGCAGTGTGTCGTGACCCCTCGCGACCCCCTCGCGACCCCCTCGCGACCCCCTCGCGACCCCCTCGCGACCCCCTCGCGACCCCCTCGCGACCCCCTCGCGACCCCCTCGCGGCTCCTCATGGCCCCTTGTGGGTTCCGTGCGTACGGGGTTACCACTGCGCCGGTTGTCATGATACGATATCGGTTATCAAGTATACATGAAGATTATCGCAATGTCAGTAATGCCTTTATATTTTGCGTGTTTATTGTTTTGTGCGTGTGTTCACGCTGTGGTGTACGTCTAAATTATTCACCTGCACTTTTCACTACATAAGCCTGCCGCAAATCTTCTAATGATTGCAACTTTACATTCCAGGAAAGTATAATCATTACATGATATCTTATATCTACACAATTGGAAAGACGGTGGTGACTTTGGGACGCTTTTATCTAGCGGTGGATTGAGCGTGTTTGATGACGATGGCAAGTAGGGACACGGCCTGCGAACGCAGACGGACGAATAGAGAATAGGTGCAAGCAGAGTTTGGCGAGGAGTTAAACTCACGGGTGAGTGGAGTGAAGCGGAGGACGACGCGTTTGTCTCAATTTACGCGATTTGGGCGGAGGCGCGGTCCGGCCCGTTTAGCTCCCCGCAAAGTAATTGTGACGTTGCAGCGTCACGTTGCCTTGACACGCGAGGCTCGCGCACGCGCACGTTTCGGCTCGCTCCGTCCTTCCCTCCGTCCGAGCCCTCCGTCCCTCCGTCCATGCGTCTCTTCGTCCGTCTCTCCGTCCGACCCCTCTGTCCCTCCGTCCATGCGTCTCTTCGTCTGTCTCTCCGTTTGTCCGACCATCCGTCCGTCTGTCCCAGGACGTGGGGGAGCTACTCGGCCGAGCGTGCAGTGGCACCCGCCGCCCACCCTGCCACCCGCGGCGTGTGGACATACGGCGGTGCCTCGCGGCCCACGGCTTGTTTACAACGTGTCAAATGGCGGGATGTCATGAAGAAATAAATTATTGCGACGGTTGGGTAGCACACCTCACGGCATTGGGATCATATTGCGCCTTAATAATAATTGTTATTATATTATTTCGGCAACAAGTTCCTGGGTTTGATTCCCGACTCGGACGTGCTTCTGCGCGGAGTGTGTATGTTCCCCTGATCTACGTGAGCTTCCTCAGGGTTTTCTGGGTTCTTTCCATAGCGTAAAAAAAAAACTAACTTATCGGCCAAAATTACATCCCATTGCAAAACAATTACACAGCCATTTACTAATTTGGGATTGCACATAGCAACATCGCACCTGACTTGGAAAACGTCTTGAGTGGTGATGTTTACACACCGCACCAGGTACTCATTAGAGGCTGAGTCGACCTAGGGGAGGCCCAGGACCAGTTCAGATAGTCATCTCTGGTGTTGGTGACCATGAGCAGGAATCGAACTTGGGTCGCCGGGTTCGTAGCCCAGCGTGCTAACCGCGACACCTCCGCTAGACTATACACACGCAAGCAGAGTAAACTCTCATTACTTCCACCCGGCCGGGCTAATCACTTATTGACACCGAAGTTGAGGCCGGGCGTAGTGGGAAGAAGTGACGATCTGTCAAGCCGCCAAAGAGATGAATCGCACTCGCCGCTCAGCGGTCACCAGCGACGGCTCGGCCCGTGCACTGCGGGGGGCGACGCGCGTATTGGTCGTCGGGACTGCGCGGGGAGAATATCCCCCCCTACCCCCCCCCCCCCGGAGTGGCAGAGTGGTTGGAGGCAGCAGCTGGAAGGGGGGGTGGGGGAGGGGAGGGAGATTGGGAATGTCCGCACGCGCCGTGTTTTGGGGAAAAATAATGGGTGGCGGTAAAAATAAATAAATGTGGCGGCGTGGTGACACATGAAGAGGGGACGATGTGTTCCCCAACCCTGCCACGGACGGGAAAAAAAAAACCACAAGCATCACTCTGAAACATTCAAACCATGGCTAATTGCGCCGTTGTTGCCGTGTTCTTGATGCATCAAAGAGCCTTGCATTCTCAGAATGTACGGTGTGTGTGCGTGTGTGTGTGCTGCATGGCGTCGGTCGATAACGCTCATGGTAAACAAGCTCGCGTGCTGCACACGATTATGATTGTTGTCATTTTGTTGCCGAATGGGGAAAATGTTGCCCCTGTGGCTACAAGGCTCAGCGTTGGCCTGTGTAGTCCTCACGATCGTCGTGCTTCTCAGCAGCCAGCGCAGCATGGCTGGATTCTGTTTCACGAGTTTCGGAAGCACCTGCTTGTCCTGTACGTTGGAAGTGTTGTGTATCCTGTGCCCGAGTATGCGGGAGCATTGCATATAGGAGCCAGAGTGATACTCACAGTTTTGGAATTTAAGGCGATGTAAGTTTATGAGGCTATGACCAAATGGTCCAGAATGTACCCGATTGCGTCCGATCTCGAAAGCTAAGCAGGCTTTGAGTCTGGATAGTGGTTGGAAGTTCGATGAATATGTACGACAGGTTGTTATAGGCTGCGGGGCCACATAGTTGGCAGTGCAGCGCAATACATTGTTGTACCGTGTCTGATGCTTGCTGCATTCAACCATGACCAGTGCAGGCGTGGGGAGGCCTCGCATCCAGCAGTGAATAGAAAATAGCTGACGGTGGTGATGGTGAAGCAGCAGTGCAGATGACAGTGCCTCCAGCGATCCAGACATGGCTTTGCTCACAACTTGCTCATGCAGAGCTGCACAAATTCAATAATGTTCTGCTCTTAATTGGAACGGACAAAGTGCCCCGGGCTGTGAACCGGCTCGTGATTTCAAACACACGCACATACGCACCACGCGCACGCACAGACGCACGCACAACGCACGAATGCACAGACGCACGCATACAAAACGGACACGCACAAATGCACAAAGTCACACCAGCCACAGCCGTGGCACAGGACAGACGCCGGATTTACTCTGGAACGGAAAGTGGCGAGTCTGTCTGCTGCCGCTCGCGTTGTTCGGCGATGAGCGCCGGCGAACGTGAACCGTGACTCGCCATGTCGCGGTGCCACACCAATGCTGGGCGGACGGACCCCCAATCTGGTGAAGCTGGGTTCTATTGATTTTGGTTGAAATAACATTTGTTGTCATTAGTTTTCACATAAGTTATCCGGCAATCGAGGGGAAGACCTCAGGCCAGATGGTGGGATACGGTTAGGTCGGATCAGATCTTGGAGGTCGCTGTCTGTCAACTGTGCAGCAGCTGCCGGTTCTGGCGGAAGGTAGAAAGCGCTGGCGATCAGGGTCGATGGCATCACCGGCTGTGGCCGCGATGACGTCTCGATCCTGACTACGAGACTAGAAATCATCCATTCGGAACTCTGGCAGCGTGGCTCAACCCTTCGTGCTAGCGGACGGCCGGCGAACGACGTGACCTCTGGGCGTCTTTAAACTTGTCAACGTAGCTGCCGAGATCACGCTGGCGCTGGCCGGTGAGGTGGCGAGCCACCCATTCCCCGCCCCGCCACGCGGAGTGATGAGCGTCCCTGGTGCCGGCGCTGCGTGTGACGGGCAGGTGGGCGACTGTAACGGCGAGCTGACGGCGCGACTCAACCTCGCTGACCTGCAGTCGACGCTCGGCATGGCGCAGGCGTCCGAGCAGGCGGAGCGAGCGTCGCCCGATGACGACCACGACTCCGAGTCGGACTCTGAAGGTGAGCGGCGGAGTTTGCCTTGTGTGTGTGTATACACGCGGCCTCCCTGTGTCACTCTTATATCGCTACTACAACCTCAGGTTCTTGTACCCGTGAATCTCACTCGCTGATTTCTCCGGCCGTGTTGAGGGCTCGGTCTCTCATCCACACTTTGTTCAACCACCACCACACTGTGTTCAACACACTGAAGGTCACAACAACATGCTCACTCACTCGCCTACTAACCCACTCACTCACCGACGACTCACTCACCCACTCACTCGTAAACTTACCCACCCACTCATCAGACTACAGGTCACAACAACACGCTCACTCAGTTTAACACGTAGGCTTTCGCGACCAATGTTATTCATAATCAACGATTTTTGGGTTTAGATCGCGTTTATTTATAAATGTTCGTAACCCTCCACCACCCGACACGGCCAATCAGTAAAAATGTGTCACGTTGACAAAGACAAATAGTTCACTGCTTTAGCCCACCGGTGTGTTGAAGCAACAACATTTACAATTTGAGTACGACGTTCTGGCGAATTGCCCGATGATGCTGGTTGCAATTACCAGCGAAACGTCGTACTCAAATTGTAAATGTTGTTGCTTCAACACACCGGTGGGCTAAAGCAGTGAACTATTTGTCTTTGTCAACGTGACACATTTTTACTGATTGGCCGTGTCGGGTGGTGGAGGGTTACGACACATTTATAAATAAACGCGATCTAAACCCAAAAATTGTTGATTATGGACGCTCACTCACTCGCCTACTAACCCACTCACTCACCGACGACTCACTCACCCACTCACTCACTCACTCATAAACTTACCCACCCACCCACTCACCACACTACAGGTCACCTCACGTCTTCCCTCGCATTGCTCCACTTGGGAATTCCTTCCAATTTTTTTTTCCCCAAGCACGGGGACGCGCATTTTTAAGAAATGATTCTTGACGTCGATCAAACCCTGACACTGCTGCCATGGGGAGTTTCTGATGTAGACGAGACTGAATGACTAATTTGTCACCTGTCGCGAGCTCGGGCTCGTACCGTCTCAGAAGCTAAGCAGGTGTTGAGTATGCGTATTGCTTGAATGGGGGCGACCGCCGTACACAAACAGGTTGCTATAGGGCTTGCGGGGACACGTGGCGGGCAGCAGAGGGCAGAGCAACAACATCCATTGTTGTACTGCACTTCTCATGCACGCCAACGGCGATGCTCCCAGGCCTCCCCGACCGGCACTGACCGTTGGTACCCTGACATCTTGCATGGGCGTGGGGAGGCCATCACCTAGCAGTGGATTGGCAGATGTGCGTCCATGCGAGGGAGATGAAGCCCCGTCCGTATTCTTAGTCACAGCTCGGTTCAGGCTTGGCCCCGGCTCAAGTGAGCTTTGGTTCAAAGCTACACATCGCTTAAGCCAACTCCATAAACACGGTCCCAGCCACGCTGAGGATTTCCGGGGAGCTGAGTCTGAGCGTTAAGAGGCCGAGCCAGATTTCGAGCCATGACCACGAACACGCGCCCGAGGATCGTACGAGCGACGCTGCGGGCGATTGAGAGGTGAACGTCACGACGCTTGTTTTGGCAGGCGAAAAGACGAGGCCGAGGAGGCGATTGAGTATGGAGAACATGGAGCTCATGCACTTGACCCCGGGAAAGGTCGGCAAGGTACGGGGCGGTGACGCGAGCGGTGTCATTTTGAGAGTCACCAATTATCCCCTAAACGATATCAAGAAAATGTAATTCTCTCTGACGTGTGTTCGGCTTTCACCGCGTGTTATTCGGCGCGATGTCTGACGTTTCAATCCACGTGCCGGGAGCTTCTGCAGGGAATTATCTGAGCAGTTCTTTGCTCTTCCAGGGCAATTTAGTTCAACGCAGCTCTTAGAGGAGCTCCCGGAACGTGGAGCGAAACGGGGTCACCGATTAGGAGTCTGCTTGGAACGTTGTTTGGAGCCCAGGTCTTGCTCTACGCCATTTCCGATTGAAGCTTGAAATGTCTTGGCACTAAATTACGAAAACATGGAGCAGATTTAAGGTGGCTTTGGTACTAATATGTTACAGACATGGGCATATTTCAAATACAATTGCAAGCGAAGTTACCGTACAGCAGAATCGACAGCTAACTCTCAATTTGTGATTTGGATGGAAGATTAACCAGGAACATTTTTGAAGCCGTGGAATTCCAGGTGTTTGGGGGAATTAATAATCATTAAGAATTTACACAGACTTCATTCACTGACAGGGAGAGACAGAACATTCCAGAGGTGCGAGAAATCACCGAGAAGCGGGAAGGAAGCAAGAAACTTGCGCCAAATATTGCCCAAGCTCTGTGGTTCTATGTCTGGATGTTTGACCAACTCCATTGCCGAGTTGTTTATACACATGGGAGAAAACTGGAGTGTCCGGAGAAAACACACGGGTGTGAGGGGATAACACTCAATCTTCCGTACAAGAGGGAAATTAACCCACTTTCTGTACTGCCACCATACCCTGGCCAGCCAGGAGATGGCGACTTCGAGGCCCACGGGTGGGGAGGAGGGAGCTTCGCGAATTTGCCTGCCGGATCGCGGGCGCGTGCCCCGGAGAATGAATGCAATAACTCAACTCCTCTCTCGCGACCGCAGCCTCTGAACGGCGACGTGCGATCCCTGGCCATGGGTGGGGCGGTGGTGTCGGCGCAGCAGAATTCCGTCTCCACGTCGGGGGCGCCGGCGACGTCCAGGCCCTCTGGGAAGTCCCTTTTGCCGTCGCGGCTGCGCGGCAAGAAACAGCGCGATGGCGCGGAGATGGAGCAGCGAACGACGTCGGTGGATTCGCGTGACGTAGCGCTGCAGGTGTCCACCAGGGTGAGTGGTGCCCGGCCGGCAGACGGCTCGCCGCATAGGGCTCCGCACAGATGGCTCACCGCAGAGGGCTCACCGCAGAGGGTTCACCGCAAAGGGCTCCACACAGAGGGCTCACCGCAGAGGGTTCACCGCAAAGGGGTCACCACGGAGGGCTCACCGCAGAGGGTTCACCGCATTGGGGTCACCACGGAGATGTCACCGCAGAGGGTTCACCGCAAAGGGGTCACCACGGAGGGCACACCGCGGAGGGCTCACCGCAGAGAGTTCACCGCATTGGGGTCACCACAGAGGGCTCACCGCAGAGGGTTCACCGCAGAGGGGTCACCACGGAGGGCTCTCCGCAGAGGGGTTAACACGAAGGGCTCACGACAGGAGGGCGCACCGCATCGGGCTCATCGCATCGGGCTCATCGCAAAGGGCTCCACACAGAGGGCTCACCGCAGAGGGTTCACCACGGAGGGTTCACCGCATTGGGGTTACAACGGAGGGCTCCACACAGAGGGGTTAACACGGAGGGCTCACGACAGGAGGGTTCACCGCAGAGGGTTCACCACGGAGGGTTCACCGCAGAGGGGTCACCACGGAGGGCTCACGACAGGAGGGCTCACCGCAGCACCGTGGAGTTGTTGTGGGTCGGTGACGCGGCCCAGCAGCAGCACATTTGCCATTCGTTGCAGAGGTTCGCAGTTCGGTCCTGGCAGGCCACCCTGGTTAATACTACGGGCGTGTTAACTATAAAATAATACAGATCCGTCAGCTTCACAGTGGGCGTTGAAGATCCCCGTGATGCCATTTCGAAAACAGCGGAATCATTGTCTGCCGGCGACACAGTCCAAATTTGCCAAATGTGTAAAATTACACCACAAATTGCTCATTTGGGATCGCACATACATCAATAGCGCAGAAGCAGGTAATTTTTGTTCTATTTCACAAAACATTTTTTTTATTCCTATCGTGCTGCTGGCATAATTATTTTCCATTAAGAATGATGGAATGTGTTGCGGCTTACGCTTCCCTGAAGACTTGGCGTTCAACAGATGACTCGCTGAAAGAATCCTTTCTGCGGCGCCACACGCAAATCAAAAAAATAAGTTGGAGTCCATCCGTGACCCGATGGGCTTTGCAGACCAACATTACCCAGGTTTATGCGCTCAAACTTCGGACTGGCTTTGGCCTTGTGAACCTCAACAGGATTCGCCAGATGTTGTTGGCAAGGGAATTCCATATAAACTATGGGAGCCTGCTAATTGCAATTAGAACCATTGCACACCCCCCTTGTGCAGTGCTGTTTATACAACAAAAACGGGCGTAGGAGGTCATCCGAGCTCCACTTTTGACTGTATTTTTCCATTGTTTCCCCGATGTTACCCGATTGCGCTATCGGCACCGTGATGTCCGCGATTGGACATCACAGAGCCGCCTCTGAGATCCCGTCTTCACGTGACCTCTGCTCAGCACACGGTAGAGAGCAGCACTTCCCCACCCACTCTACGTATATTTAATTCTCAGAGTTGGAATATAGCCAAATTATAAATGTAGAACCACATTTAACGTGATGGGTTTTTTGCGTGCAGTCATTGGTGACTGGGCTTACACCATCAACTCGCTGATATACTTTCAGCACCCTCTACTTCAGGGTGCTTTATATCCAATCCGTGACTTACATTCAGGTCTCATCTCAACACATTTCAAAGCGCACCCCCAGTAGCAGTCGTCCCTGTGCGGCACAAGGCGACTCGGCACCTGGCATGCGAGTGGGCATGTGTGTGCTGTCTGTAGGGGGGCGATGATTGCTGGCTGCTGTGTGCAATCCCAAGAGGACCTGGTCTCATCACAACTCGGTCTATAGAAGTTTGGTCTGAGCTGGCCTTTTTATTATTACACTTAAATCTAGATTAGAAGTTTTTGTGACTGCAAGGATCCATACTCTTTGGTTCTTTCGGTAAAGTCACATAGGTGAAAATAAAAAAGTACAAAAATAAATAGTATTTATTTATAGCATATTAGTTTATTATTTTTATAGATATGAAAAAACTTTTATTTTATTTTAGTTAAGTCACCTACGTGACTTAACTCAAAGAACCGTATTATTACACTTGTTTATCCAGGAAGGCCTCACCGAGTCTCGCAGATATTTTTCAGGAGGGATCCCACCAATGTTTCGCAGAAGGGTGCAATCTTGCCGTGTATGATCTCAATTGGGTGATTTGCAGGTCATTTTAAGCGTCAGGATGTTGATATTTTTTGGCCAACACCGATTTACAACGTACGTTAACTTTAGCTGTGGGTGAAAACCGGAGGAGCCGGTGGAAAGCCACGCAGAACAGGGGAAGATAACCACCTCAAGACTTAATTTCAATTTAAAGCTTTCGTGACTGCAGGGATTCATCTTCTTGGTTCTTTCGGTAAAGTCACGTAGAAGGGACAAAATAAAATAATAAAAATAAAACATATTAAAATACAATTCTCACGACGTCCTCGGCTGCTTGCGTTGTGGCCGAAACGTCGTGAGAATTGTATTTTATTATGTTTTATTTTTATTATTTTATTATTCACCTCAAGACTCCACACAGAACAGGCACCCGAGCCGAGACTCCAAACCCTGGCCTCCTCTCGCTTTGAGGCGCGGGCGTCACGACTGCACCACCGCCACCCTGCCGCCCGCTTAGTGCGCGCGGTGTGTTTGCAAGTCAGGCGGGGCCGTGTGACCCGCAGGCGAGCCTTAGTTTGGCTCGGGTGTCACGAGCGATAATTTCCCCGTGTCGTACCGGCGGTTGAGTCCGTGTTCTGATTAGCCAAATTGGCACCGCATATTGATTGCGCCGGGATGCCAAAGATAAATGTGCGACCTCGCCAGGGTGCAAATGCAATTCTGGCCGCAGGGTATGTTGAAGGCTACCTGCCAACAATTTGCGTTTTTAATATATATAAAGTATAATTAAACTCGGCAAGTAGGCATACATAATGAAAGCTATAAAGCTGCTTACAAGTGAATACATTCGATTTGCAGATGAAAGGCCATTCTGATGGGTCGGCAGCCTACTTGCTGTACTATAAGAACATTTCCTGGAGGAATTCAATTAACTTTAAAAGATGTTTTTCACTGATGTCCCGTAGACAGGTGGGACTCTTGCAACTGATCGTTGCTCTGCTGCTTCCCAACAGTGCTCGCTCGTGTGGGCGAGTGTCGCTCCGTAACTTCACGTTGATTTATTTTGTCGCCATATTTCGCGTGAACGGGTGAGAGCTCCAAAAACCGGGATGGAGTCTCACTTGCAAGAGGTCACCTGGTTCACCAGAAAGACAAAAACAACAAAGATGTTTGCCACTTACTGGCTACTCTGTTTTAAATGCTTTAATGATGTACAGTCACACGAATCATATTCATTCTGACATTCACAATGCACGCATATAGTTGTTAAGGTGCATACACTCAGAGCATCAATGGGTTTATACGGGTCTCTTAGTGAGTCTATACGTTGCTGTGTGTGAGTCAATGCGTTAGAATGTGGATATGTATGACGTCTAAACGCGACCGCATCGCAAAGCGCCGTACGTAAGGCGTTAGCTCACGGATGGCTGCGGGCAGGGAATAAGTTACAGGTTGTGGGGGGGTAATGCCTTGATTTTAGAGTTAGGGGGAGCCAGCTGTACCAGGCACGGTGTCACTGTTAGGAGCCTTCTCACGCCCCGCCGTACTGCGGGCCTGGCCCCCCTGCCACATTTAAATCACCTCTAATTGGAGCTCACATAAAATTAACAGCAATCGCAATCTGTGTAAGGAGGCCTGGGGGCTTGCGAGCCACACGTCTCACTTGGTGTTGACTGGTTTTTTAATGATATGCTAATTGGATTATGCCAATTCCTTATACCCGGTTCAATGACCACCAATCCACAGTTTTAGTTTTAACCGTGCAATTCCGCGCGCCGCTTAGAATCGGCGCTTGTCTAATTTTAATTATGCATTGTGAGCAAATGACAAGTTACGGTTTTCGCGCCAGCAGGGAGCGGTTCGGTATAAACCAACCGGTGAATTAAATTCTGCATCTATTTATGCACCTGCCCACCCCCCCCCCCCCCCCCACTCCTAAGCAGGAGCGCTAAAATGGTACAACCTCTACGATAACACTGGAGGTGAAAAAGACTTTGACGCATTATCATAACAACACTCAAGATTCCGGGGGACTAATTATCACGTAGCATATTTCCCTAGTTGAAAACAAATATGTAAAAATACATCGCCGCCCGTTTATACCGGGCTGCGCCAAAGCCGCCGTGCGCAAAGAGAGAGATACAGGGGCTGGTCCGGCGAGTGATGTCGCGGGTTTAGAGCGGAGCCGTTGCCTTGAGGAAAGGGCACTTCTCGTGCGCCGAGGCGCGGTTTGCTTTCAGGTGCTACTTGAAAGAGCTCGATTTTTTTTTAGATATTCTTTTATCCGCCCTCGAATCGGACCGTTGCCCATTGGCGGCAGCGCACGACCCGTACCGCAGGAAGACGCTCGCTTGGCGTCCTCGAACGTGCGCGGGGATCCCTTTGTAGCGGCGCGGAGAGCAGAGCGGTGCAGGGTGGGAGCGGGGGTGGGGGGGGTCGGCGGGGGGTTGTCACGTAAAGCGCGGCGGAGGGCGATCGCGGACGAGGGAGGGAAGCGGTTGAAAGCGACGGCAGTGGCAGCGGCGGCGAGGAGCGTCGGACGAACGTGTGTGTCGTGTCCCGTGGGGTGCGACGGTCGGGATGAAACTTGCATGCGCTCGTCTGCGAGAGATCCCGATCGCTCGGCGAAGCAGAGGTCGACCTCTTTGTTAATTTGTTCGTGAGGACGCTTGCACACTTGTAACGACACGTTCCGTGCTGCTAATGGTTTAATAGCCAATCGCTTGCTGCTGCTGCTGCCTCGAATTCAGATTGTTCAGTGTTAATTGCGTCAACGCGATAACGAGCATCGCAAGATTTTAATTATAAATAGTTCGTCAGGGGTGATCTTATTGCTGTCCCCACCCGCTTGAAAGGTAAGTGGTTTTTAAGGATTTAAAATGTTTGCAACTCGATTTGTGCTCATGCATTAGAATGTTTGGGGCTGAGCATTGGCACAGTGGTTAGCACACTGCGCTCTGAACCTAACAACCCGAGTTAGATTTTCTGCCACCGTTAACATCGGTGATGGATGGCATCTGAACCAATCCTGGGTCCTGTTTTCACCAAGCCGCTCCGCCCGGCGTGATGAAGGTTGGTCAGACAATCGCCATGACCGACACGGCATGGGGAAGCCTCCTTCATCCAGTAGTGGATTGACAAAGGAATGTGATTTTTATAACGATCTTCTTGGGTTGTTAACGCGGCCGTGGCTGATTCGGCCATGCAGGCGCGAACTCGGCGAGGACACGGTGGATTTATTCCGCGGGTAAGCACGCGTCCACCGGGGTTGGGGGGAGGGCATTTTGGGCGTGTGCGTGCGTGCGAAAGGCAGGAACGCATGAGCGTGTCAAGCGAGCGTGCGAATGTGTAAGTGAGCGAGCGTGCGAGTGTGCAAAAATCTAAGTGAGTGAGCACGTGAGCAAGCGAGTGAGCGATCGAACGAGAGAACACGTGAGTACTCGAGCGAAGGAGCGAGTGTGTGAGTGGGAAAGAATCTTGAGTGAGTGAGGGGTGAAGTGAGTGGGTGAGCACGTGAGCAAGCGAGCGAGTGAGCGATCGAGCGAGAGAGTAGTGCGCGAGTACTGGAGCTCGCGAGCGAGTGAGGGAACGACCGTACCTGCTCGCCCGCCCCCAGGTGGACCCTGACCTCGTGGACGACGACGGGTTCTTCGACCTGCTCAGCCGCTTCCAGGGAAACCGCATGGATGACCAGCGCTGCTCGCTGGGGCCCGACTACAACGGCGGCGAGGGGGCCGGAGCTCGCGGGCCCTCCACACCACCACTGGCCGACCGGCGAGCCGGTGAGTGTGAGCTGTGTGTTGATCGGTGAGCCGGTGAGTGTGTGCTGTGTGTTGATGGGTGAGCCGGTGAGTGTGTGCTGTGTGTTGATCGGTGAGCCGGTGAGTGTGTGCTGTGTGTTGATGGGTGATTGTGAACTGCATGTTGATGGGTGAGCCGGTGAGTGTGTGCTATGTGTTGATGGGCGAGCCGGTGATTGTGAGCTGTGTGTGCTGTGTGTTGATGGGTGATTGTGAGCTGTGTGTTGATGGGTGAGCCGGTGATTGTGAGCTGTGTGTTGATGGGTGATTCTGAGCTGCGTGTTGATGGGTGAGCCGGTGATTGTGAGCTGTGTGTTGATGGGTGAGCCGGTGATTGTGAGCTGTGTGTGCTGTGTGTTGATGGGTGATTGTGAGCTGTGTGTTGATGGGTGAGCCGGTGAGTGTGAGCTGTGTGTTGATGGGTGAGCCGGTGAGTGTGAGCTGTGTGTTGATGGGTGAGCCGGTGAGTGTGTGCTGTGTGTTGATGGGTGAGCCGGTGAGTGTGTGCTGTGTGTTGATGGGTGAGCCGGTGAGTGTGTGCTGTGTGTTGATGGGGGAGCCGGTGAGTGTGTGCTGTGTGTTGATCGGTGAGCCGGTGAGTGTGTGCTGTGTGTTGATGGGTGAGCCGGTGAGTGTGAGCTGCGTGTTGATGGGTGAGCCGGTGAGTGTGTGCTGTGTGTTGATGGGTGAGCCGGTGAGTGTGTGCTGTGTGTTGATGGGTGAGCCGGTGAGTGTTTGCTATGTGTTGATCGGTGATTGTGAGCTGTGTGTTGATCGGTGAGCCGGTGAGTGTGAGCTGTGTGTTGATGGGTGATTGTGAGCTGTGTGTTGATGGGTGAGTGTGAGCTGCGTGTTGATGGGTGAGCCGGTGAGTGTGTGCTGTGTGTTGATGGGTGAGCCGGTGAGTGTGTGCTGTGTGTTGATGGGTGAGCCGGTGATTGTGTGCTGTGTGTTGATGGGTGAGCCGGTGAGTGTTTGCTATGTGTTGATCGGTGATTGTGTGCTGTGTGTTGATGGGTGAGCCGGTGAGTGTTTGCTATGTGTTGATCGGTGAGTGTGAGCTGCGTGTTGATGAGTGAGCCGGTGAGTGTGAGCTGTGTGTTGATGGGTGAGCCGGTGAGTGAGTTGTGTTTATTGGCGAGTGTGGGCTGTGTATTGATCGGTGAGCCGGTGATTGTGGGCCGTGTGTTGCCTGAGTGCTCGCATCACTGCTGGCGCAAGAGCCTCCTCTAGAAGGAGCTCGAGCGAACCCCACATCAGATATTTGTCCTACTACTCCGCCAGACACCTTGGAAGAGGAGGGAGTACCCCATGGTTTACCCCACCACCCACGACCTTCAGCCTGTGATCCCCCCATTTACATTGCTAGGTGGACAGAGGCGGGTGGGGATTTAAGAAACTTGCACCGTTGTTTCAGCTACCGCGCCAGTGAATGGAATCGAACCGGCAACCTCTGGATTGCAAGCCCAGTGTGAAAGCCATCACTCCACGGCAGCGTCCAGTATTACATTAACTATAAATAGGTCACCGTGTGTGATCGCATAGTTTATAGTTATTGTGGATCGTTACTTGGGTAACAATCGAGGGATCTGTCTGTCCGCCCATCCCTCCATCCGTCCCTCTGTCTGCCGCGGTGCCATCTACCGCCACCACCGCCGCCACCGTCACGCGACAGGCGCGCGTGCCCTCGTGGCGTCGCCGCAGACGGAGGAGTTCCTCGATCTCCTCGCAGTGCTCCCAGAGCCGCCGCATCGACGACCAGCGCGCCAGCGTATCCGACCTGCCGGGCCTGCGCCTCACGCCCAACAACAGCGGCGCTGTCTCGGGGCGCCTTGCCGCCGCCGCGCCTGCCGCCCCGCGCGGCGTGGACGGCGCTGCCGCCGCGGCCGCGGCCGCCGCTAGGGCCGGGGCTCTGGCCGCCGCCGCCGCCATATCTCACGAGCACGAGGACGAGGACTTCTTCGACATGCTCGTGCGCTGCCAGGTGGGGCTGCTGGCGCCGTGGTCGCAGCGCCGTCTGTCCGTGCGGCCGCGCGCGATTCAAACGATTTGCACGTTTTGGCGTGCACGCCGGTCGCGTAGAGCGAGGTTATCAGTCCAGGAAGGTGCTGCTGTGTTTCACCGACCGTGGTAATTTCAGGGGCGATGGTGCTGTGTTTTCTCATTCAGTAATTTGTGGGAAATCTTCCAAATTTGGACCACGATGCCGGCACACGATGGCCTACTTTTTTTCGATTAATGCCACGGGATTTTTTATTATATCAATACACCCGGCAGCATTAACCAGGGCAGCCGCGGGGGGGCTCGAACCGGTAACCTCCGGAGCGAGCGGCGAACGCCTTCCCGCTCGGCGAGTGTCGTTGTTCCGTCGGCGCGACGCAGCTGATGGGCCGGGACCCAGCTCTCTCTTGTCGCCAGAGGTCGCAACCGGGTACCCGATACCCGTACCCTACCCGATACCCGGCTACCCGTACCTGGCCGGGTACGGGTATGGGTAGCCGTTTGCGACCCTGGTGCGGCCGGGTACAGGTACGGGTAGGCCGTGAGTCACTGGTGAGTAACCGTTTGTCACTCATTTCGGGTAGGGTACGGGTACCCATTTGCGACCCTGGTGCGGCCGGGTACGGGTAAGGAATCAAAACCCGTTTGCGACCTCTGCTTGTCGCCCCGCAGAGCTCGCGCATGGACGACCAGCGGTGCGTGGCGCCGGCACCGATGCCGCGCGGCCCCACGGTCCCGGACGAGGACTTCATCAGCCTCATCCAGAGGGTGCAGGCGCGACGCCTCGACGAGCAGAGGGTGGCGCCGCCGCCAGATCTCCGCGAGTAGCGGGGACCACGGCAAGACGGGGCGCCGTGCAGAAAACGAAACGCGCGCGATTTTCAGAACGTCGGCGCTGCCGTCGACTGCACTTCTTTACTCTTGAACATTTGGATATTCCCGTGGCGACGGAAAGCGCGTTATTCTACGGGCGTCGCTGATTTGTTTTTTACTCGCACACGGAACGCGCACCACGTCCTGACGCATCAACGCATTCCCCGATTCTCCCGCCTTGTGCGGTCCAGCCCTGCAATTAGGTGTGAAGTTGCCACGTGGTGTTTTTAAAATAATATTTTCAGGTCATCTAATCTTCGTTGACAGGTAATCGGGAAAGATGAACGGTAAAGGTGCAGCCCGTGCAATGTGTTTCTCTCGCCACTGCTGGCAGAAGGGCCTCCGCTAAGAGGGATCTGTAGAGATCACCACTCAAGGGTATTTGGCCTGCTCTTCCACACAATGGCCAGACATTTTGGAACCGTTGGGAGGAGCCGTACTCTACCCCACCTACGTGACCTGTCAATCGATAGCTGCCGTTCGTGGTTAAAATGTTCTTTTTAAGCTAACACATTTTTAGCACGTGTTTTTTTCACCTCACCATTAACCTCTTAAAGGGAGAGGGGGGGGGTGTAGGTTCTTGTGAGCGAGCAGCGTGTCTGTCCGCTGAGTCGATGCGCTTGAAGCTGGTCAGGTGGCCGGAGAGGTGAATTGGAGAAGCCGCACATACGCTGGACCATGACAGTCATTCCCTCCGCCAAGTGAATTCCTGTGCCGAGCTCAATGAGGGGGGAGATGCGTGCGTGTTACTGATGTGCGACGATTCATGCCAGTCCCAGAAATTGCCCCGAGCAACGCGGATGCTTCTGCTGCACTTGTGAGCGTTCAGTCCCTCTTGACTGGCACGTTTGAGTGATGCTGCATAGCGAAATCCACCTCTTAAGCAGAAGAGAGAGAGATATTAATGAGCCATCCTTGCGCATTATTGTCGACCGGAAGCCAGTCGGCATATTGTTGAATGCCAATTTTCGGTATAGATTTTCTGTCCCACAAACACCCTCAGAATAGTTGTTTTGTAAAACTTCAGAACTGCGATGTGGATTAGGCAAACCACTGTACGCTTGGTGGAGACCTGTGCAGGATGGGGTGGGGCCATTTACAGAGAGAGACAGGCATTGCTGTGTTCTCCACGAGTGCGGTGCCCCATTGGGAAGACCTAAGATCAGGTCGTGGGCAATACTGCCCAGGCGGATCTTGGAGGTCATCTCTGCAGCAGCTTGTGGGACCTGGCAGAGGGGAGAGAGCGAGGAGGAGGAGGAGGTGCGGTGGTGGTGGTGGGGAGAAGTGGTGTAGCGGTTAACGCGCTGTGCTACGAACCCGGCGACCCGAGTTCGATTCCCGCTCACGGCGAACACCAGTGACGATTAAACTGGTCATGGATCACCCCTAGGTCAAATGAGGACCTGGTGAGCTGTGTCAACATCGCCACTGGGGAGACAAAGGCGGCCAGGCGTGATGTTGGCCACCCCACCCCCTCGTGTGCCGTGCCGGCCTTGATAGGTGCTCGCCAACCGCACTTGCCCCAACAGTCTGTTAAGGCTATGGGGGGGGGGATCTTTGTCTTTGGTAGCAGCCGCTCCGAGCACGATGACTTTTCGAACGATAATTATTCTAGATCGGCTTGGCGTGCTTGCATTTAGTTTAAGTTCCGCTCGGTGTACGACAAGCTGAGCGAAGTTTTTATTTTATTTCGGAATTTCTTAAGGAAAAAAAATGCAAAACAAGTTGATGTGAAAGGATGGTGGGGGGGGGGGGCACTTTTAATGGTAATTGTGGACTGTTTGGGCCTTGATGGACCCACGATGCACTACTGAATAAGATTATCTCCCCACAGGTGCTGCGTATTTGATGACCGCACCGTTATTTTTGTACGGACGTGTATTTTTTTTTATTAATTTCAAACGACGTGACAAATATTTTAGTTGTCGTAGTTTCTCATTTCTGCCCGTGCGTACGATTCCCCTGCTGTGAACTTTACCGTAACTTGTAGACTCGCGTATTTAGCCGTGTAAATAGCATTTTTAAAACGTCAGAACTGCTTCGCGTTTCTGTATTTCTCGTACAGAATCGGGTCTGTTTCGTTTGTAGAATTCTAGTTTGGTCGGAGTTAACGTGAATGTTTTTTTGTTTTTCTCCACGCGCGTTACTTTCTAAAAAAAAATATACTGCCGCGGTCTTCTCGTTCTGCCGCCTTCACGGTACCGTTAGATGACTAAAGAAAGCATTTCTGTTTTGACATTTCAGATTGTTTTGCATTAAAGAAAACAAAAACGCTAACAAAAAAACGCGCGACTCCTGTATGATAAAAAATAAGAAGAGATTTTACACTTTCTAGCAATAAAACCGGTGTTAATATGTTCAAACACCAAATATAAACCTTTTGCAAGGATTCAAATCTGCATCGACCACACACTACTTGTGGTGAACATGCAAACAAACATGCTCTGCTAAGTCCCCTGCTCTGTCAATCACGAATCATTGCCCGTTGTCAATCTACTGCTGGATGGGGTCCCGGGGTTGGGAAGGCCGCCTCCCCACGCTGTGTACAAGCCACGGGCGGTGGGGGTTGTTTGACCATACTTCACCACGCGGGTCGGCAGGGTGGAACTGAGGCTCGGAACGATCCGGAACGACCGCGGCGGGAGTGAAGATCAGAACCCACGATACTACGTCGTTCCAATTCCTGTCAACCCATTCGGTTTACATCGTATTCTTGTCAAGGGAAATGTATTTTCCAGGTCCATACGGCGGACAGCCAAACGGCGCTTTCTCGGATGAGCGTTGAGATTTATAAGGGACACGGGGTGACCAATCAGAGGTCTGAATTGGTCTGTAATAAGGTAGGGCACTGGTAAGGGGTTGCCAGGTATGTTATACACTACACTACTATACACTGCACTATACACTACACGACTATACACTACACTGCTGTACCATAGATGTCAACCCATATGGTTTACCCCGTATTCTTGTACAGGGAAATTGAGTTTTCAGGTCCATATGGCGTGCAACCGTTTCAATATGGGCAACATATATAAAAAATGTGTCTTATTTGTTTGTGTTTTTCCCTTGTGATGGGACTTTGCAGGATGAACGTTGATATTTATACGGGCACGGGGTGACCAGTAATGTCTGAATTGGTCTAGTAATGTAGCGCACTGATAAGGTTTTGACAGGTAATGTAGTAGTGTATAGTGTAGCGTAGAGTAGGACAAGAGCTGGTGTGGGGGGGGGGGCAGGGAGTTATCCCTTCGTGACTTTCATTCCCCCGTGATTCATTCCCCCGTGATTCATTCCCCCGTGATTCATTCCCCTTCTCCAGCCCTGCTGCTGCATGCTCTTTGGTGGAGGTGGAGACCCAGGAGCGAGTTGCTAGTGTGCGGACTTCTTTCGCGCCGTACGTAGCCAACCCGAGGTTGCGTTCGGAACATCGCACGGTCACCCGATTGTTAGCCGTGTCCGGGAAATTAAACTTAGACAACGGTCGAATGTAAATGCTGTCAATCGGTGCGTCAGGAGGGTCCTGCCGTGGAGTTGCTGGCCACGTGGAAGAGAACCCAGGGTTAAAACCGGTTCAAGAGTGAAGCAAACTCCTACCCGAGCCGTACGAGTCGGCCACCACCGTGCTCTTGGTTCTTTCGGTAAAGTCACGTAGAAGGGAAATAATAAAAGAATAAAAATGAACGTGAGAATTTTTCTTGCTTTATTTTTATTATTTCCCTTCTACGTGACTTTACCGAAAGAACCAAGAATAGGAATATCTGCAGTCACGAAAGCTTTAAACGCATTCGTGCGGAGGGAGCTGGTAGGAACGTTGGGTTGCTCGGTCAATGGCCTGCAGGGTCAACGGCGGCGTGGTGTATTCCGCAAATATGCCCGACTGTGAGGGCGGGCACAAGCCGGCGTGAGTAGGTTAAACGTTGAGTTTTATAAGGGCACCACGGGGTGACCAGCCCCTCCCCACCCAGCCCCACACCCCCCACCCAGCCCCTCCCCACCCAGCCCCTCCCCTCCCACCCCCCACCCAGCCCCACCCTTTCAACCCAGCCCCTCCCCACCCCTCCCCACCCAGCCCCTCCCCACTCAGCCCCTCCCTACCCTCCACTCAGCCCCCCTCCCCCCACCCAGCCCCTCCCCACCCAGCCCCTCTCCACCCTCCCACCCCCCACCCAGCCCCACCTAGCCCCCACCCAGCCCCTCCCTACGCACCCAGCCCCTCCCTTCCCACCCAGCCCCTCCCCACACAGCCCCTCCCCACCCAGCCCCTCCCTGCACGACGGACACACTAATCCCCCGTGGGCTGGTGTAACCAGGAGGTTCCCACCAGCGATGTGAATGTCCCCACCCCGTGCTGTGACTGCCACCTGCAGGAGCCTCCACTGCCCCGCGAGGTCGTCGCGAGTGGCCGCTCGCTGTTGTCGAGACGCGGTCGAGTGCCGGTCCCGGTGAAGGAGGAGGGAGACCCGCTTCATTATTCACACGAATCATGATCTATTATCCACTGCTGGGCGAGGGCTTTTGAAGCCGCGGTCATACAACTCCGATACATCCCACGCAATAGTTTCAAGTTTAATTTAAAGTTCATTTATTAGGTAGAGCCCTGTGAGCCATTCGGCTCTTGAATCGGGTGCAACCGCAACAAACAAAAACATGAACAAGAAAACGTCTTAAAGTGACTAAGTGCAAACAGAAAATCCAAGAAAAGACAGCAAAATATTGCAGAAAAATCACCGTACACCAACACTGTGCAAATATCCCAGTGGGATGCAAGTCAAACAACAACAACCACAAGACAACTTAGATTAAGGCCATCAGTCTAACTCTGTACTACAATAAACACACATGGCCAAACCGAAATTTACCGCGAGTTGATTTGGTATAAAACGAGTTGCAACCAATTAGCGGCCACTTCCATCCTTAATATTGACACCACGGCGATGGTGGACAGGCGTGATGGATCACTTCTCATGATCGTGAAAGGTCGATCGCAGCAACTGCTTCTGGTGACGGGGAAATGTCTTCATCCAGCAGTGGATTGATCATGGCGAGCAAGAATTGATGGCGGCGAAGCGTTCCCACGTAAGATGGCCGCCCACTAACCGAGTTAAGTGACGCCCCCCCCCCCCCCCACGTAAGATGGCCGCCTGTTAACCGAGTGTAACGCTCCCCACGTAAGATGGCCGTCTGTTAACCGAGTGTAACGCTCCCCACGTAAGATGGCCGCCTGTTAACCGAGTGTAACGCCCCCCACGTAAGATGGCCGCCTGTTAACCGAGTGTAACGCTCCCCACGTAAGATGGCCGCCTGTTAACCGAGTGTAACGCTCCCCACGTAAGATGGCCGCCTGTTAACCGAGTGTAACGCCCCCCACGTAAGATGGCCGCCTGTTAACCAAGTGCAACGCTCCCCACGTAAGATGGCCGCCTGTTAACCGATTGTAACGCTCCCCACGTAAGATGGCCACTTGTTAACCGAGTGTAACGCCCTCACGTAAGATGGCCGCCTGTTCACCGAATATGACCTCCCACATAAGATGACCGCCTGTTAACCAAGTTTAAGTGACGCCCCCCCACGTAAGATGGCCGCCCGCTCGCCGCGTTTTAGTCACGCGCTGTGACGTCACCCCCCCTCTCCTCCCCCCCACCCTCAACTAGGCCGGGCAATGATGGCGGCGCGCTGTGGGATCGCGGGAGGTCGCGTGGGCTCGTGGTGGAGAAACAGGAGGTACCCCACCGTCTCCTCCTCCTCTCTCTCACCTCTCTCCTCCTCTCTCTCTGTCACCTCCTCTCACGTCTCTCTCCCCTCTCAACAACATCGCGAGCTCGGCTCAGGAGGCCGACGGTTAAACGCCCGCACCATCGGCAGGAGAGGCACGGCACGTGTGTCGTGAGGGGGTGGGGTGGGGGGTCACCTGCAGTGGCGGGTGGCGCAAAGGCGAGACCCGTCACGTGAACTGCTCCTGGCGGGCCTCCGCCTAGGTCGACTCAGCCTCAGATGAACACTGTAGTGTTACTGTACCTGGTGCGGTGTGCGGTATAACATCGACACGCGGGGAGACAAAGGCGGCCGTGCGTGGGGCTGGCCACCCCACCGCTCCCCGTTTGCTCTTTTGGCCTTAAGAGGCGGTCCTGTTTGGGGCTCTAGGGGAGAGCTTTGCTCCTGTACTGCAACTGCGTCCTCGCCCCGGGTAAACAAGTCTGTTATTTGCATTACCGGCTGAGAAAAACCGGTTTGGCTCGCATTAATATAAATGTCTAGATTTTAAAATAAGCACGTTTTAACGTTTGTACCTGCCGACTATCATCACACCATGGCAACGACGATTTTAAAATCCTCATGCTGCCTTGCATCTGTGTGTGTGTGTGGTGGGGTGAAGTGTGGGTACCTCTTCATAGCTGTCAACACATACACGGTTCACCCCGTATTATTGTTGTGCAGGGAAATCCAGCAAGACAATGTTTTGTCTTATTTGTTTGTGTTTCTCGCTTGTGATGGCACTTTGTGGGATGAACGTTGAGATTTGTAGGGCACTGATAAGGGTTGATATGTATGTAGCAGTGTGTATTGTATCATGTAGTGTATAATGAAGTGTATAGTGTAGTGTATAGCAAGGCCGTAATTATAATATATTCAAATATGCTCAAAATATCCCTCCCCCATATATTGCTATAAAATAGATTTCTATTAATATTCTTAGGTTTTTTCGGTAAAGTCAGGTAGGTAAAAAATTAAAATTAATAAAAGTAAAATAAAATAAAAATCACGACGTTTCGGAGGCAACACAAGCTTCCGTCTTCAAAAAAATAGATTTCTGTTTATATGAGTGTGGTTATGGTTGCACTTTATTAATCCATAATCACCACCATTACACACAATGAAACAAGAAAAGGTAAAAAAGAAAAAATCAGACCAATGTAGTACAATACACTATTAGACATTATTGTTAAAAATAAATAAAAGTCTATCCCATGTGTTGGTGAATTTTTTTTATATTTTAGGCAGGAATTAAATTTTCAAATTTAGATTTCTTTTGGGGGGGGGGACCCCCAGACCCCCTGGAAGATTTGGTCCCCCCCAATGTTGACTCCATGGCTACGGCCTTGCTGTATAGGATGAACGAATTTATAAGGACACGGGAGTTACCAATAACTTCTGAATTGGTCTGTAATAAGATAGACACTTATATATAAGCGGTTGACAGGGATGCCTCTCCATCCTAGAAAACCCGCTGGGAACGTTTACCGCTTAACAACCACGGCTCTAACACAGTGGTTTTGGTGAACGCATTTAACGTTTTGAGGAGCGGTACCGCAGTGTTCAGCGCACTGTTGTGTATTTTTTTTTACCGTGACGCTGTGAGAGATGGCGAGGGCCTGGGAAAGCCTTCATCCAGCAGCGGATAGAACATAGATGCAGTACGAGCGATAGTCGATTGCGGCAAGAGCCGTCCCTAGGGTACCACGAGTCGGGGCGATCGCCCCGGGCCCCGCGCTTTGGGGGGTGGGCAGGGGGACCCGCGCGCTTCGACACAACGATGTCAGATGTCATACTTCCGGTTTAGTTTGAAGGCGTCGAAGACCCCCACAAGGTGGGATTTGCCCCGGGCCCTCCAAGTCCCCCCTATGGGTGGCCCTGATTACGGCCTCCGAGTTCGATTCGGTGGCGATTTAATCTCAACTCTTCCCGGGCCTCTGCCAGGTGGCCCCGTGCAGTGTGTAAACATCAGCGATGAGGATACAAAGGTGGTTGCTGACCGTGCTACGTTCCTGGTGCGCCGCGCCGGCTTTCGTAGGCGATTGCTGACACCGCTTGCCCCAAGGATGCAGAGCCACTGTGAGATGCACGCCAGATTGTTTTATTTTAAGAGACGTTTCCGATATAACCGGGTTTCGGCGTGGGGACACTGAGGTGGGCGCGCTTTTGCCCAGTCTGCCTGCATTACAGCTCCGTTGTTGCATTAATTCCTCCAAATTATCAGGCCGCGAGTTCAAATGCTTCGCGAGGATTAAGTTAACGTCGTCATTGTCTTCGTTTCACTTGTGGAAAGGTTATAATGGTGGTTGTTCTATGGATGGGAGCGTTCTCCACCATGTGAATATGGAACATCCACCACTGACTCATTTCTGCTGAAAAAGCTGAGCACGTGCCAAGCCTGAACCGTTGTAAAACGACATCAGCCGGGTCACCCTGGGAGTGGCTTGTAGGGGGAGGTTTCCCTCCTTCAGAGCATTTTTAAGGGGCTCAAGTCGATTACGTCATCCGTCACGTGGCTCAGCCGTGGAGCGAGCGGCACGCAATCGGAAGCTTGCGAGTTCGAATCCTGATTGGGGTTAGCTCAGCCCACCATCCCTCCTGGGTCGATAAAGTGAGTACCGCCTTGTGGGAGAAGTCAACGGTGGTCGTCCCATGGATAGACTCGCCCCCACCATTCAGAATTTCCACCACTTGCTCGGCGTTGTAAACAGGAGATGAGCATCGCCTCAATGCTCTCTTGAGTTGGAGATCACTTGGAATTTGTTTATTCCGACAAGTTTTAGCCGATTAACTGAACTCCCCCCAGCCGTACTCAGAGTGAATGTTTCGACGTTAAACGTCTTGCCCCTGTGACCGCGTCCCCATTTCCAGGTACGGCCTCGGCTTCAGGCGCAGCTTCTGCGAGGGCAGCGGCCACTCCGGGGCGCCCCTCACGCAGCCGCTGCCAGGGCTGCCCCTCCCCGTGTATGCCCAGGTGACGGGCAACGAGACGTACGACACACACGTCACCACGTTGGGCAACGGACTCAGGGTCGCGTCGCAGCACAAGTTCGGCAAGTTCTGCACAGTGGGAGGTGAGAGAGCCGTGCATTCAAGCGTCCGCGGAATACCAGGGTGAATTTCGGCGTGCGGTGACCCAGTTTATATCCGTTTTCCTTGACGCAAACCGGTAGTATCAAGCGTGGGAGCATGGGAGTAAGACAAAGATCCCCCGTATAGCCTTGTAGACTTTTGGGGGCAAGTGCTGTTAGCGAGCACCTATGAAGGCCGGCACGGCACACGAGGGGGTGGGTGGCCAGCACCACGCCCGGCCGCCTCTACCTCCCGTAAACCAGCGATGTTTACACATCGCACCAGGTAGTCATTTGAGGCTGAGTCGACCTAGGGGAGGCCCAGGACTGGTTCAGATTTATTCGTCACTGGTGTTGGCCATGAGCGAGAATCGAACTCGGGTCACCGGGTTCGTAGGGCAGTGCCCTGACCGCTGCGCCCAATGGCAGGGCCAAGATTTTCAGGGTGGGGGGGGGCAACCCCTCCAGCAATGAAACATGATAGGAGTTGTTAGTAAGTAAGGAGTTGTCCCTTGGCGCAGCCATCGATCGAGGGTCGAATTCGAACTGTGTGTGATCGGCATCGCGCTCGCTGAAGGTGAATGCCTTCAGGGAAGTCGTGTACTGTATACGCAACTGCGCACAAGTCTGCGAGTCACTTAGAACTGCTTTACCGTTACTTATTGCCAATTATGGACTCGGACTATTGTCCTGTCATCTCATAGAGTCCCTGGCACGTAATCATATGCTACACAGTGGCAGTGGGGGTCGCAAAATGCCGATTTATTACTAATAAACCCCAATTATCCAATCAAAATTAGGGATTTCGATCAGATAATTGGGGGGGCACTTGCCACCCCACCCCCCACTGGCTCCGCTACACCCAAAATTGTGTACACACGTGTACATGTTGAACCCTTTCGTCAATCCACTGCTGGATGACGGTCACCTCTCGTCCGTGTGAGCGGTGGGGGTTATTTGACCATATTCTGCATGGGTTTGTGACCTCGCTGCTCTGCCCACTGCTGCCAAATAGCATAACCTCGCAAGCAGCAGCTGATAACAGCTGTTTTTTTGTTTTATGCCACCCCCCCATCCCAGTACTAGCCAGGCTAGAACCTGCTTGGCTTCCGAGTGTGATGGTGTTGGACTTGCTCCGGGTGATTTGTTCTTTAGCAGGATTGTCGTCATCTGAACCACCGTGACATCATTGTCCCACCAGCAGGGACGAGCGCTTGTATTTGTTGTGCTCAACTTCCAGTGATCTTCCATTTTCTTTTGTGCTGCAGTTTTGGTGAATTCCGGATCGCGACACGAAGTGAAATATCCTAGCGGAATCTCCCACTTCTTGGAAAAGCTTGCGTTCTCTGTAAGTTCATCACGTTGGTGCGCGGGTGTGCCGCTGGTTTCCGTTCACGCCGGGAGTGTTGGCGCGGTGATTAGCGCCTTACTGTGTTACGAACGCAGCCACGGGGTTGCATTCGCAGCCACGGTTAACAACAGTGGTGGGTGACACCTGAAGCTGTCCTGGCTTTCTCTTAGATTGACTCAACATTAAATGATTACCCACTGTATTATGTAAACGACAGCACTGCCAAAACAAAAGGCGGCCGGGCGTGGCGCTGGCAACACCACCCCCACTGTGAGCCATGCCAGTCTTCATAGCTAGAGAACTTGCCCCGTTGGTCTCCATTGAAGACTAAATGTGTGACAGTCGGCTGCTTTGTCTTTGCACGCGAGCTAATTAATTTCAGGGAATGGCGGAGAGAATTGATGGACAATTGCAATCCCTGCGTTTCCCCCGTTTGGCAGTCCACAGCCCGGTATGGGAGCCGCGATGAAATCCTTCACATGCTGGAAAAGCACGGCGGCATCTGTGACTGCCAGACCTCCAGGTGTGTACGACCCCCGCCCCCCTCTCAAATACTACACCCCATTGTCATCGCAAACGCATAAGCATTTTGAATAACCGCGTGTATCCTATTCCATTTGCTTCACGCTCGAGATTGTCCCCCCCCCCCCTTGCCGTGTTTCCTGGTTGCCGGTACGCTGGGCAGGCCGTGATCCACTGGGGACATTTTAGAGCAATGGTTGCCGGTAACCATCAATGGTTTGCCACAGCAATCCCCACCGTAAAAATCCCGTTGCCCAAAATCGCAACAAATCTGAACGCAGCTCCCTCCGTGGACGCATGGCTGTTGGTTGGTTTCGTGCAGAAAGGCTGTGGCTTAAACGTGAGATGTTGCAGCAAATGATTTCTGTGATCTCCACCTGCCGCTGTCTGAGCCGATTTGAGCCTCATGAATGTCACGAATAACTTGGGGTGAGGCTGCTCCGCCCACTTGTTGTCCGAGACAACAGTGGTGCTCTGTTACAGACTGAGACAGCATTGCCCCTGCGTTCGCGTCGATTGAGACAACATTGTTGTCTGCGCTCGCCGTTCCCAGGGACACGACGATGTACGCCGTGTCGGTGGACTCGAGCGGACTGGAGACGGTCGTGAGCCTCCTGTCGGATGTCATCCTGCAGCCGCGATTCACAGGTTTGTCCTCGCGCGCGCTCATAGCACGCTACGCCCGGCTGGGTCTCCTCTCTCTCCGTCTCTCCCCTGGTGCTGTGTCCAGCCGCCTCCCCGCACCACAGAAACATCATTCCCCCACCCCTTGCTTTCTTCTTACGCGTTGCCCGGCCTTGAGGAGGCCGGGTGGCTCAGTGGTCAGAGCCTCTGGGTTTGAATCCCGTGATTAAACTGGGGTCTCGAGTGCAGTGAGTTGATGGTGTCAAACCCGTTACCAGTGACTTACATGGAGAATCGGTCTCGCAAAGAGACATCCAGACTTAGAGAGACACCCACAGACTCGTGCAGACTGACTTGTGATTAAACTGGGCTTTAAAGTGATGGTCTCAGCTGGGTTTACCAATGACTGCACAACAAACCCTATAACGTTATATTTGGTTCTGCACTTTAGATAAATTAAGTGGCTTTGATGCACTGCTGGTGAAATGTATCCAAGAACAACGGACGGTGGAGAGCGTCTCGTAATCCGTGCGTGATTTTTCCGTGACGGTGTCTGCGTGTCGGCTGTGCGCGTGGCCTCCAGACGAGGAGTTGGAGATGACGAAGACGACGATCGGCTTCGAGCTGGAGGACCTGGCCTTGCGGCCGGACCCGGAGCCGCTCCTCACGGAGATGATCCACGCGGTTCGTGTCTCACAGGCATCGTCGGCATTGTTTGGCACCGTGATCCAATCTCGCCATCGCCACACACTGTCAACGCGATGTTTACGTACCCGCTGTCTCTTGTCCACGCATCACAAACGCACACCAACACACGGGCACGCATTCACCGTTGGCCACAAAGTTTGTGGTGATGTCACCGCAGTGCTTGTGCCAGGCTAGGTGCACAAAAAAGTACGGAAGGCTCGCTGCTGGCAGGAGCTCACAGGAAAGATCCAGGTGTTTTGAGTTGACTGAGATGACTGGCCAATGCACCACCTGTGCCAACTTGCTGCACTTTAGCCGCCCGGCGCTCTGCTTGTTGTGAGCGTCGCTCCTCCACCCTCCATTGTTGTTGGTGGTCGACTGCCTCCCGACTGCCCGGGAGCATCCTTCACGAGCCTCCTCGACAGAGGGCCGATTCTGTGACCATCCCCCCACCCCCGCTGTGTATCATCCGTGTGCGTGCAACGACCGTTGACGCGCTGCCGCACATGCCCTCTCTTCTGCGCTGGCGCAGGCGGCGTTTCGCGAGAACACGGTGGGGCTCGCCCGGTACAGCCCCGCCGAGAGCCTGCCCCTCATCGACCGCCCCATGCTGCACGACTTCCTGCGCAGCCACTACTCGCCCGATCGCATGGTGCTGGCCGGCGTGGGCGTCGACCACGGCACGCTGGTCCAGTACGCTGAGCGCCACCTGCAGGGTACGGCCGAGGACGCGGGGTGGCGCCGGTCGGGGGAGGGGGGGGGGGTTTCGCTCGGGAGCGTCTCGCATCTCGTCTGTTCCGGTGCCCCACTGCCGTCTGGTCGAGGGGGGACCCGCAGTGGCAGCTGTCCCTGTGTGGCGCACGGTGTACGCGGCACCGGCCTGACTCCGCGTGCGCGCTTTTGTCTTTATTGACTTAAATGAGTACGTGGTGCGGAGTGTAAACATCAGCATTGGGCAAAGGCGGCCGGGCGTGGTGCTGGCAACCCGCCAACCCCTCCTGTGCCGTGTCGACCTTTTATCGGCGCTCGCTCATGGCACTTGCCCCAACAGTCTGTTCAAGGCTACACGGGGGATCTTTGTCTTTGTACGTGTGGCAGGCGTGACCCCGGTGTGGGGCGCTGGGAAAGGCGTAGACCCGGACCGCTCGGTGGCACAGTACACGGGCGGACAGATGAAGGTGAGTGGTCTATCCACTGCTGGTTGAAGGCCTCGCCAAGCCATCGTCGCCTCGCGATGATGCAGCGGCGATCCGCCTGGTTGCCACGCGCAAGCCGATTTCAACGCTCGGTCCTCCACGGCGGACATCCTCTTGGGCACGTTCCGTCCTTTGACTGCCAGTCCGTATCGATTCTCGACCCCTTAGCGACACCTTCTGCACAAGCCCACTTAAGACTCCACAGGATGTCTGCTTTGCGTTCGTTCCCTGGTCCATACGGTCAACCCTCAATGCAATTCCACGCACCTCTCCACGCTTCTTCATGCCGGTTTCAGCTGTTCCCCATTTTGTCAACAAAAGCTTTGAGAAGCCGGATTCGAACCCAGGAGTTTATCATCGTCAGCTCTGAACTGTGAGCGACCCGGCGACATTTCTGGAGCCGAGTTCCTAATCATCGCGGAGACGCGGCGTTCATGACAACGACTTGCATTTCTTTAGTCTTTTAGCGGCTCTGTGTGCTCCGCCATTGAATAGGCTGCGTCGTACGCATCGCTAACCTTGGAGGCATTCCTAACCCACGCCTCAAACCACTGTGTTTTTTTTATGTATGAATAGCATTTCTACGCCCGGGGCATAAACACGCACGGACACACGCAGATACACAGATCCCTCGCAGCACCCTCGAGCTACATGTTCAGCATTCTTTTCTTTAAGATTCTTCCAAGAAGAATGCAGCGTTGCGACCAATGTGACACGGAGCAATGAGCGCAGCCTTGGGTGTGCACCTGGCGCACTGTGTAACCATGCGTCCTGGGGAGACAAAGGTGCCCATGCGGGGTGCTGGCTAAACAGCAACGTCTTGCACGCATTCATAATCATTCATAATCAACGTTTTTGGGTTTAGATCGCGTTATTTATAAATGTGTCGTAACCCTCCACCACCCGACACGGCCAATCAGTAAAAAAGTGTCACGTTGACAAAAGGCAAATAGTTCACTGCTTTAGCCCACCGGTGTGTTGAAGCGTGAAACCACAACATTTACAATTTGAGTACGACGTTTCGCTGGTAATTGCATCCAGCGTCATCGGGCAATTCGCCAGAATGGTGAGGCTCTGCTCTGCTCTGTCTCTCGTTCTTATATAGAGCAGCAGCAGGGTGACGTCATCATTAACTCATCAGGTGCAACGATTTGAGGGGGGGGGGTGTATTGTAATTATATACTAGATTAGTAATCAGGCAGTTGTTACGATGCGAGTTGTAGATTAGTAATCATTTGGAATGTGTTTTATTGTGATTATGCTCTGTTAGTAATCAGTTAGTGTTTGTTTCCCTTATAAGGAATTGTAATGTATCTTATTTAATAATACGCTTCCAGGCCGCACTAAGCCTGTAGCTGTCTGAGCGATTAAAGTTATTTCTGCATTGCCGGCCGTAATGGCTGGGGGATTTTTTTATTTTCGATTTTTCCTGTGACACAGTTGTTTATGATTTCTATTTGCTTCAATGGTGTACTATATTTTATTTTGATTGTCTTTTTCGTGACCCAGGTCGCTCTTGCCAATGAGACTCTATCCTGGTCCCTTGAGTTCTCACGACCTACTAAACAGCATCAACGTGACACCTGCACTTTGTACATATGCTTGGTGGTGCAGTGATTGGCACATCGAGCTATAATAAGCTCGACATCCCCAGTGTCATGCCCGGCTGCGGCTAACATCAGCGGCGAGTGATATCCAAACCGATCCCGGGCACTCCCCTAGGTCGACTCAGCCTTAAAACTAGCACCCTGGGGGGGGGGGCATGCGGTGCAAAAACATTGGCGCCCTCCCCCCACCCCACGTGCGCACGCCACGCCGGCCTGCGTAGGCCGCACGCTTTAACGGCACTTGCCCCGACCGTCTGTGAAGGCTACACGGGGGACCTTTGTCGTTGTGTCTCGCAGGAGGTGAAGGACATGTCCAACGTGAGCATGGGCCCCACGCCCATCCCCGAGCTCACCTACGTCGTCATCGGCCTGGAGAGCTGCTCCTTCCTGGTGAGCGCCGCCCTGCTCGCTTGAGCCGTCGAGGCATTGGCGCTCATTTCATATTTACAGCCCTCGGCCCATTGGTGGCAATTGCACGTTTTTATAACGGGGGGCCGAGGCCACCCACAGGGCCACCACCGTTGACTTAACCCCCCCCCCTCCCGTTCTCCACCCACCGCCGCCGCCGCCCCCTCCCTCGCGCGTGTGCCGGGTGCAGGAGGATGACTTCGTGCCGTTTGCGGTGCTGAACATGATGATGGGGGGCGGTGGCTCCTTCTCAGCCGGGGGGCCCGGCAAGGGCATGTTCACGCGCCTCTACCTCAACGTGCTCAACAGGTGCGAGTGCGCGCGCGCCGGCGTGCTTCGCCTGCGATGGCAGCAACTGAATGAGTCGCGGTCGCGAGTTAACCTCCCCAAACGATCGGCCCGTTTGGTGTTTGGCACCGTCGCACCGCGCCTCTCGCGGAGGCGCTGTGCTTCGCTGACGGGCATAGCCCGCTGGAGTTCCACGGTTGGACGGGCGCACGCCGCTTGCGCCTGGCTGTGGCGAGCATTGAGCTTACACGGCTGATGGGCAGTTTTCATATTTGAGCCTCATTTGCAAGAGCGACCTGTGGTATCAGTCTTAAGGGTAGAGGGCGATTGCTGCTGCGCGAGCCCAAATTGGGTCGTAACTTGCGGTGACATTTTCTAACCTGATCAATTTGTCTTCTTGGTTCTTTTGGTAAAGTCACGTAGAAGGGAAGTAATAAAATAATAAAAAGAAAACATAAAAAAATATTTAATTTTATTATGATTTCTTTTTATTATTTTATTACTTCCCTTCTACATGACTTTACCGAAAGAACCAAGAAGATGAATCCCTGCAGTCACGAAAGCTTTAAATCGAAATTTGATCAATTTGGACTGGGATTACTGGCACACGACGGGCTACTCTTGCGAAGGACGTCGGGAGGTCTTTAACGGTCCACCGTGTCGCAGACTGCACGTCGCAGTGTTATTTCCATTACTATTTCGGTGCACACGCAGCGGGTTGGAATCGCGAGCGTCTGCAGCGAGCGTGGCATGGCACTGTGTTGCAGGTTTCACTGGATGTACTCGGCCACGTCCTACCACTTCAGCTACGAGGACACCGGCCTCTTCTGCATCCACGCCAGCGCCGACCCGCGTCAGGTGACCACCGCCACCGCCATCTCCTCCACTGCCGCCACCGTGTGCCGCACGCTCGCCCGTCGCTCCCGTCCCGCTTCACCGCCTGTCCCCCGCGGCCTGCCTCTCCGTCAGCTTCGAGGAGTCCAAACAAGGGTGGAGCGTGGTCGGGAGTTTTGTCACAACTATCGGCGCGCGCGCATGCGTCCGTGACCAAACTGGGCGGACGTGTGCCCGATCGTTTATTAGGTCGCCCTGCAAGCCAGGTCCGTTGTAGGCGAACGCGAAGCTACGCCGCGGGTAACTGTGGGCAGCAGAGGGCAGTGCGGCAACATCTGTTCTGTGCTCCCCCCACCTTCGCCAGCCCGCGCTGACCAGCGTGGTGAAGTATAGTCAGATAACGTCTGTGACCCGCAAGCCGTGGGAAGGCCCTTATCCTGCAGTGACTGGTCATGTTGAAGATATCCGGGTGGTGTAGTCGCTGGGAATGAATGTGACGATGTGCGTGTGTGGTCCCCGCAGGTGAAGGAGATGGTTGAGATCATCACTCGGGAGTTTGTGCTCATGGCAGGAAACGTCGGAGAGGTGAGTTCGGAGTACCCCTCGACCCCTCACGTAGCGTCGTAGCTCTGCACCCTTGGGGCAGCGCTGAGGCGTTGTTGAGAAGAGGCTGTCGGACTATCGACGAGTCCACGCCCTGGTCACACAACTGCGTGGCCGGTTCGCCAGAGGTCGCAAACGGGTTTTGATTCCTTACCCGTACCCGGCCGCACCAGGGTCGCAAACGGGTACCCGTACCCTACTCGATACCCGGCTACCCGTACCCGGCCGGGTATCGGGTAGGGTACGGGTACCCGATTGCGACCTCTGGGATGAAGCCATGTTGCAGGCGCGGGTGGGTTGATTCTAGGAACTTGAATTGAGAAGAGACAAGACGTTGGGAAATGAGTGACAAGCAGTTACTCACCAGTGACTCACGGCCTACCCGTACCCGGCCGCACCAGGGTCGCAAACGGGTACCCGTACCTGGCCGGGTACGGGTAGCCGGGTATCGGGTAGGGTACGGGTATCGGGTACCCGGTTGCGACCTCGCTTCTCCCACGCCTGACATCCCGCTCTGTTACTGTGTTCTTCCCATTGATGTCGATGATAACAATGATGAGGCTGAAGATAATGATTATTAACATTATTATGATTTCGCATGTTTACCAAGAAAAGCCTCGAGTCTCATGACTGTTTTTGGAGGGTCCTGCCAAGTTTGCACAGTAGGGTGGAGATGATTGCAATGGATATTCCAATTGAGCAGTTGAGACGATTGGTGATGAAAGTGATGGTGACGAAGATGAAGACTCCGATGGATAACGACCCTTGCGTGCTGGTGCAGGCGGAACTGGACAGGGCCAAGACGCAGCTGCGCTCGATGCTGATGATGAACCTGGAGTCTCGCCCCGTCATCTTCGAGGACGTGGGCCGCCAGGTGCTGTCGACGGGGCAGCGCAAGCTTCCGCACGAGCTCTGCACGATGATCGGTGAGTGGCGCAGAGGCGGTTAGCGGTACCCCGCCCGCAACGGAAAGATAAAACGGGCAGTGGTCTGACGGTCACGGTGCGTTAATGGTGGGGGGAGGGGGGGCTGTTTAAGCTCGCGGTGGAGTCCCTGTGCGAGCCACCAACCCCAAGCCCCCAGGTTGTAGGGTCACGCTCCTTTGGAAAAGCCTCGCTCAGTCGTCTTTTTCATGATGGTCCTGGCAAGTCTTCGCAGTCGCAGGCAATGTTGTTGTTGCTATGCCTAATAGCAATTTAGGGAACGTATGCGAGCGCGGTGAGGTGCAGCCCATCAAGCTACGTGCAGGCACGTGTGTGTAAGTATTTGTAGCGCACGTGTGTTTTTGTGTGCGTCTGTGCCCGTGGTTACATGCGCGTCGCTTTGGGCGCGTTACCGTGTGCAACGCTTCGCTACGCACCCGCGTCGAAGCGTGCGCTCGTTGACGCGTGCGCTCAATCACGCGTGCGCTCATTCACGTGTGTGCTCATTCACGTGCCGCTGTGCTTTGTCGTACAGAGGCTGTGACGGCGCACGACGTGCAGCGCGTGGCGCGCCGCATGCTCTCCGGAAAGCCGGCCGTGGCGGCGCTGGGCGACCTGTCTGAGCTGCCCCCCTACGAGCATATCCAGCAGGCGCTCGCCTCCAAGGATGGCCGCCTGCCCTACTCGTTCCGCCTCTTCCGGTAGTGGCGGAGAGAGGGGGCTCCGCGGCCCGACCCCGCCGGTGCTGCTCGTGCCCCGCTTGGACCGGTGGGGGGCGGGGAAGTGCCGCTGTCACGGTGGCGCGCACAACGGCTCGCTCGCCGGTGAGCTAAAGACGTTTGTTGTTAGGGGCGGCGACGGGAACGGGTGTGGGGAAACGGGCGGCACGGGGGCCGCCAACAGATCACTCAATTGGGATCGTAGACCGCAGCAATCGTCACCCCCTGCTGCGAAACCGCTATAAGCGGTGTGCGTAGCGAGCCACGACGCATTGTGTTACCGTGCGTGCGTTTACAGGTTCACGATTGTTTAGTGCCCCGTGCCATCGGCTGTCGAGCTTAAAGTGGCGCGCCGCGAAGACCGAGCGAGCTCCTGAGCGTGCCGCGGAGTGAAAGGGTTGAAGCACTGCCACCTGCAGGACGCGCGGAGTGAGAATGCACGCGGGAATCACCGAGGGATGCGTGCCCTCGCGTGCGCACTATGGGCGCGGTGAAGAGCGGTGTGTACGCGGCAACGTGGTTTTACACGGCGATCGAATGCCGAAGCTGTGCGTACACGAGCGTGTGAAATCAGCTGGTGAGCCAGCCGATTTTTAACTGTACACGCACAGATGTGATTTTGCTGAGCGCACAGCAGGACTGGGAGGCATTTCGCTCCCGGACCTGGTTTGGGTTCCCATGCGATTTAAATCGTCCACTTTCGGTCCACAAAGGCTTGGCTTGTCGTGAAGGCTTTCGGGCGGCACCTGGGCCTCCGCCTCGTGTTTCTGTCGTTTTTCTCCCAAACGTAGTCCACTTGTGCTGTCCGACATCGCGTCATGGATTTTACGGGATTCCCGTTCAGAACTCTTGGTCAGAAGTTGCCGTTGTAGAACTACTTCTCCACCCCTCGGCACAAGGGGTGCCCAATCACATGCCCTGCAGTGAGTTTAACATGGAACAAAAAATGCTTCAATTTTCAGAGCAGGACCACCTTAAATGAAGTGAAAAAATAAATGATTTATTTTTGCTGGGCAGTCACCGGTGACCAGACCTGCAACTATCAAGTCCGTTCGACTTGGGAATCAGGTTTCATCACTGGCGGCTGAAACCGGGATTCTATTGTAATGTTAAATGATTAGCTCATTAAGTTTGGGTCAATAATGTTGGCGAATTAAATTTTTGTTTTAAAATATATTTTCCTGTTCTTACTGCTTTGCGTGGTACTGCTGGAGCCATGGTTGCTCTGCAGTTGTGTCGTGGGACTGGAAGTGAGAACATAACAACGCAGCGCGTTCATTCAGCACGGAGGCTTTCACAGCCAATGGTACGAGTCACCGTTGACTTTCGCATTAAGCTCCCTTCATTAGGAACCCACCACCACTACCCCACCCGACTCCGAATTTCTGGATCTTGTCCTGATGATGCTTGATGCAGTCGCAAGCGAAAAACGTCACATCCTCTTTAAGTCGCTGCTGAAATGATAAGAATCGGAGCATCCTTACAATGCTTGTACACCACGTGACAAACATTTTTTTTGGCTCTGTCAGGTGATGGGGGGGAAGGGTATTACGACACAAATTTGGTCAGGTGATTACGTGTGGCCTAAGGCAAAAAAAAGCAATGAAGAATAAATTTCACGTGTTTTGTTGTAACAAACAATTCCCATACTCTGCGTGGGCGAGTTTGCTCGTTTGTTGCTGCAAAGAAAGGAAGTGTTCGGAACGCGATGCGTTGGTACGGTCGCACGTTCGTTAATGTGTTAAGCGTGCAGGCCGACGTGGTGTGGCAGCTGTAAATTTGAAAACAGTGTTTGTGCGTCACGTTTCCGTTGCGTTAGGGTTTAGTTTTAAGGCTGCAGGAACGTTTGATTCGATGTCGGGATATTAACGTTGTAGCTCGTGACCTTATTTTGTACCCGCCCTTGGCTTACGCTTGTGTTTTGTTTTTTTAAACGTTCTTTTACTGGAATACAAAGGAGACGGTTACACGCAGGAAGCCGTATTTGCAGTCTGACATTGGTGCCGAAACGAGTACAAAAATACGTGGGCCAGACATCGTGCTTTTGAAGCTGTTGCCGCGTCACCACCGGAGCTCAGTCGCTCGCGAACTTCAAATCGGCGTGGCTATCGGCACCAGCTCTTGGGCCAGCGGCGTGGCTATGGCGTGCCTATGCAGGTGGTGGCAGTCCACTGAGGCCCATGGGGGTTGAAGGGGCCCGGGTGCTGGGCTATGAAGGGGGGTAGACTGGACAGGAGGGTGGGGGGGGGCCCATTTAATTCCTTGAATCCAGAGCCCAGACTACAGAGTCCAGTCACCCCACTTTACCAAGCAGTACGTGTGTATAAACATGCGAGTACACAGCGTGGAAGAGTAGGCCAAATGCTCTCGAGCAGGGCTCCCGCAAGCGATGGGCCCGACGTGTGATCTCGTGGTCAAACATGTTTGGGAACGGCTACTTTTAAAGGATGTTTGAAACCGTTGGTAATTGAGTTGTCGCACCGTATGTAGCGGGGGAAGGACAACAAACTAAACACAGAAAGAAGTTGTAAAGAAATTAATTTGTCAATCTAGATCATTTAAAAGTCCATAGTTCCAATGGCTTCCTAAAATCGGAAGGAAGAGCGCGATGTGGCGACTCTCTTTAATTGCAGTGTCTGTCAGTTACAATTTCATGAAGCGTCACTGCCCGTTTGTGCGTTCACTTTGTGTTGTTGCCAGCACGATGTGTGTGTGATGTACATGCACACAAAGCTGTTTTGTGCGGCATGTGGAGAAAAATCAACATTAAAAGGAAAGAAACACCAACATTGTTTGTCAGCTTCGTCCTGTTCTTTTGTCAATATTAAAACGTATAACATGCACAATTTCTCAAACTAAACTTTGAGTATGACCTCAATCTGAATTTTTATTTTACTGTAAGAATCCCGTGAGCTATAAAGCTGTGTGCCGGGTGGAGGAGGGTGTACGACACACATTTTACTTAACACGATATGACCCAAAACTCAATTACAAATCATTGGTCCGAAGCATCCAAGGTGTTATGGTCAAGTTCTTGTTGGGTCTGTGCAGGAGGTCATAGCCGCTACAGCACAGCATGCCATAGGTGGGGGAGGGTGGCTATGAATAGCGAACCTCGTTACCAACAGCGCTCCGACCGGCCATGACAATCGGACGTGTAAAGAGCTTGTCATCAGGCGACCGGATGGCCTAGAGGTCAGAGACCATTGAGCTGGAACCACTTGAGTTCGAATCCGAAAGTTTCAGCCACCTGTGATGAAGCCTAAAGTCTCAAATGTAGCGAGTTGGTGGACTCAGCCGAGATCACCAATTACTGCACAAAAATAAATCCGCATTAAATGTAGTCCTGCACTCAATTTGGGAAACTTCCCTCGCTGGGAATTTAAAGTACATGCGACGGATAATACTGTGACAGCGGGTGGGAAAATGCTGCCGACAGCTGCATGGATCAGTGGTCTCACTTGGGGGTATCTCAGAGGGAGCTGTGTGATATCCACTTCCGCAGGACTTTCGATAGCACGAAGGGGGTTGCACGGCTCTGAGATAGATCAAAACAAGCACTTTGTATCATGCCCTGACTCGGATAACACATCAGTAATAAAAGTGGGGGAATAAAAAAAGACATGTCAAAGACCTTGTAATTGCAACCATTTAGTGTCCTCATCGGCACAAGCGTTGGTTCGCATCTCGTGTCCCCGCAGCGTGCGCACCCACAAACAGCGGAAACTCAATCCATCCCGTTTCTCAGGGCGCAAGAAAACACACGCAGTTACGCCCCCGAGTGCCTCCACGCCACGCCAATCACAGCCGCCGCCTCCGCAGCAGACAAGCGACAACTTCGGTTAACCGCTAAAATCTCGCCGGCGACGATGATACACTTTGCACGTCGGAGCGTGCGCGACGGGTGCCCGTGTGCCCTAGTTTCTTTTAGTCCGGTGTGCCAGAGCAGCATTTGGTACCGCGGTGTGGTTGGCAATGTTGAGCGAGACCAATCTCTGTACGCAGCCAATTTAAGTGGATTTTGGCTTGCAATGCTCGGGGTTCTTTGGAATGCAATTTCACTGCAATGACACAATTTAAAACGAAATTATTATTGTAAAATAACCATAGTTTTGCCATCATCTCAGGTGGTTGCCAACAAGTGAAATGCTCTGCAGTCTGGGCCAATGGATTGAAACCAAGAGAATGTTCTTCCCAGGCTCCGTCACTGCATCGCACGTGTTCAGATGCCCTTCTGCGGCTGTCTGGAACACTCTTTCGATACGAGGAAGCCACTGGAGTTATGCACTTTTAAATCACCCAGAATAAAAGCTCATTTCTTTAGAACTGCTTTTTGTTTATAGCTTGTCCTTTCCCCCCCCCCGCACCTCTGATTAGCATGGCTGGCTACGTACGGCGCGAAAGAAGTTCTACACACAAGCTTGTCGCGAACAAAGCAATGGGTTACGTTCTTTGCATTTCACGTTGCTGCGTCGTTAGCAAGCCAGCAATCCACAACGAGCGTGGCCGACTCCAGTGACACTGAGCGAGGGTCACGTTGTGCGTTACGCAAACTCAGTTTTAAGTGACACGCGCCACGGTATCCCAATGTAAACACCGTATTGTTGCACTGGAGGGCACAAGCCGGCTCGTGTTTGCCAAACCGAAGCTCAGTCAAGTCAGCTGACGTGTGGCGACGGCTGTTCTACAACCTGGCAGCAGGGCACGTGTTTACTCTCCACTCTCCAAACACAGGATTTATTGCAGCAAAATAAGAAAATGTTAAATCCAAACGAAGTGAAACTTTATTAAAACCAACATCTCCCGTCCGCAAGTCAACGCCGTCTTTGACAAACCGTCGGCGTTGCGAAGCGCACGCGTTGAACTGCAATTATCTTTCCCGTGGTGCATGCGGAGTGTTAGATTGCAGTTAGATTTAAAGGTTGTTGATGTATTCGTGTGGCGAGTCTCGCTGCGTTAGCGGCACGAACAGGCGGCCGCTTGTTTTAACCGTATGAAAACGTTGCTACTGCCGAGGCTTTCGCGGGGGCCCGAGGCGTACGGCTCTTCCGATGCGTTTTTGGCTCCGGCCACCCGTTTTCAGCTCACGAAGAAAGCTCCCCCGGCACGCGCGTGGTGAAACGTCGGACCGCGTGCCGGACGCCACACAGTGCCACCAAAAAACCACATCGGAGATCTGAAGCAAATAATGAACACACGAGCAGCAGCAGCAGCAGCTACAGTACACGCTGCGCTATCCGAGCACATTGAACGTGGAAACATCCCCGTGTGGGATGGAGGTTCATTTGAACCCGTTTAACGTCGCAGCGAGTTAACAGCGCCCTGCGGTTCGTTTTACAGACGGTCCTCAGGGCACAAAAGATAATAAGCCGTGGCACTACATCGACTCGAAATTGATTCGCTTTCACATCCAGTTATCGTCGAGATGAACCACAGCTGCGGTGGCGCCGATCCACCGCTCGTCGATATTTCACCGCGGCAAAATTTTGATTTCTGCTTCGTATCAACAATCCCACAGCTGAAGCGCAAAACACGGAACGTTTTCCTTGGACTCGATTGCAGACGTTTATTTTTTGATCGTCACGTCAGGTTTTATTCACAGCGAGGCTAAAAGTTAATGTTTGGCTATTTCTGGCTGAAAATCAGTAATGTTACGAGGTTTTGGAAGTAAACAAACGTTAATTGTTAGATTTTAGCATGACCCATCCCCTTTGTATGACACCCGCTGGTTAGGTGACCTATACCCTCTGTCTCCCATAGGTTTGTTGTTCAATACTGATCACAATCATACTCTAGAGCCGTGTGTGAGCAGTGCGCATATGCGGCAGGTTTGTGGTCACGTGTGTGCACAGGTCTGGGAACAAAAAGGGAACCAATGTCTTCCTGGAAAGTCATCAATGACGTTACACAATCGCCGCTCCATTTCGTTACGGGCAACGATTCGCAATTCCAATCCATTTATTTACTGCAAATCGACAGAGCCCGCAGAAGATTATGGGATCAACGCTGTCTACTGCTGTGAACATTTTTGAGTGGAATTGCAAAATCACCAGCCCAAGATTATCTTCCCGAATCATCACCATGATCATCAGCCATGGTCAAGACCTCCCCAAGCCACCACCGCCGCTGCAATGTAATAAATACCGGTTTGAATTAGTCCAACGTCTAAACGCCACGCTGCGCAAGTTGGCAGTGGGACGTCGTGCTCTTCAAGACACCGTCGCTTCCAAGAGGGATTCTTTTTTTGAAAGATTTCACCACGAACCAGACGGGTCATATTGCAGCATGGCCGTCAACTTCCCGGTCTCCTGTTGAACTTTCAGAAAAACGGAACGTCACGCGTCACGGACACTCGCAAAGAAACCAAAGCTGGGCATCGGCCTCTCTCATCATTTTGCGGAAGGACCGTGGGGAGCCTTGCGACAACGGACATGATTTTTGAAGGTGGGATACCCCGAGATTCCATGCCCAGCGTGACACAGCCGACGAGGCCGATAACGTCACAGGCCTCAGCCATCACCTCCCGGGGTCCCCTATTTCTCAACTATATTGGTGGTGTCCAATTAAGCCGCGTTATCGGACCGAAAACCAGCCAAGTAATGGATGACTTTAGATTACTGGATGAGGGCTCGGCTCCTGTGTAGATTGACGTGCCAGGCAAGGGCGTGCGAGCATGACAACTGCACATCACTGCGAGGCTCCTGAAGTTGCAAACATGTATTAGTACTCATTCAAAAATAACACCGCTTTGGTCATTACCACCCTCTTGTCACGTAAAAATATATAATCCAACGGTTGGGGAAATTGCCCTCGATTCACAGCAGTGGTGAAAGTGAGTTTCCAGTCACGGCGAGCATCACTGGCAGCAGGCCCCCCCCACCCCCCCCCCGATTTATTTAAGTCGTGTTCATATTTAGTGGCCTAGTATTTCTCGGCACTGTTAAACCTGTGCACGAGTTCTGTGCCTGTGGTCCGTACGGTTGCTATGAAGTCATTGGTATGAAACGAATGGCACCAGGTGAAGCTTCTCAAGACAAAGGTTAATGAAGAAAAATACGAAGCTCTGAAAGCATAAATACTATTTCATTCACTTGAAATAATAGTGCAGGACACCACCGGGATAAATGCAGGACTTTGTGAACTTGAAAAACTTTTTTTCTTTCTATTAAGGCTTACTTTGTCCCTAGACGCAACACTTTTTTCAAACTTTGATTTCGGAAGGATAGCTGCGATATTCGGGCCGGCGCGTAAACATGTCGCACAGCTCCTGGCAGGAGGTGGAGATTGAGAACACCAAACTGCGGTGGGATTTCGCGGCCGTGCTGCCACCCGTAGTGCTCCGCTGGTCAGTCATACCGCGTGCCCGCTACTCAGCTCTTCTCTATTTCTCCAGCTCAACTGAGTCCCCTCCTCCCCCGAAGCTCCCAACGTCGGACGTTGCAACACGCGGCACGAGCCGAGAGGGCACATCGGAGCGATCAACAGAGAGCACCCTGCTGCGATCCAGAGGGCCGGGCGGCATGACAACATTGTGGTTCTGGGGTAATTCTGCATCTTGCATAAACAAGGTGGCTCTTACACTTCATGTCAGATTGGCATTCCTTGCAAGCTGAAGTTGGATGGGCTAAGAGGATTGAAGCTTCGTTTGCTTCGGAAACAAATTCTTTATTGTTCCAGAACACATGACAGTATTTAAGTACCGAGGTGTGAATTTGGTAAACGATCACACAGACATCGCATTGACGCAAGTTACGACCATGTAATCTTCTTATAAACGGAAATGGAATTTGATGATATCAAGCATTTAAAATACTGGGGGCCCTTCACATTTGCAAGCCAGTGCTTTACAGAGGAATAAAACGTCTTACCCCAAAATATCCGGCCCATGCCCAATCCTCCAAACCAAACCCACTACCCGGATTCAACGCAACACTGTCCTAGCGTGGCTCGTGTGGAAATAAACATTGAGTACATCGCCCGACGTAGAGTCGGTGTGTCTCTCTCGCTCGCCTCTAAACAGAAACGTCGGCGGCGCGCGATGCCCACCCAAAGGAGGCGACGTTCTCCGAACTCGCCCAACGCTTTCAACGCGGACAGCTAAAACATCGAACGATCATCGCAACGTCACAAAGGGGCAGCTAACGGAGCGGTTGGGCTGCCGACTTACTGACTCGTTAAGGCATCTCGGGGGGGGGGGAGGGGGGAGAATAGACGCAAGCACGGAGAAATTACGCCGCACGTGCAGACAAACAAACGTAAGCCGGGCCAGGTTTTCCCCAGACGCCCTCAAACTTATTTTGATTTCTTGCGGCCAATAACGGATAAAACACTCGACTACGGCAGAGCGCTGCCGTCGTCTAGAAGCGTCGCGTTTACCGCCAGGACGTGCGCCCGTCGCGGGCCTTTCTCTTCGGGCGCTGCGGAAAACGTGAGCGAGCTCATCGTGCCGCAGTGGCGGCGGCGGTGGCGGCAGCGGGCACCGCTTCTGAACGTGTCCACCGAGAGAACGTGCGGCGGCGTGTGGCCACACGCACGAGCGAATGAGCGGAGGGCGAGCGGGCGGGCGGGCAAGCGAACCGCAAGAGCGGTCGCGCGCCCATCTTTCGCCGCCGCCGCCGCAGCCGCTCACCACTTCTTCTTGTGCGCGTCCATGGACACGCCGCCCGGCCCCAGCGCGACCAGCAGCAGCAGGCCGCCGATGACCGACTGCGTCTGGAAGAAGTCGTACTTCATGTAGTCGTGCATGGCCTTGTTGCTGGACACGGTCCAGAAGGGGTGCATGTAGACGTTCATGGCGAGCAGCCACAGCACCAGCGTGAGCGCCGCCAGCTTGGTCTTGAAGCCCACGGCCACCAGCAGCATGAGGGCCGTGCCCACCAGATCCTGCACGATCTGGGGGGGGGTGGGGGGGCGCGGGATCGGTCGACAGGCGGAGGTCAGGGGGGGCGTGCGACGATGCATCGGTTAAAATACATTTTCTCGCAACGCACACATCTTCTTGGTTCTTTCGGTAAAGTCACGTAGAAGGGAAGTAATAAAATAATAAAAATAAAACATAATAAAAAATTCTCACGACGTTTCGGCCACAACGCAAGCAGCCGTCCTCAGGTGAAGAACACGATGTTCATTCAGACGCTGTCTTTCCGACAGACCTGTTCTTCACCTGAGGACGGCTGCTTGCGTTGTGGCCGAAACGTCGTGAGAATTATTTTATGATGTTTTATTATTATTATTTTATTATTTCCATTCTACGTGACTTTACCGAAAGAACCAAGAAGATGAATCCCTGCAGTCACGAAAGCTTTAAATCGAAACGCACACATCGCGTCATTTGCGTAGGCAGCCGTGCTGTTCGGCCAATGGCGTAGCCAACGAGTGTGTAGGCGGTGCAACTGCACTGGCACCCACTGGCCAGAGGGGTCTGGTCGCGGGGCTGTAACGAGCAGGGAAACTGGACAGGGTGGGATGGCCCATTTTGATTCCTTGCACCAGGGCCCATGTCAACCATGCAATGCAACTCAGTGCGGCCTTTACATTTTGCCAAAGAGCAAATGCATTTAAACATGTTAGTGCAAAGTGTGGAAGAATTGACAAAATAGCATCAAGAGGGGCTCAATAAGGCTCCCTCTAGTCCAGGGCCTTCCACTAGCAGTGGAGTGAGCAAGCAATTGCAGGGCTGCACCTTCACTTTGTACAAGAAGGGTGGGGTGGAAGTGTAGAGGCAGTGCAGTTCGTGTGGTTCGTTATCAATTCAGTGGACCCAAGTTTGATTCTTGGCCACGGTCAAAATAAGTCACTGAACTCCCGCTTGACAATTACACCGCGCAGAACAACCAAGAGCTCTCACATCTAAGTGCTCGCAGCTTGGCGCAGCCGTAAGAACCCTTGGGACACAAACAGGGAACGCGAGGGAATGGACGTACGGAGAAGAAGCTGGCCTCGAAGTTGAGCAGGGTCATGAACATGAGTGTGAGCAGCACGCGACCTCCCAGCTGCATGTACTGCTTGGGTGAGTTCTCGCCCATGGTGGGCACCCCCGCGAACATGCTGCGTCCGTCCGAGCGGTTCTCCGCCAGCAGCAGCAGCAGCCCCCCACCCAGCGCCAGGTTCCTGGTCACACGGCGGCAAAGGCGAGAGAGAGAGGAGTCTCTTTGGTACGGCAATCGAAAAAGCAACGAACAGGGTGCAAAACTGTGCGTGTGGCGAGCCTAACAGAGAGAGGGAGGGTCCCCGTTGCCTTTCAACATAGGGCAGTCCGGGATTGGTGCAAGCGAACCTGACTATGCCGACGAAACACTGAACGTGGAAACCGGAGTTTTTGCTTGCGTAGAACCAATGCTGCTGAAAAGATGTTTGGCAAATGGGTTGTAATAAAAACAAAAAAAATTCACTTACAGAAATAAATATGGGAATGTGGCATTAGATTTGCAAGGGCAGCGCGAGGACATGCCGAGGTTAGGTGGGGGATACGGGACCACACTCAAAAAAAATAAAGGCGCCAGGAAAGAAGATGTGAATAAGAATAACCCATAAAAACAAAGTTTTTCACTATAAATCCTTTATATCCGTGGCGGCTAGAGTCCTCTCGTCCTCTGGCTTGAGATGGCTGCCACCTATGGGTCAGATGATTGCCTGCCACCATTAAGCAATTGGTAATTAAATATAATTGATTTTTTCCTAAAAAGTGTAAAATTTTGGAAAAAAATGTTCACGAACATGAATTGTCACGCACAACGAGTCTGTGTGCAAAATGTCAGCTCGATTGGATCACGGGAAGTGGGTTAAAAAACGACCGAAAGATTTGCACGGTCGTAAGCGCGCAAGCAAGCAAGCAAGTGAACTTAATATAAAGGATTTAAAAAGGAGGCAGAGGATTGGAGTCCTGAAGGGGAAATATTTGGCGGGAACTTCTAAAATATTTCAGCAAGTTCAGGGAGAGAGAAGGTATAGAAGGGGGTGTGCGTCGTGGTGTATGTGGTGGGGTGAATAAATGCTTGACCAGAGCACTTCCGTCGTGTGACACTCAACAGGCGTTGACATCGCGTACCTCATCAGGAAATGTGCGTCCCACAGTATGTTGTAGGCGAGCGTCTGCAGGGCGATGATCACAAAGAGTCCGTAGCAGGCGTACGACACGAAGTTTCTGCTGAGCACGAGGACGCAGCCACCTTTAAAAAGAAACACGGCATTGGCGGTGTCAGGTCACACCGCCTCCGCCATGGCGCTTGCGACTAATCCCCAACGCCACGGACCCGCCGGCACCATTCTCTTATGTAAGCGCGAGCAATATTTAGCAGAGGACGCGCTATTTCCGTTTCACACGGAGTGCTCGTTCCTGGTTGAGAGCTGAACCACCTATCACTGAAACAAACGTCCGGTTTATCTGAGAATTTTGGCGAGTGATGACACGGGGGCAAGCAGCCCATCACGCTCAAAGCTAGTGCACAAACTCGTCAGATGTTGGAACGTAAGCGAGGTTGAACCAGAACCGCGCTTGGATCTGCGATTTACTGGACATCTGTGAAAAAGAGCTGTTTAGCTCATCTGATTCCTCCAGTATAAGTAAAGGTTCTGACCATAACGCAAACACGTTCTGTAAGTTGCAGGACTACGTGGTAGACGGCAGAGTAAAGTGCCGCAAAAACCTATTCGTATGCTCCCACGTCTACGCTCACCATATTAACAAACCCACACAGACCAGTGGTGGTGACATTCCCCTGCACGGAGAAGAAACCGAAATTCGTCCCTGGAATTCATTTCAACTTTTTCTCCCCTCCCCCCCTTTAACTCAGTTCCTATCGTCCCGTCTCTCCCCGCCACCACCACCACAGACAGCACTGCAGCCACCACCGCAGCCGCTACCGCATCATCGTCGCCGTCATCAGGAGGGCGCCGCCCGTTCCGCTTACTGAGCTGCCCGACGAGGTTGATGAAGACGAAGAGCGAGGCGAGCACGAAGCCGGCGCCCCACATGCGGTCGATGTAGTCCCTCTGCAGGCTCCACTGGAACCACATGCGCACGCCATCCTCCAGGAAGGTGCTCACCAGGCAGAGCCGTGCGAGGTGCGGGAGGTAGTGCTTCGTTACCCTCAGGAACTGCGCGCGTGGCAGGAGAGAGACAAGGTGGTGCCCTCCTCCTTCAAACAATTTCTCTCCGCGCGACACCGCGAGATTTTTTTGCTTTGATATTAAAGGACGCCGGCCAACGTCGGGGTGGGTGAGTGGGTGGGTGGGGGGGGGGAAGCTCAAGAGACGCATTCATCTCACACCGTGGGAGTGAGAATTATTGTGCCATGTACGTGGCGTGTTACCTGGCATGAGCTAACCGCCCGGAATGCGCCCCGCTCTCTTCAAGATCTCGGAAGCCGGGCGGATTTGAGCGCGCTTATTCGCTTGGATGGGCGACCACCATGCGCGGCAGGTGTTATAGGCTGCTACGGGGCTACGTGCAGAGCACCGCAGCAATATCCATTATTGTACCGTACTTCCACCTTCCCACATCTGAGCTCTCCAACTTCACCGACCCTCACCGACTAGTGTGGTTAAGTACGATTACACAGCCCCTACAAACCCGCGTGATTTTGGGGAGGCTGCGAGGTTGCCAGGATATTGCAGTGTAGCAAATGGAGACGACAAAAATGGATGGTGATGCCATCTCCATGGACGTTTTAGTATTATCCTCTCATATGCAGGAGTTTGCTCCAGGTACAGTACTGCACAGTCTCCTTCCACATGTAAAACCATTCTCATATGGAATTGTCTGAACACCGAAATGCAAGACCCTCCTGTAAAAGGGTCTTGAAGTAACGTTTTTCTGGATATATGGTTGAGATATTTGCCAAAGAACCCACTTAAATGTAGTCATGGACCGCCTGCACGTACGCAAGGACTATGACGGCGAATCAGAAAGCAGTTTTAAATCGTAATTTAAAAACAACATTCATGAACGCTATGCTTATACAGCTGTAGATTACATGTCATCCTCAGGAGTTTTCGTATTAATGTTCCCTGTGTGCATGCAATATGGCTTAAAGCACACAGCACACTCAACAAAAAGGGCAGTGTGATGAACTATTGATGCATAAGTAAATAGCAGTCCGGCCACCAGATGGGTTATCTGATATTCTGGTCCATAGCAACAACACTGGCCAGACAGGTGAAAGTTCTGTTTGCAAAGTGCCAGGCAATTGGTCTTCAGCAAGTACACCCATGGCGCCGACGATGCCTCACACTGTTACACATCAACATGCCATTATCTCTGGATTATGCACCAGATTTGCAGGCTGTAAATGTACAAGCACATTTACAACCATTCTTTCTATCCACTGCTGGACGAGGAGCTCCCCAAGCCGTGTGGGGATTCGACCATGCTTCACCACGCCGGCCTGTGCCGGTTGAAGGAATGGCGAGCACAGAATTGCAGCAGAGCCATGGATTTTGCTGGACAGACAGTCCTCTGCTGATTCTAGATTTGAAGCTTTCGTGACTGCAAGGATTCATATTCTTAGGTTTTTTCAGTAAAGTCAGGAGCAATCTCTCATTTACTTGATACAGCTGTCGTGGCTGTGACGGTTCCAACTGAAGACGGAAGCTTGTGTTGCCTCCGAAACGTCGTGATTTTTATTTTATTTAACTTTTATTAATTTTAATGTTTTACCTACGTGACTTTACCGAAAAAACCTAAGAATATGAGTCCTCTGCTGCCCACTACATAGCCCCACAAGCCCTGTGGCAACCTGGTTTGTGCACGGTGCACACACATCCAAGCACTGCTCATATACTCAACACCTGCATAGCTCTCCCAAGGTCTGATGAGGTTGGTCGCATTCCAGGTGATTTGGCCTTAGGCTTTACTGCTAACAGTCCCAGTTAACTGTATTTATTTTCGATTTAAAGCTTTCGTGACTGCAGGAATTCATCTTCTTGGTTCTTTCGGTAAAGTCACGTAGAAGGGAAATAATAACAGCGTCTTTCCGACAGACCTTCTACGTGACTTTACGGAAAGAACCAAGAAGATGTTTTTATTTTACCATCATAACTGAGAATCACCAGCCATTACAAGTGCCAAAAGGATAGCGATGTGCTTCTTATAAATATTCGTACACACATCTAATCTACAGTCCTATATTCCAATAAGTGATTTTAAATAAAATTATATTTTATGTTCTGAGATGTAAGGAGAAATGACTCCTCCAGCCTTAGGTCTTTCTGCGGATTAAAATGACCATATGACTGATTAATAAGAATCAAACCACCACAAGAAACGACGCTGTATGTGGAAAGCGTTTTAACACGTGTGCAAATGCCACGCACCCAGCCATATGGTAACAGGAAAGGCAAACTCCCATGCCCCCATGAGTGTTCACTTCATTCACTCAATGAGTAATTCATTCCCGTTTCGACTTTGAACATTCACTGTATAGTTAAGCCAATTATTTTTTATTTTTAAACCAAAATGTATCCCGATTGAGCCATTGCAATGGTGCCATTAATTTGTCTCGCACAGCATTGCATCCTTTACCGTAAGATTTCGGCCCGCAGAAGCAGATATCACAAGGGAGCTACCTACCTTTGAAATCCTGTCTAGCGAGTGATCTCTGGTCCGCACACATCAAAGGGAAGCATTCTCCCCCACATAACCCTTCTGAGAGTAATGTTCGTCGCATGTACAAACCCATATATTATTTCCAGACATGGAATTTATTAGGAGTGTAGACCCAAACTTTATTGCGATGACATACATGTCAACCACTTATCAGTGCCCTACTTTACTACACACCAATTCGGACTTTATTGGTCACCCCGTGTCCTTACACATCTCAACGTTCAACCTACAAAGTCCCATCACACGGGAAATACACAAACAGACGCATTTTTTAAAACTCACTTCCCCTGTACAAGAATACGGATAAACCATACGGATTGACATGCATGCGATGGTCGTATTTTGTGCGCAGTCATTAGTGAACGGACCTGAGGACACATTCTCACACACTTCTCGAGAAGATCGTTTCATCCGAGGCGACTCAAACCCCGGAATCGAACCGGGGTTAGGGAACTTAAGGGGTTCTCTGGCCCAGCGCTCCCATCTCCTGAGACAGACGCGTACCTCACCTCAAGACGAGATAGAGGAAGGGGCCTTAACATTTCCTCTCGCCCCACATCGGTTGGCACCGTTTTACATTGAAGGAGAATGAATGCACGTCGCTGGGTGGGAGATTAATCTGGTTTTAAAGTCAGCGTTTACAGGTCTGAGCCGGTGGGTGGTAATTCCACATGCCTATGGCGGGTCTTATCTATAGGTCCAACCAACTGTTGACTTTCCAACAACAGTTGTTGCTCTTGTAGGAGTTGAGAAGACTGAGCTGAACGCGCATTGAGTTTAAAACGTCTCCAGATGGAACGGCGTCAATTAATCACTGAACGGGCCCCAATTTCGTCAAGATTTCAACAGCAAAGCAGAGGCCGAGTTGCACTTGGGTGGGAGATCGTGAGATCGTCGCCTAATGGAGCGCGGGTGTTGGTTGGAGGCTTGACGTCAGTACGATAGATTCGTGAATCCATCTGTGCGGCGCTGCGTGCGTTTGCTGCCCTCATGCAAATGAATGAGTAGTGGGCAGCAGAGGGCAGTGCAGCGTAATCAACTGTTGCGCCGTTACGGGACTGTACCTGAATGCTCCCCCCGCCTTCACCAACACCACGCGGACCAGCGTGGTGAAGTATGGTCAAACGAGCCCTCGACGCGGCCGTGGGGAGGACGCTACCGACCCAGATCGACAATGCCCGACGACTGTTGAAACCACAACGTTGACTCCGTGAAGCAAAGATGCGAACCGGGGAGCCCAAATCTGCGAGTGTAGAAGCAGGCACGAGGAGGTTGATGGTGATGCTGATGGGGATGCTGATGGGGATGTTGATGAGCTCCTTTTACCTGGTCAGCCACGTCCTCAGCGCGGGACATCACGTCCGCGTTGCCCTGCATCTCTGCACTCGTCTCGAGCAGAAGCAGCAGCAGCAGCGGCGGCGGCGGCGAAGACGAAGAAGACGACGACTACGACGGCGACACACGCTGAGGAAGTCTCTCTCAGCACCGCTCCCGGGACCCCCTTTCCTCGACTTCACAAGCAGCCTCGGGGGGTGGGGAGGGAGGGAGGGCAGCAAGCGGCAACGCTTCGCCGAAGGAGAGAGGTAATGTAACAGGCGCTGTCCGAAACAACGAAGCCGCGTCCGCCATCTTACGTGAGGCAAGCGCCCCCATACTGAACCATAGCAAAGGGGGCGTGGTTTGATGACGTCACCGCGCGTCGCCCCGTGGGTTTGGTGGTGGTAGAGGTTGGTCTACCCGGACCAAGATGGCCGCTGTGTTGTTCCCGTCTCGATTTGTACGGCGGTCTTCGCGGCCATTGTGAGTGAGCGGGTGGGGGGTGGGGGAGGGGTGGGGGAGGGGCACGTGGACGAGGGAATCGGGAGGCGCCACGTCGGGTGCCGTGATGACGTCATCGCACAGACTCAGTTTTGAATGACGTAATTTTCAAATAGGGTTTAGCGGGCTAGCCCGGTGGTATGACGTCACAAATGGTATAATATGCATGACGTCACGGTAAGTGTCAGCGACAATGACGTCGCTGAGTCAAAAAATAACATGACGATTGCCGCGTCGGCAGTGTTGCGCAACCACGGACAGCAACGCACTCGACACTATGAAGGGCCATTGCCCGAAACGTCACGTATCTTACATGTATACATTACACGTGTGCAGGTTGAAGGCAGCGCAATTGATCTATGTTGTTGAGTTTATCGATACATTGTTATGGGGAGCGGTGGCGATTCCCGCTCACGGCCAACACCGGTGGCGATTATCTGAACCGGTCATGGGCTTCCCCTAGATCGACTCAGCCTCAAATGAGTAGTACTGGGGAGACAAAGGCGGTCGGGCGTGGTTGCTGACCGCCCACCCCCTCGTGTGCCGTGCCGGCCTTCATAGGTGCTCGCTAACAGCACTTGCCCCAAACAGTCTGTTACATCTTGATTTGAAGCTTTCGTGACTGCAGGAATCCAAACTTTTTGGTTATTTCGGTAAAGTCACGTGGGTAGAAAAAATATTACTGGTAGGAACCTCCTGGTTACACCAGCCCACAGGGGATTATTGTGTCCGTCCGTCGTGCATCCAAAAATGGGAGGGGTGGGGCTGGGTGGGGTGGGGAGGGTGGGGCTGGGTGGGGTGGTTAGGGTGGGGCTGGGTGGGGGGTGGGTGGGGTGGTTAGGGTGGGGCTGGGTGGGGGAGGGGTGGGGCTGGGTGGGGAGGGTGGGGCTGGGTGGGGGGTTGGAGGGGTGGGGCTGGGTGGGGAGGGTGGGGAGGGTGGGGGGTGGGAGGGGTGGGGAGGGGAGGGTGGGGCTGGGTGGGGAGGGTGGGGAGGAGCTGGGTGGGGGGTGGGAGGGGTGGGGCTGGGTGGGGTGGGGCTGGTCACCCCGTGGTGCCCTTATAAAACTCAACGTTTAACCTACTCACGCCGGCTTGTGCCCGCCCTCACAGTCGGGCATATTTGCGGAATACACCACGCCGCCGTTGACCCTGCAGGCCATTGACCGAGCAACCCAACGTTCCTACCAGCTCCCTCCGCAGGACAATGTGTTCATCGATCACGACGTTTCGATCGCAACACAAGCAACCGTCATTAGGTACGAAACAAACACAAGAAGGAAGGACTGATGACTAATATTAAAGGCCTCACGGGGAATTTCTCTGTCACTGTGATGCTGCTAAGCCCTCTTCACTGCCATCTGCTGGGTTACTGTGGTCTCCTAATTATTTTGCGTGACAAAATATATGGGGGCTGATTTCGATTTAAAGCTTTCGTGACTGCAGGGATTCATCTTCTTGGTTCTTTCGGTAAAGTCACGTAGAATTGAAATAATAAAGTAATAAAAGTAAAACATAATAAAATAATATAATAATATAATATTTTAAAATAAAATAATATTTTTATTATTTAAATTCTACGTGACTTTACCGAAAGAACCAAGAAGATGAATTGGGGGCTGGTTTCGCGCATCGCACCGTTGACATACTCATTCATTGCGGGTGTTTTATTCGAATTATAATTAATTAGTTAATCCGATTTTTTTAAGTTGTTAAGCCAGTTGGGCCAGGATTGGGCAACTTTTCACCCAGGCAACTGGACAAGCGAGTGTCTCTAACCTCACGTTAAAAATAACAATGACGAATTTAAGCGTCACAATGAACAGACAAACAACATATAAACTATATTCTTGGTTCTTTCGGTAAAGTCACGTAGAAGGGAAATAATAAAATAATATAAATATAAAACAATAAGAAACATTTCCTGTGGATTTCACACCTGATGATGATTGCTTGTGTTGCAGTCGAAACGTCGTGATAATTTTTATTGTTTTATATTCATATTATTTTATTATTTCCCTTCTACGTGACTTTACCAAAAGAACCAAGAATATGAATCCCTGCAATCACGAACGCTTTAAATCTAAATTTAACATATAAACTGTTTAGAAATCAAAATGTTAACTCTCATTGATTGTCCTCAAACTATACAGGGCACTGATCCGGCGGTGCCCAACCAGGTTGCTTAAAAAAATTTCTAAGAAATACCACGAGCAGCTGCTGAACGCCGCTAGGGAAATGTTTGCAATTTTAAAAGTAGCCCAGGTCTCGAACCCCATCGACCTGGGTGAGCGGTTCGGAAGATAAATGTCCCCAGCAGCCGGGTGTATTGTTGTTGTTGTTGCCGTAACCATGCTCCCACGTCTTACACTCTTAGGTTTTGTCGGTAAAGTCACGTAGGTAAAAAATTTAATTAAAATTAATAAAAGTAAAATTAAAAATCACGACGTTTCGGAGGCAACACAAGCTTCTGTCTTCAGGTGGAACCGTCACAGCACGATTGCTGTGCCCCTTGCCTCCACCACCACCACCACCACACCGCATGGTGGTTGTGCGGCCCTCATCCAGCAGTGGATTGACAAAATTGGCCGAATACGTACACGTACAATATCACTGTCTGTTGCCTGAATCTGAACTAGAATAGTTAAATGGTAGTACGAGGCATGTGGACAGCGTGCGGTCGTCACATTCTGCTGTGCGATCCCCTTCCTCGACCACCCAGTGGTGTCTCATTTGAGTGGGGGGTGCAGAGATGGTGGAGTGTCTAGCAAACGGAGTTATGAACCCGGCAACCCGTTCCCGGGCACGGCTAACATCAATGGCGAATGATATCTGAAAGGGTCTCGGTGCCCGTAACTCACTTCACGAGCCCGCACTGGCGAGCGTGGTGAAGTATGGTCAAACATGACCATCAGGGCATTGGGAGGACTTCATCCAGCAGTGTATTGACAAAGGGTTGTACATTGCGCTCGTATGCTTATTATTATTGAATTGAGTGATCGCATCGTGGGGGTGTAATGGTATTTCGCCAGAGCCACACCTTGAACTTTGGGTGAAGTGCCATCGGCCACTTTGAATGCCAACCAACTCTCCAAAATGGGTTCTGCCATCATAAGTCGTTAGGGCGTGGGCATATTCAGATATGAAGTATTTTTTTTTACCTTTTGTACATTTCAATCAATATTTTTTTCTTCAGTTTTATCCAGATTGTATTACAATTGTCGTGTCATGAGAATAAGATTCTGATGTTGTGATCTCTCGCAGAGCAATGTGAGCCGTCGTGTTAGAGAACAGACCCGTGGAGGAAGTGGATGTCACAGAGCCACTTCTGAGATCCATTAATGTAACGTATGAGTCAGCACCTTCGCCAACCCTCAGTGCTGAATTTTGTTGTCTCCCTCGAACTTAAATGCGGAATAAAAATGTCATGTGATTCATTTTGGTAGGTACAGTAAAACTATTAAACGAATTTTTTATTTTTTTTATTTTACCAGGTCAGGCCCACTGAGATATTTAGCTCTTTTTCAGAATCGACATGGCCACAAATGATAGCTCAACGAAGAGGCTCATCGTTTTGAAATTTATAGTAGCTAAATACTTTCAACGCATGTTTCTAAATGTGGATGGGAAAGCCAGAGGACCCGGAGAAAAAATCCACGTGACCACGGGGAGAGAGGCATGCACACTCCAAATATACAGCAGGCGTCAGGCTCGGGATCGAACTCACGACCTCATGTATCCCAGGCGAGGTAGTTAACATCTCAGCACCGTGCCGCCCAAAGGTGACCGAGCTGAGGCCGTCAGCTCACTCCACGCAGGTGGCTGGAACCTGGTTTCAAACTCACGCTTTCAACGATGCTGGCTCACAGTGAGTGCACTTACATCTGAGCCAAATACACACAGAGACGAGACTCCTAATGGCTTTTCATTCTAGATTGGTTGGCGATGTTCCACATTTAAATAGGATGTGTTTGGGGTTAAGTAGTTTAACCAGACACACCAGATTTGGTCTATTTTTAAAGTTTAATTTCACTCTGGCTCGCTGTGCCTAATTACTTGTAAGTGTCGCCGTGGGTGTTTGTCGGTGGGTGTGCATCTGGGGAGCGGTAGTGCAGCGGTTATCGCGCTGTGCTGCCGACCCAGTGATCCGAGTTCGATTCTGGACTCACGGCCAACACCAGTAACGAATTATCTGAGCCGGTTCTGGGCCTCCCCTGGGTCGACTCAGCCTCAAATCAGTACCTTGTGTCATGAGCAAACATCGCCACTTGGGAGACAAAGGAGACTGGGCGTGGTGCGTTTGTATGGATGTTGAACTTCTTTTGCACCGTGCGTAGCCAACCACACTAATCGGAGGCGCGGTGCGAAGGACAGCAAACTCGAATCGAACCGGCGACCCTCTGGATCGTAGGTCCAGTGTTCAGGCAATTGCAGGGCTGCGCCTTTTACCCGTCGCTCGGGAGCTGGAGGGGTCACCCTGTTGCAAACTCCTCGCCCCCATTGAACCTACGCCCGATCGCTGCCGAGCCGGGCGGTCGGGACTCGGAGATGTCACGGGCGCGGTGCACATCCCAGCGACCGCGCCGGTCAATACGCAGCCAGGGGGCCCACTGGGGGAGCTTGGGCACCGGTCGTCATTTCTAGATTTGAAGCTTTCGTGACTCCAATGATTCATATTCTTAGGTTTTTTCGGTAAAGTCACGTAGGTAAAAA